CCTCTGTTCTGGATGACCCCACACAGTCGCGAGCTTCCGCTGCAGAGTTGTGAAGATTCCATTTGTGCATCAACTATCCGCATCTGGTATCACTAAACACAATCACTATCACTACCCTTACTCCTATCATTACCCCAACCCCTATCACTACCCTTACCCCTATCACTATCACTAACCACAATCACTACCCCTCAACCAATCACTACCCCTCAACCAATCACTACCCCTATCACTACCCCAACCCCTATCACTACCCCTATCACTACCCCTATCACTACCCCTATCACTACCCAAACCCCTATCACTACCCCAACCCCTATCACTACCCCAACCCCTATCACTACCCCAATCACTACCCCTATCACTACCCCAACCCCTATTACTACCCCTACCCCTATCACTACCCCAACCCCTATCACTACCCCAACCCCTAGCATTACCCCTATCACTACCCCAACCCCTACCACTACCCCTATCACTACCCCTACCCCTATCACTACCCCAACCCCTATCACTACCCCAACCCCTAGCATTACCCCTATCACTACCCCAAGCCCTACCACTACCCCTACCCCTATCACTACCCCAACCCCTATCACTACCCCTACCCCTATCACTACCCCTAGCATTACCCTTACCCACCGGTTCCTTCCCCTCCACGTTTAGAATCAACAGCAGCGCGCGTTTACAGCATTTGGCTACTGCTCTACATTCCAACACGACGACGACGATGACGACGACGACGATGATGATGACGATGGCGACGACGATGATGACGACGATGATGACGATGATAATGACGATGACGACGACGACGATGACGATAATGAGTCGACTTCGTCGGGATATCATTTGCGACGTCTCTCGCCGCCGGCATCTCCTCCTCGTAGCCGTCGCCGCGTGCTCCGCAGCCCTTCCCGTTGAGTCTGCGTGAGAAAACACAAATTGACCGAGCCCGCTCGTCGTCAACGCCTGCGCGTGTGGTGGCAGAACGAATGTTAACTACCTCGCCTGGTGTACAGGAGGTCGTCGGTTCGATCCCAAACCCTGACGCCTGCTGCTGTATATTTGGAGTTTGCGTGTCTTTCTCTCACCATCACCACGGTGGCCAGGGAAATGTTAACTACCTCGCCTGGTATGCAGGAGATCGTGGGTTCGATCCCAAACCCTGACGCCTGCTGCTGTATATTTGGACTTTGTGTGTCTCTCTTTCCCCATGCGTGGGTTTCTCTCCGTGTCCTGCTCCGTTTTCACGTTTCGATCAACGTCACCACGTGTTTACAAGTGTTCGGCCGCTGTACTTTTCCACGTGATGGTGACCGGCCACTTCGTCGGTCTATCATTCGTGATGGCCAGGTCGCTTCTGAAAGAGAGCTACATATCTCAGTGCGCCTTCTTACCTGTGGTAAAAATAAAAACATGGTTTAGTTTAAATAGCTTCGTTTGGTTCGGGACAGCAGACACTCGGCACCCACGTTCTCTCGGATGGCGTGGCACCGGCGAGTTTTCCTTGCCAGCAGCGAATAGTTTAAAAATTGCGGCGATAATGGATGTACACAGAGAGAGAGAGAGGGAGGAGAGAGAGGGGGGGAAGAGGCCGTTTGTTCTGTGGCAGATGACGGGGAGCTCTGCATGCTGATATGAGCTACCCGTCGGAGGCCGTCGGACTGCGAGAAGGGCTGCGTGCAGAACGAGCGAGAGAGTGAGCGAGAGAGTGACCGAGAGAGTGACAGAGAGAGTGACAGAGAGAGTGAGCGAGAGGTGGGGGTTTAACATAAAGCAAAGTTTTAAAAAAAATATACGAAATGATGAACGAAGCAAAGTGCCGACTACACCGAGCATCTTCTTGTTTCCACTGACCGTAAAAAAAGAGAGGGCAGGAGGAAGATGAAGAGAGAAGAGAGAAAGGAGGAGAGGGTAGAGGGTGGAGAGGAGGGGAGAGAGAATGTTTGGGCAAGAGACATGGGGGGAGGGAGGAGAGAGAGGGAAAGGAGAGATGGGAGAGGTGGGAGTGAGAGGAGATGGAGCGGATTGAGAGAGAGAGACTGAAAAAATAGAGAGGGAGTAGGGAGAGAGGGGGTAGAGACTTTGACTTTTAAACAACTTTTATTGCCGCCAGCAGCAATAGCACTGGAGGCGATTTCGATATGAAACACACAAAGTCACCAGTAAACAAATGAAAATAAACGCTACAAATCCACGCGCTGTGGCGCTCAAAGCACCGCGCACAACACGAAAGAAAAGCCACGTGGTGGTGGTGGTTGTGGTGGTCATCGCGCACGCCACGGTGACGAGCGAGCGCTTCAGAAGGTGAACACCACGAGGGTGCCGTCCACGCTGGTACAGAGGGCTTGTCCGGCTTCCCAGCATTCGAAGAAGACGTGCACATCACCGACATGTGTGTGGTACGCGTGCGAGGGGGGGAGGGGGTAGAGAGCGAAATCTTTTGTGAAATCTTTCATTTAAAAAGGGGGGAGGTTTACATAAAAAAAACAAAAAACGAAATGATGAACGAAGCAAAGTGCCGACTACACCGAGCATCTTCTTGTTTCCTTTGATCGTAAAAAAGAGAGGGATGGAGAAGCAGAGACAGAGATGAAGAGAGGATGGAGGAGAGAATGAATGTCATTAACTTTGACGAGTTGACTAATTATATACCTCCACGAAGATGGAGTGAAACGATGGCTTGCTGCACCGCCCTCTCCACCGGTCACCCTCCGGCCCCTTGGCCAGGAGTGGAAATTCCACATTCCTGTGGCGGGGGGGCCAGGTCCATCCACAGTGAAGCTAAATTTCCACGAGCAATTCTTGTCGCATGAGACTCAGGAAGAGCGATTGAGCCGGGCTGGTGGCACGTGTCACTGAACGCGAAGGTTGATGGATCACGTAGAGAATTGCCAGCACGCTCACTGAGGTTAAGAACCAGGCTACAGTCTACATTATAGACTGCCAGTATGCTCACTGAGGTTAAGAACCAGGCTACAGTCTACATTATAGACTGCCAGTACGCTCACCCAGCTTAATAACCAGGCTACAGTCTACATTATAGACTGCCAGTACGCTCACTGAGGTTAATAACCAGGCTACAGTCTACATTATAGACTGCCTGTACGCTCACTGAGGTTAAGAACCAGGCTACAGTCTACATTATAGACTGCCAGTACACTCACCCAGCTTAATAACCAGGCTACAGTCTACATTATAGACTGTCAGTACACTCACTCTGATTAAGAACCAGGCTACAGTCTACATTATAGACTGCCAGTACGCTCACCGAGGTTAAAAACCAGGCTACAGTCTACATTATAGACTGTCAGTACGCTCACCCAGCTTAATAACCAGGCTACAGTCTACATTATAGACTTCCAGTACACTCACTCTGATTAAGAACCCGGCTACAGTCTACATTATAGACTGCCAGTACGCTCGCCGAGGTTAAGAACCAGTCTACAGTCTACATTAAAGACTGCCAGTACACTCACCAATGTTAAGAACCAGGCTACAGTCTACATTATAGACTGCCAGTACGCTCACCGAGGTTAAAAACCAGGCTACAGTCTACATTATAGACTGTCAGTACGCTCACCCAGCTTAATAACCAGGCTACAGTCTACATTATAGACTTCCAGTACACTCACTCTGATTAAGAACCAGGCTACAGTCTACATTATAGACTGCCAGTACACTCACCGAGGTTAAGAACCAGGCTGCAGTCTACATTATAGACTGCCAGTACGCTCACCGAGGTTGAGAACCAGGCTGCAGTCTACATTATAGACTGCCAGTACGCTAACCGAGGTTAAGAACCAGGCTACAGTCTACATTATTGACTACCAGCACACTCACCAAACTTAATAACCAGGCTACAGTCTACATTATAGACTGCCAGTACACTCACCGAGGTTAAGAACCAGGATACAGTCTACATTTTAGACTGCCAGTACACTCACCAAACTTAATAGCCAGGCTACAGTCTACATTATAGACTGCCAGTACACTCACTCTGATTAAGAACCAGGCTACAGTCTACATTATAAACTGCCAGTACACTCACCGAGGTTAAGAACCAGGCTACAGTCTACATTATAGACTTCCAGTACGCTCACCGAGGTTAAGAACCAGGCTACAGTCTACATTATAGACTGCCAGTACAGTCACCAAACTTAATAGCCAGGCTACAGTCTACATTATAGACTGCCAGTACACTCACTCTGATTAAGAACCTGGCTACAGTCTACATGAGTGTTTTTTAAATTATTTTTATTCACTTTATTTTATTATAATTTTTCTATCTACGTGACTTTACCGAAAGAACCAAATAAGAACACGTAGAGAATTGTGAAACTCCGCAGGGCTGCAAGGGAGAGGGGGGAGGGGGCAGTACAGCAAATGGGTTCTCGAAGCCCGTCCGTGTTGCGCTCCGGCTTCGCCGGTTTCCTCCCGGACGAAGCCAAACACTCGTTGAACGGAATCGACCAAACCTCCCACTGGGGTGCCACGGTGGCTAGGAGATGTCAACTACGTTGAACCCCCCCCCCCAAACAAAAATCTTTGTTAATACTAATAGGGTTTTCCCCTTTTTTCTGGCAACAAAACTGACACCTTTTGCAAAGAATCATGTTTACATTAACCACAATACTTGCAGTCAAATGCAAACAAAAAACAATACTCTGATATTTCGATTTAAAGCTTTCGTGACTGCAGGGATTCATCTTCATTATATTATTTTATTATGTTTTATGCTTATTATTTTATTATTTCCATTCTACGTGACTTTACCGAAAGAACCAAGAAGAAGAATACTTTGATAATTTATGCATTGTCCTTGAAACTGATTGGTCCACACCAGAGACAGCTTTCTTTATAGCCGAGTCTCATATGGTGTTCGACCAGATGACGCCAAAAGCCTTGATGACGCCAAAAATCTTTGTTGACAAACATCGCCATCATTGACTCCGCCAATGAAATTTAACACTTTCTGCTCCCCCCCCCCCCGACAGAGATGGACCTGCTGGCGCTGCTGCACGTGAGCGGCTCCCTACGCGGCGTCAGCGCGCTGCCCGCGTCCCCCTCGGAGCCTGCCGGCGCCTTCAAGCTGCGCCGCGCCACCCCGGAGCTGGCGCTGGCGCCCCGGGACGCGGCGCGGCTCGCCGCGGGCCTGCGGCGACGCGGAAGCCTGGGCCTCGCCTTCTGGGCCAAGCAGGCGCGCGGCAACGCGGGCGCCATCTTCTCCATCGGCGGCGGCGGCGAAGGTGATGCTTCTCGCACCGCGACGAACGGCGCCCGCCTGTGCCGTGGGTGACCCCCTTTGACCCCCCCCACTACCACCACCCCCGGACGGTCCCCGTGAGGGTGGCAGGGATTGTGTAGGGGGCGCCACGGGGTCTAGGAGATGTTGACTATCTCGCCTGGCGCACAGGAGGTCGTGGGTTCGATCTCGACCCTGACGCCTGCTGTATATTTGGAGTTTACGTCTCTCTCTCATCATCTTCATCACTGCGGTGGCTAGGAGATGTTAACTACCTCGCCTGGTACACAGGAGGTCGTGGGTACAATCCCGACCCTGATGCCTGCTGTATATTTGGAGTTGATTTTTCTCCGGGTCCTCCGGTTTATCCCTCCACATTTATTGGAGTATTCGGCTGCTATACATTTCCACGTATGCCACTGCATTGGCGGCCACGTCGCTTCTGAAAAATCTATCTCAGCCGAGGTCGGGTGCCGGCCTCGTTCTTGGGCTTCTCCTGCAATTTCCCGCACAGTTCTGGCACGTATGTTGAACTTCCTTCGCACCGTACGTGGCCAACCACGCTCAACGGGTGACTATGGCAATCGACCTGGTGCTGATTCAGAAACAGACCGAGGCTGGCCCGGTTCGGATGTGCGGTGGAAAACAGCCAAACCCCTGACGGCGGAATGCCGTCAGCGAGAAGGAGCTCCCAAGAGACCCACCACCCCCCGCCCCACGCTCCCACCGGGTCTCCCGGGTGTTTTGACCTACTCTTTCACGCTGGCCATCTTGTCTCGCCGTTCATATCGCTGGGTTGACACGGGGCGCCTCGGGCATGTTGACCACACACTCGCCCCACGTCGTTCCAGCTGCCGCGCGCTGTCCGGCACGTGGAATCGAACCGTCGACCTCCGACCTCTGGAGTCCTGCGCGATGACCGCTGCACCACGTGGCAGCACCAAGACGTTTCCAGGGGTTGATTATTATCGGTCGGGTCTGTCCGGGTCAGCGACCCTGAAAAATGTATTTCCGTACACCCAGCACACCACGTCCAGTATACATATCGCGACAACGCTGGGGCACTACCCGTCACGGTGCCGCCTGCTGCGGTCGACAAAGCGACCCGGACAATATTTAGGTAGACGTTAAACCCCGGACAGAATGTAACTTCACGTGGCAAGCACAAAGTGTACTTCTCGCTACGACTGATCTCGTCAAGGGGCGTAAACCATCATCATCGGCCAATCTCACAGCAGTGGCTTTTGGCTCAGCCATCGCACAAAGACGGTGGTCGCCGCATCACCGCGCGCGTCCCGATGCGCTTCTGCGGCCACCTGGAACGCTGTTCCTTACGATATTAGGAATCCACTGGAGCTATGCACTTTTAAATCATCGAGACTGAAAACTAATTTGTTTCCAGCTGCTTTTTGTTTGTTTTCCTTCCTCCGCACCTCCGATTAGCACGGTTGGCGACGTGCGGTGCAAAAGAAGTTCAACATAGATGCGTAACTCAACACGACTCCACCTAACATAACGGAACCTTTCTTGTAGTCAACACAACCCATTGTAACTCACCATAACTCAACCGAAATGAACACCTTCGATTAGCACGTTTGGCCATGTGCGGTGCGAAAGAAGTTCAACGTACAATGCATAACGCGACCTAACTCTACGCAACTTAACGCATAACGCGACCTAACTCTACGCAACTTAACGTAGCGCAACTTAACGCGACGTAACGGCGCAGGTGCCCGATGGCCCGGAGCGGAGGGTCAAGGTCCGTGGGCTTGCGGTTGTCCTGAGCGAGCAGGGGACGGCGTGCGCCGGGGTGCAGAGGTCAATGCTCGGAGGTCAAGGCGTGTGTCGGTTACCGTTGGGAGACGATGCTCAGGCGGGTGGGGGGGTTTAGGTTATTCTAACAGCGAGGTCAGGAGCTATGGCCGGGAGATGTTAAACACTTTGTGCTCGGGGCGGGGGAGGGGGGGGGCGGTTGGACATGAAGATGCTGAACTCATCTTCTTGGTTCTTTCGGTAAAGTCACGTAGAAGGGAAATAATAAAATAATAAAACAAAATAAAATATATTTTTATTTTATTATTTTATTATTTCCCTTCTACGTGACTTTACCGAAAAGAACCAAGAAGATGAATCCCTGCAGTCACGAAAGCTTTACATCGAAAGATGCTGAACGTTCGGGGGGTGTTTAAGAGGAGAAATGAAATTAAAATTAATAAAAAATAAAATAATAGTAAATAATAAATAATACATTTCTTTCTTTTATTAATTTTTAGTTCATTTTTTACCTACGCGACTTTACCGAAAGAACTAAGAATATGAATCCTTGCAGTCACGAAAGCTTCAAATCTAGAAGAAAAATGAAGGTTCGGCCTTGGCGGGGATTCGTTTCAGGCCGGGCTTGTCTGGGGGTTGGAGGTCACGGGGGGCGTGTGGCGGGGGCTGGGGGGGGGGATTTAGGCAGCCCCTGGAAAATCTTTCGTGAGAAATGAAGCGGCGCCGCGTGTCATCGTCGGGGGGGGGGGGGGGGGGTAGGGTAGTGGGGGTCCGGGGTCTGGTGGGGAGAGAACGAGTGGGTGCGGGAAGGGGTCAAGGGGTCACGTGAGCTCGAGTCAGCACCGCAGATAAGAGTTCGAGATTACGAGGCGGCGGCGGCCGTGAGGGTCGTGCCATAGCGACGACGACGGCGGACGGACTCGGCCTAACGAGCGCGATGACAGCTCGTTTAGCCACGAGCAGCAGGGCCACTGCTGAGCTGAAGCAGCAGCAGCAGCCGCAGCAGCCGCAATAGCAGCAGCGGCAGCAATAGCAGCAGAAGCAGTAGGTGGCCACGATGATCGCCGCCCCGTGCACGCAGTCTGTTCCTCCTGTCGCGCGGCGGTGGTGGTAGTTAAGTTCCTGAAGGACACACCGCGTCATGGGAAAATTAGCGTTCTCATGAATGATTGATATATAACGTGGGGTAACGCGCGCGAGATGCGTACGCAGGCCGGGCGACGACCGAGGCGCGTGGGGAGCGTCTAGAAGCATCCAGCAGCATCCCGCGTCACGTGATGACGATGCTACGCCGAGCCAGCCGCTACGACCACCGCTTCCGTTGGCTCGATCGCGCTACGTCCAATTGGCGATCGCGTTATATTAAACAAAAAACGTGTACCCCGATATGTTCATCACCGCGATACGGCCAGTTCGCGTTGTGACAACAACGAGCGTTTTGCAGGAGGGAACGGATCACACTCCTGATCCGACCGTTTGCGGTGTCAATTAAAAAAAAATTTTAATATAGAAAATTATCTCGCGAAAAATGTTGCACAGCACACGTAGAGTTGGCCCCCTTCCGTCTCTCCCACGACGTCGCGGGGATCTGCCAACGTCCGGGAAAATCAAATATACAGCAGCAGGCGTCGTCAGGGTAAGGATTGAACCCACGACCTCCTGCGTACCAGGCGAGGTAGTTAACATCTCCCAGCCACCCTCATAAACGGGGGCGTCCGCCAGGATTCGGACCGGCGGAACCGCGGTAAAGCGGCGAAGGGAATCCGCCGCGGGGGCCGCCACCGCTCCACCGGTGACCTCACCCATTCCGCGTTGTCACCCGCACAGCCGGAGCCGACGACGTCGCCGGCGGTCACGACGACCACCCGCTGCTGGAGCTGTGGTCGAGCTACCGGGCGGACGCGCTGCGCCTGCACTACCGCTCGGCCAGGGGCACCGTGCGGGGGGGCAGCCCGGCGAGCCTCACCTTCCCCGGCGGCTCCCCCTTCCTGAGAGGTGAGCGCCTCCGCGGGCAGCGTGCCACCTCTCGCTTTGTGTTACGCAGACTACAGCAGCCCGGATCCATTGAAGCCCTACCTCCCTCTCTCGCCTCCTTCCTCCCTCACCCCCCTCCCCCCTCCCCCCTCCCCTCCCACCCTCACCCCCTCCCTCCCCCCCTCCCTCCCCTCCCTCCCCCCTCCCACCCCTCCCTCCCTCCCTCCCCCCCTCCCCCCTCCCCTTTCTTCCCAAATTCCCCTCCCTCTCTCCCCTTCCTCCCTTCCCCCCCTCCTCTCCCTCCCCCTCTTCTTCTCCCTCCCCCTCCCTCCCCCTCCCTCCCCTTTCTTCCCCCCTTCCCCTCCCTTCTCTCCCCTCCCCCTCCCTCCCTCCCTCCCTCCTTCTCCTTTGTGCAGGGAATTGAGTTTTCAGGTCCATACGGCGTACAGCCGTTTCAATGCGGGCAACAACAAAAATATAGTTTATTTTATCTATTTTGTTTGGGTTTCTCCCTTGTGATGATGGGACTTTGTAGGATGAACGTTGAGTATTATAAGGGGCACGGGGTGACCAATAAGGTCTGACTTGGTCTGTAATAAGGTAGGGGCAGGTTTGTAGTGGTGAGTGTAGTGGTGAGTGTACTAGTGGTGAGTGTACTAGTGGTGAGTGTACTAGTGAGTGTAGTAGTGGTGAGTGTACTAGTGGTGAGTGTACTACTGATTCGGGGTTGACAGCTATGCACTCGTTTCAGTGCGAGTCGCCTCTCGCAGGAACACAAGTGACTGAGCGCCACGCTCAAGTTCATAACTCGGCGTAGGCAGGTCAAAACACATCCCCCCTCCCCTCCATGTACGAACGTGAACTTTCGCACCGTACGTAGCCAACCACGCGAATCTCTCTCCGCTGCCCCCCCCACGCCCTCGCTAGACGGGCAGCAGCGCTGGGCGCGCGTGGCCCTGTCGCTGTCGCCGCGCCGCGTCGCCCTCATGGTAGAGTGCGACGCACCGCTCGTCCTGGAGCCTCCCGCGTCGCGTCCCGGCGACGTCCTGGACCTGCGCCTGCCGCCCGCCGGGGCCCGCGTCGTCCTCTCCGGCTCGGCCGTGGGGCCCTCGCGGCGACGCGCGGCCGCCGCGGGGTTGGAGAGGTCGGAGGAGAGGTCTAAGAGGTCGCGGAAACGCGAGGGCGGCCGGGGCGATGCGGCGCCGGCTGCCCGAGTCGCGGCCGGCAAGTTTGTGGTGAGTTCCCCCGCGGTGGCGCGCGGAGATGAGCCGGCGGGCGCCGGCAATATGTTAACTACCTCGCCTGATACGCAGGAGGTCGAGGGTTCGATCCCCCAAACTCTGACGCCTGCTGCTGTATATTTGGAGTTTGCGTCTCTCTCTCACCATCACCACGGTGGCCAGGCAGGTTGTTAACTACCTCGCCTGATACGCAGGAGGTTGAGGGTCCGATCCCGACCCTGACGCCCGCTGTGTATTTGGAGTTTGCGAATCTCTCTCTCTCTCTCCCCGTGGTCGCGTGGATTTTTCTCCGGGTCCTCCGATGGTTTTCCCCTCCACATTTAAGATCGACGTCATGCGTTTAGAGTATTTGGCTGCTATGAATTTCCACACAATGATGATAAGCCACTTCGTTGGTCCATCACTTGTTGCCAGGTCGCTTCTGAAAGAAAGAGCAACATGGCTCGGTGGGGCCTTATCTGGTAAAATAAACAAAAAACTTTAATCTTCTTGGTTCTTTCGGTAAAGTCACGTAGAAGGGAAATAATAAAATAATAAAAATAAAACATTATAAAATAATTCTCACGACAGCTGTCTTTCCCACAGACCTGTTCTTCACCTGAGGACGGCTGCTTGCGTTGTGGCCGAAACGTCGTGAGAATTATTTTATAATGTTTTATTTTTATTATTTTATTATTTCCCTTCTACGTGACTTTACCGAAAGAACCAATAAGATGAATCCCTGCAGTCACGAAAGCTTTAAATCGAAAAAAAACTTTAAATATACCTGAATAACTAAGCCACTACGCACTGCGGCTAATTGCACGTGGCGCCCCTCCGTAGCAGTAATAATAACGACACATTTATATCTACCAGATCTAACCTAAAAAAACCTCTGTCGTGGTTAATATCGGTCGCGAAAGCCTCCTTTGTGTTGAACGAACTCGGGTCGCCGGGTTCGTAGCGAAGAGCGCTTGACGCTTACACCACCGCTCCCCATTGACAAATGGGTACAACAACAACCGCCATTTGCCACTAAGTGGCGGTAAAGTCACCACGACGCTTGTGCCAGGCCATGTGCACCTTGAGGCCACGTGAAGTGTCGAACACCCGTTGGCAGGAGGTCACGGGGCAGACCCAGGTGCCACGGGTCGACTGATCGAGATGACCGAGATGAACGGCTGATGCACCACCACCACAAATGGACACACACACACTCACACACAAGACAAAGATCCCCCGTGTAGCCTATTAACAGACTGTTGGGGCGAATGCTGTTAGCGAGCACCTATGAAGGCCGGCACGGCACACGAATGGGTGGGTGGCCAGCACCACGCCTGGCCGCCCTTGTCTTCCCAGCGGCAATGATTTTACACACCGCACCAGGTACTCATTTGAGGCTGAGTCGATGTAGGGGAGGCCCAGGACCGGTTCAGATAATCGTCACCGGTGTTGGCCGTGAGCGGGAATCGAACCCGGGTCGCCAGGTTAATAGTGCAGCGCGCTAACCACTGCACCACCGCTCCCCGCACACACACACACACGGACTCACGGACGCAGGGCAAACGCTGACCTCTGGGGACGGCCCATCAATTCACTTTGAGCCGTTCCTGTGCGTTCTCGCTCGTAGATTGGACAACGGGAGCGTTCTGAGCCATACGTCTCAGTCACGAGTGAGTGGGGTGATGGTGGTGGTGGGTGTGGGTGATTGACTGTGTACACAAGGTCCCGGGTCTGGAGTCTTTCCCTCTTAATCCCCCGTCTCTCGGATTGCTTCGCAGACACCCGGTGCCGCTGTTTTTGAAAGTACAAAGATCAGCCCCGGCCATAGGAATGTGGAATCTCAAACCGTGGGATCAGGACCGCACCTCGCGCTTCGGCGTCCGAGCACGGAAACTCTCTTGACATTAAAACAAATTAAATTAAAATGTTTCTGCCCTTAATCGTCGGTGCTTTTCGGTGGCAAGGTCACGGGACAGGTCAAGAGGTCAACGCCGCTAATCCGGAGTACGTTAGCGAGTCACCAATGGCTTCACACGAAAACCACAAAAATCACAATCATCGCGTCAAACGTGCTTCTGCGCTTAAATTGCCAAACATTCCCCGGCTCCGTGAGTCGACTTATAACTAGATTTGAAGCTTTCGTGACTGCAAGGATTCATACTCTTAGTTCTTTCGGTAAAGTCACGTAGGTAAAAAATGAAATTAAAATTAATTTTAATTTCAAAAATGAAATGAAATTAAAATTAATTTTAATTTCATTTTTTACCTACGTGACTTTACCGAAAGAACTAAGAGTAAGACTTAAAACTATCGGTGGGACGTTCGTCACGTGGGGCACGGTGGATTCTGAGAAAGTGGCACCCGTCTTAACTGCGTGAGACCAGAGGCCCTGCGTGAGAGAAGGGGTGACCTCAAGACTAGTTCTCTGACATCCGCTTCCCGTGGGTCGCTCTCCAGCTCCGAGTGGACACTTCGCGTCCGTGCCAGAACGCCGATGTTGCGCGCTCTGGATAAAGTTTTGGGGAAAATAAAATAAATGACAGACACATCATAATAATAACATTTTTTATAGCCTTATATAACTGCGCAGTCGCTTGCGCCAAGTACTTATTGAACGAGTTTCTGCGAAATAATCCGACGTATATTTAATAAACGTGCGTTATAGCTCCCTTCGGAGCGAGTCTTAAGCCTCAGTGAGGCCTTTCCGGGTAGATAAAAATACCTCGTAGGGCAGTGGTTAGCCCGCCGCGCTCGGAAGCCAGCAGTCTGAGTTTCATTCCCGATCACAGCCAACATCGGTGGCAGCACTGGGGAGACAAAGGCGGCCGGGCGTGGTGCTGGCCAGCCACCCCCTCGTGTGCCGTGCCGGCCTTCGTAGGTGCTGCTACTCGCTGACGGTCTGTTATTAGGAAGCCACTGGAGCAATGCACTTTCAAATTTGGTTTGAAAACGAATTTCTGTGGGACTGCTTGTTGTTGCGTTTGGTGTTGTTGTCCATCCCCCGCACCTCCGATTAGCGCGGCTGGCCTACGCACGGTGAGAGAGAAGCTGTGTTGGGGATCTTTATCTGAACGCATCTCTCTCACTGTGATGTAAACAAATATAGAGTTCAATTTTAATTGGCTATTTTATGGAGGGACTGTGTATTGTACTGTGTATTGTATTGTATTATGCGTTGTATTGTGTATTGTATGATTGTGTATTGTACTGTGTATTGTATTGTCTTGGTGTGGTCTGGGGCTGCTTTTGTTGTTCTGTTGCTGCCTTGCCCAAGCTTGGCAATTGGTGTACTTATGCACAGCTACATAACTTCATCCATTTTATGTATTTATTATTTAAAGTGCTTTCCTTACCTTTCCTATACTTTGCACTGCTATCGTGTTCATCTTTTATAGTTTGTTGTTGAAACTTTCTGATCCCGTGCCCCCCTGACAGGACGTCTGCTTAAAAAAAGAAAATGACGTTAAAAAAAAAACACAAAGAGCTTCACAGCTCATCGGATTTCTCCAGGACTGACGAAAATTCCCACTCTGACTGTGCCCTCTGTGCTCCAGGGCTACTGGCGAATGGCGAAGATCTTCCCCGGCGGACTCAGCCGCAGGCCATGGCACTGTCCGGGCCTCCAAGGTGAACCTTACCGCGACAGGGCAGCGGGGGGTGGGGGGGTGCGAGGGGGGCTATCAATCAATCAAAGAGCCCCCCCCAATACTGAAGTAAAATACTTTGCAGAGAGGATTTACTGAGGAGGTTGGGTTTCTTCCTTCCCTACCACGTGCCCCCTCACCCCCCCCCCACGTGCCCCCCCTTCCCCTCCCCCACGTGCCCCCCCTCCCCCCCCACGTGCTCTCCCCCCACGTGCCCCCCCCCCTCCCCATCCGGCTCGGCTCGGTCGGCCCGCAGTTTGGGGAGAGCGTAAAACTAAAAACCAAAAAAAATGTTGTGCACGTGGAAATATAAATAAAGTTAAAAAAATCAAACCACGAGCGATTAATTAGGGACCCGCCCCCCCCCCCCCCACTTCTTTACATAAAAACAACAACAACAAAACGGGCACAGGTGGCAAGCCGCCGTTTCGGGCCGGCTCCTAATTACCGGCGTCGAATCGCTGAGCCAGCGCCGCCGCCGCTGAGAGATTCCGCAGTTAAATTTGAGAAAAATAAAGAAAAAAAGTTGGGTTAGGTGAGAGGCAAAGGGGCAGCCTCTGCAATTGCCCACTCGCGCCACTGCTGGCAGAAGGGCCCACTCCGCTGCAGCTCACCCCCTCTTGGGCAGAGGGTGTTTGTGGCCTGCGCGCTCTCTCTCTCTCACGCTCTGTCGCGACGACCCTGCCCATTGTAGACTTGCAGAGCTGATTGGCTGCGGTGAAATGTCCACGCGTTGGCCACGTCGCTTCTGAAAAAAAGCTACCGCAATAGCTCAGTGGGGGGGGGGGGGGGGGGGGGGGCCCTTACCGGGTAAAATAAAAAAAATAGTATGAAAAATAGCGTGAGGTGCACCCGTTCGCACAGCTGCTGGGGGCGACGTGGGGGTCAGGGGGGGATATTTAAGAAAGTTGCGCCGTCGTTTAAAATGCCGCTCCGCCCGGGAGACTACGTACGTACGTTGCGTTGAACTTCTTTCGCGCCGTGCGTAGCCAAGTGCGCGCTAATCGGAGGTGCGGGGGAAGGACAACATCGGAATGAAGAGCGTTCCAGACGGCCGCAGAAGCGCATCTCAAAAGTGCTGCACGATGCGGTGACCGCCACCATCTTTGTTCGATGAGCCAAAGCCGCTGCCGCTGCTGCTGCGAAGATGAGCGGAGTGTCGCGTGGTGGTGATGGTTTATATCTCCTGAACGAGATCCGGGGCGAGGTGCTGTGGTTCATTCGCGGTGAAGCAGATTCGAGCTGGAATCCGAACCGGCGATGGCGGGATCGCGAGTTCCAGCGCGATGACCGTCGCGCCACGTGGCATTTTCCTAAAACTTTAACTTCTTAAATTCAACAACAACAACAACACGAAGCGACCCCGCGAGCGAAGCTCGAGGCGGGTAGCGGCAGCTCGTGGGGCCAGCGAACATCCGCGAGCGAATAGAACTCCAGACCCTGAAGGCCGCGGCGGCGACCTGCGTGGCGTGGATCGCGATCCCCGGGGCCTCCGCCAGCGCGATGATGGAGCGTGGCGCGACGGGACGAGGGGGAGGAGGAGGGCCGGGCGGCGGCGCCAGGGGTCTGAGCCACCGAGACCACGGCCCACGGATCCCCACCACCCCCACAACCCCCCCCCCACCCCCCGCTACCGACTGCGATAAGTCACCGAGGGAAGCGACGTAAAGCGGTCGGGCTGATTGATGAGCCAGCACTCACCGATTCAGTCCGGTCGCTCGCTCGCTCACAGTCGGCCAGTCGCCTCCTTGCGACTCTTCTCTAGCTGCTACCAAGGTGACTGCTCCCACGAACTTCACTCACCGATTCAGTCCGGTCTCTCGCTCGCTCACGTGGTCAGGTGTTTTTTTCTTGAAGGTAAATAATCGAAAACACAAGTGAAGCTCGGGGCGACGTAAGTGACAACTTAACTTGGTTTCATCAAACCCTCGGCGTAGCTATTAACATTGAGAACCCAAGGGGTGCAAGGCTGCAGCCAAGGTGAAGAAGCACTGCTCTAGCGGGCCTGTGGATGCTGAGCTTGGTCAGCCCGGCAGATTTGCGTGCGGCAGTGATCTCGTCACGTTTCGCCGGCGGAGCGCGTGACGGCGCTTGCCCCACTGTTTCTGTTCGTGATTGTGGTAGCGGGGGGGGGGGGGGCCCTTGAGCTTCCTGGGTGCCCGGAGCTTTTGCTTGCCCCCCCTCCCAACGCCCCTCCCCTCTCTCTCTCCGTCTCCTCGCGCTGTGCCTCTCTCCTCGTCCCAGCTGGCCTCGTCGCGTTCCGCAGCGGGGCGGTGTTTCGTTACGCGCTTTGTATTGAATTACGTTCGCCTTCGCCAGTTATGCGCTCGGAGCACACGCGCACGTGCACGCACGCGCGTGCACGTGTGCGTGCGCGAAGGGCAGCGCTCACAACAACGAGCGAAGCGCCGGGCGGATAAAGTGCAGCGAGTTGGCTTGGTGGGCGGGCGGGGGGGGGGAGCACAGTCGGTCCACCCCACGGCACCACCCGGGTCCGTCCCGTGACCTCCTGTCAGCAGCGAGCCTTCCAAATTTCACGTGGCCTCAATGCGCACCTAGCCTGGCACAAGTGCCGTGGTGATGTCAGCGCGGCTGCTGCTGTTCTGCGTGCGTACACTGCTGATGGAACCGCATTGAAACGTCGGACACCGCGCCAACAACTCAAACGCTCCGACGCAACTCTTCGCAGCAGTCAAGGGGAGCCCTCTGAGACTCTGCGTGTGCACGGCGGTACGCGCGGACTCGTGTTGAACACGCGTCCGCGCGTATGACCAGGCGTGGTGGTACGCGGCGGTACGCGCGGACTCGTGTTGAACACGCGTCCGCGCGTGCCTGGGCGCGCCAGTCGCCAGCACATGTTTAAGCTTTGTCTGAAAAAGAAAAAAAATAAAGTTAATTTTGAGCGGCACCCCGGAGTAAATTGAAGCAAGATGGTGCGAGCCGGTCCCCCCGCTTTGTTCCCGTGCCTCGCGTCCCCCGGGAGAGGCTTTATTTGATTCGTACGACGCCCGCGCGCTCTTATCCACGACACGCATCGATACCAAGACAAAGATCCCACACACCGCCCGGGTAGCCTGCGTGCGCAGTTGGGGCAAGTGCTGGCGGCGACCGCCTATTAATGGTCGGCATGGCGCCACGCCGGGGTCGTCTTTGTCACTCGCGTGAGGCCGAGTCGACCTAGGGGAGGCCCAGGACGGGTTCAGATAATCGCCGGTGGCCGTGAGCGGGTGTCGAACTCGCGTCGCCGGGGGTTCGTAGTGACAGCGCGCTCACCGCGACACCACCACTCCCCCACCCTTACATTGATGCACACAGATAGATAGATACACAGCAGAGGTTGCAACCGGGTACCCGATACCCGTACCCTACCCGATACCCGGCTACAGACAGAGAGAGAGAGAGAAACAGCAGATCAGGCTGAGCTGTCAATGCTTTAACTGCCTGCGGTTAAACCGGGTTCTCCACCGTGTGAGGTCATCGGTCTCCGTCGGATCACCAATTAACGTTGGGCTCTTTTGCACTCAGTCTGGCTACGTTCAAACTCCGAGAATTGGATATCGGTCTGGATAGGGCAGCGTGTTTCCCACCCGCTGTGCCACGTGAGAGCAGCGGCGGGACGGGAAACTCGCCGCCCTCTTGGTGGCGTGACGAAGAGAGAGGCCACTTGGAAGGAGGAGGGGGTGCCAGGGGTGGCTCTGCGTCGTCCGCTTCCCCTTTCCGCTCCGTTCCGCCGGGCCGGTCGCCGTGACTCCGATTGTGTCCGCCAGCGATCAAACAACCGGGACAAAAAACAAAACAGAAAGACAAATTGGTTTCTAGAAAGAAACTCACGTGGACAAGTACAAAGACCCGCTCCCGCCACACCTTCACAGATTGCTCGGGCGGTATACATGTGTCTGTTCACGAACACCATATGGACAGACAGATGAACACACAGACACACACAAACGTGACAGAAATGGAGAGACACACTGAGGGACGGACAGCCAAACAAACAGACATACAGATTGAAAGATGAACAGACGGACAGACAGACGCACGGATGGATGGGCGGACGCAACGGACACATTTAACCGTCGTGCTCCTACCGCCCACACACGAGCCCGGCTTTTTATTCTCTTTTCAAAGCAACGCAAGAATCAAGAAGACAACAGAATGGCCCCCCACATGGAGGAGGGGGGGCAAAGGGGAGGTCACGACCTCTCGCGACGCCTCCCACTCAAGCCCGTCGCGATGCGTCTCCCGTTGGCCGCGAAGTCGCGGCCCCACGTGCAGCGGCCGCTGCGAACGGCCGTTCCCGCTGGGCCGCCCACGGCCGCCCGTTCATAACTCGTCACTCGAATCGTGACGAACTCGCAGCTGAACACCGGCACCCCGACGCTGAACCCTAGCGCCGACGCCAACCCTGACCCTAACCCCAACATCCTGCGTGCTGTGTTGGCTGCGTGCGGCGCGAAAGAAGATCGGCGTGCGTGCGTGAGCCCCGATCGCCGCGTGCTCCGTGCGCGAGGTCACCAGCAGAGCGTGCGTCGCCGCACGGCGCTCTCAGATGCGCTTCTGCGGCCACAAGTGATCGAACAACGCCCCGCTGCTGATCTCGTCAAACGACATAAACCACCGTCGCGCGACACTCGCCGCACCGCCGTGCGCTTTCAGATGCACTTCTCGTGAGGGTCTCTGTGGGTTTCAATGGGCCTCTTGCTTCCGATATTAGGAAACCGCTGGGAGCAAATACACTTGTAAATCACCTCGATTGAAAACGAATTTCTTTAGAACCGCTTCGTCTGTTTAGTTTGTTGTCCTTCGCTCCCGCACCCTCTGATTAGCACAGTTGGCTACGTACGGTGCAAAAGAAGTCCAACACACATGCATACATACAACCGTGTGTCAATCCACTGCTGGATGAAGGCCTCCCCAGACCGTTCGGATATCACTCGCCACTGATGTTAGCCACGGTCAGGAATTGAACTCAGGCCGCCGGGTTCATAGCACATAGTCATAGACACTGCGCAATGCTCTACCGTATACTAGGTGATATACAGTCTTGCAACCCACTTGCTGTACTGTAGGACCCCTGGTGGCAAACTGAGCTTCTGCGCATGATGAAAATTCCTCGCTTGTTTTCCAGATGAAGACCTCGGTCCAAAACCCCAAGGGACCACCACTAACATCACAGTCAACCCCACGACCCCGCGACCCACGACCCCGCGACCCACGACCCCGCCACGCCCTACGACCCCGCCACACCCTACGACCACGCCACGCCCTACGACCCTACCACGCCTTACGACCCCACCACGCCCTTCGACCCCGCCTAGCCGTACGACCCCGCCTACGACCCCGCGCCCCACGACCCCGCGCCCCACGACCCCGCGCCCCACGACCCCGCGCCCCACGACCCCGCGCCCCACGACTCCGCGCCCCACGACCCCGCGCCCCACGACCCCGCGCCCCACGACCCCGCGCCCCACGACCCCACGCCCTACGACCCTGGCACCGGTGACCACGGAACTCGACAGCTCCTCCGTTACAATGACGACAACAGCGGCAGCGAGCGATGAAAACGACGATGACTACGACGGACTTCGCCTGCCACCGGCGCCAGACTCATCGCTCCTCGAGACGTCCGGCCTGGACGGGGTCACGGGGGTGGCCGGGGGGGGAGGTCGCGTTGAGAGCGACGGCACGGATTGGTCGAGCGCCGCAGACATCTTCGGAGAGTTCCCCGCGGCTCCAGGCCTCGGCCCGGTGAGTGACCTCGACGATGGCGGCAGCGATGACGTAGGAGGAAGGGCTCGGTCTTCGTTCCACCGTGTCTCCCACGAAGATCGGATGGCGACGACCACGGAACGCCCCGATGCGGAAGCTTGGGGAGGAACTGCCGACTTGGCTCGTGACCTCGACGGTGACCCCGGCCGTGACCCCGGCTCCAAACTCGAGCCATCGATGGATGCTGGCTCGCAGCAACTGGACGGCCGATGGTCCGGCACCGTCGGTGCCACGTGGCCCGGTTCAGACGAGCGGCTCGCTGGGGGCTTTCAAGTGGATGACGGCGACGACGGCGATGATGGTGGTGACGGCGGTGACGGCGGTAACGGCGGTGATGGTGGTGATGGTGATGATGGTGACGACGGTGGCGATGGTGGTGATGGTGACGACGGCGGTGATGGTGATGATGGTGGTGATGGTGGTGATGGTGGTGACGGCGGTGATGGTGGTGATAACGGTGGCGACGGTGGTGACGGCGGTGACGGCAGTGATGGTGGTGATGGTGACGACCGTGACGACCGTGACAACTATGGCGACGATGCTCGTGAAGCTCGTCCGCTGGTTGGCGAAGTGGAGGAGGACGCCGACGGGGAGACAGGGCCGGGATTTGCCGGTCCCCCGGGCTCGGCGCGTCACCGCGCGCCGATCTCTCGATTCCGCCCGGCGGCCCCGCCCCGCCCACACGGCGACGAGGTGGCGGTGTCGGTGGAGGCGGATGACGACGACGATGAGAGGCACCCCCTCCCGGTGGACGACACGCGACTGGGGAGCGACGACGAGGTGGACGACGAGGTGGACTACGCGCTGTACGGGCCGCGGGGCTTGGAGCCCGACGCCGAGCTGGACTACTACCCCGACGACCTCCACGATGAGAGCGACGATGACGACGGCGGCGGCCGCGGTGTCGAGCGAGGAGGACGAGGAGGAGGAGGAGGAGGGGGCGGCGGGTACGCCCAGAGGCACGATGTGGAGGCGTTCAACTTGGCGTCGAGGGAGGTGGAGCTCCGCGGAGGCCGGCACCGTGGCGTGGACCGAGACGGCGGCGATGGTGGCGGTGGTGGCGGCGGTGGTGGCGGTGGTGGCGGTGGTGGCATTGGTGGTGGCGGTGGACGCGTCGGGGGTCACGCTTCTCCTCTGCTGGCAGACCAGGGGGTTGGCGGTGACGGTGGCGGTGATGGTGGGGCAGACAGGTGAGTGTGGGGGGGAGCAGGGTTTGGCGCAGCGCGCCAGGTGAACTGAAGCAATATTTTGGTCTACAGTTCTTTATCACAAGCGACGTGGCCACCACAAATGATAGCTCAACGAAGTGGGCTCTTCATCACCGCGTGCAGATTTATAGCGGCCAGACACACTCTGAACGCGTGACGTCGATTGTGGAGGGAAAAACCAGGGGACCCGGGGAAAAATCCACGGTGAGAACACGCAAACTCCAACTGTACAGCAGGCGTCGTCAGGGTCGGGATTGAACCCATGTCCTTCTGTATGCCAGGCGAGGTAGTTAACATCTCCTAGCCACCGTGATTATAATGAGAGAGAGACATGCAAACTCCAAATATACAGCAGCAGGCGTCAGGGTCGGGATCGAACCCACGACCTCCTGCGTACCAGGCGAGGTAGTTAACTCAGATGAGGTCTTGGGTCACCCATCTGTGTGTGTCTGTGTGTGTGTCTGTGTGTGTGTATGTGAAGCGGTAGTGTTGTGGTTAGCGCTACACTGCGCTACGAACCCGGAAACCCAAGTTCGATTCCCGCTCACGCCCAACACCAGTGACAATTATCTGAATCGGTTCAGGGCCTCCCCTAGATCAACTCAGCCTCAAATGAGTACCTGGTGCTATGCGTAAACATCAGCACTGGGGAGACAAAGGCGGCCGGGCTCGGTGCTGGGGTGTGTAGTGCGTGTAGTGTGTGTGGTGTGTGTGGAGTGTGTGGTGCGTGTAGTGTGTGTGGCAAGTGTGGAGTGTGGTGCGTGTAGTGTGTGTGGCGTGTGTGGTGTGTGCAGTGTGTGTGGTCTGTGTGGTGTGTGCAGTGTGTGTGGTCTGTGCGGTGTGTGCAGTGTGTGTGGTGTGTGTGGTGTGTGTAGTGCATGTGGCAAGTGTGGAGTGTGTGGCGTGTAGTGTGTGTGGAGTGTGTGGTGTGTGCAGTGTGTGTGGTCTGTGTTGCTGGGCATGGTACTGGCCACCCCCTCGTGTGTCGTGCCGGCTTTCGTAGGTGCTACCCGACAGCACTTACCTCCGGCAGTCTGTTAAGGCTTCAGGGGGTGTCTTTGTGGTGCAGGCTGGACACGGACACGGTGGCGCGCGTCGCCGCCCGCCCGCCCCTGTCCTCCGGAGACGCCGCTGGTCGCTTGTCCCGGCTGGAGCAGGAGTTCCAGGGCCTCGCCACCATGCTGGACATGCTCAAGGCTCAGGTACATGCGGGGGACGTCCGTGCGTGTATGTGTGTGTGTACCTGGTGCGGTGTGTAAACATCGCCACTGGGGAGACAAAGGCGGCCAGGCGTGGTGTTGGCCACCCACCCCCTCGTGTACCGTGCCGGCCTCCACAGGTGGTGCTACTCTCTAACAACACTTGCCCCAATAGTCTGTTGAAAGCGATGGTTGGCGCCCTGCGCTACGGACCTTCCCGTTCACGAGGCCACCATCGCCAGTGATGATTATCTGAACCGGTCCTGGGCCTCCCCTCAATGAGTACTTGGTGCGGTGTGCTTCCCTGCATTATAACCGGCCCCGGCTTGCCAGAGTTGCCGATCATGAACGGCGAACGAAGATATACGAGACTCGTGGAGCGAAACGTCGAACATTGCACCGGGCAACTGTGCAGGCTGTTGTCCTTCCCCGCACCTCCGATTAGCACGGTTGGCTACGTACGGTGCAAAAGAGGTTCAACATACACACATAGACTCACACAGAGACCCATAGACTCACACAGAGACCCATAGACTCACACAGAGATCCATAGATTTACACAGAGACTCATAGACTCACACAGAGACCGATAGACTCACACAGGGACTCATAGGCTCACACAGAGACCCACAGACTCACACAGAGAGACTCATAGACTCGCACAGAGACCCATCGACTCGCACAGAGACCCATCGACTCGCACAGAGACCCATAGACTCACACAGAGACCCATAGACTCACACAGAGACCCACAGACTCACACAGAGACCCACAGACTCACACAGAGACCCATAGACTCACACAGAGATCCATAGACTCACACAGAGACCCATAGACTCACACAGAGACCCATAGACTCACACAGAGACCCATAGACTCACACAGAGACCCATAGACTCACACAGAGACCCATAGACTCACACAGAGACCCATAGACTCACGCAGAGATCCATAGGTTTCCACAGAGACTCATAGACTCAAACAGAAACCTATAATCTGTTGTCTTTCCCCCGAACCTCCGATTAGCACGGTTGGCTACGTACGGTGCGAACCAAGTTGAACGTACACACACACACGTATCCAGTAAACATGCCGACGTCGGCGGGCCAACGTTGGCGTTTGGTCAGAACCGTCGGCCCAGCGACGTTCACGTGTTGACTGGGAGGCCGCGTGGGAGAGGGAGGGAGACATCCTCATCATAATTTGCCGGGAATCTGTTCGATCGCGCCGGTCTACGTAGCGCGTCCCGCACCCCAGCAGCTGCGTCCGATATTCAATCCATTGCAGCGCACGTTTTGATATATATATTATTATATGTTTTTTAAATGGAATTCTCTGTTGGGTAAAGATTTAAAACAAAACAGCCAAAGCAGATTCCACCAAAATAAATCTCGAGAATGAAAGACGTCCAAGATATTCTTCCCAGTCGCGGAGCTGCGTTATTAAATTCCTCCGCTAAAGTTTGATGCTGTGGGGGGGGGCGGGGGGGGGGGCGGCGGGGGGGTGTGAGTGGGCCTCAACGTCAGCTGTGGCCGGCTTGTACCACGCCGGTTTTCTTTTTGGCCGACGTTTGCGCCAGGCGTCACGCGGAGTTCATCGCTTCAGAGCTGTCAGCGCAGCAAGCGCTGGGGCTGCTCTATCTCTCTCTCTAGCGCCAGCAGCAGTAATTCTGCCGCTGCTGCTGTGTTGAGGTCAGGGCACAATTTGTACTCGCGTGTGTGTGTCAGCAAGTTGGCACAGGTGGCGCATCGGGCAGTCATCTCAGTCAGTCGACCCGTGGCACCTGGGTCTGGCCCTCGACACTTCACGTGGCTCTTTGGTTCTTTCGGTAAAGTCACGTATAAAGATAAAATAATAAATTAAATAATATTTTATCTTTATACGTGACTTTACCGAAAGAATCAAAGAGTAATTCCTGCAGTCACGAAAGCTCCAAATTTAAGAACTTCACGTGGCCTCAACGTGCACGTAGCCTGGCACAGGCACCGCGGTGACGTCACCGCCACTTGTTGGCGAATGGCGGTTGTTGTTGTTGTTGTTGTCACCGTGCGTCTTCGTACGTTGCGGGCGGTGTGGTGGGTTAACGTGCCACCCTACAGACCCGGCAAACATCTCAACTCGGTCACAGGACTCCCCAAGGTCGACTCAGCCTTGGATGAGCACCGAGTGCGCTGTGTGACCACCAGCATTGGGAAGACAAAAGCGGCCAACCGTTGTGCCGGCCACCCGACCCCCGTCACGCGCCGCGCCGGCCTTCGTAGACGCTGCTCGCAAACAGCGCTCGACCCATACCGTTTGTTATTTTCGGTAAAGTCACGTGGGTAAAACATTAAAATAAATTAAATCACGACGTTTCGCGTGCAACACAAGCGTCCTTCTTCAGGTATGGATGCTTGTGATTAAATTTTTTGGAATTTTTCACCTACGCGACTTTACGGAAAAAACCAAAGAGTATGAATCCTTGCAGTCACGAAAACTTCAAATCTAGAAGCGCTCGACCCGACGGTCTTGTCAACGCTATACAGGGGCGTGTTACGTAATAACAATAATGTTTAAAATGAAAACGGCTTGGGCCTTGGCACCGCCTTTGCCGTGCACGGAGAGACCGCGTTGACGCTGACGGATGCCTCGCGTTGTTTTGGTTACAGTTGTGGCCACGCTCTACTGCCGACGCAAGGCGCTTCGTTATCCACGAAGTGTTTACGTTTCATATCGAGCGCATCGTTCACGGCGATGGCAATCGGGGCGCCACCTGTGGCTAGGAGATGTTAACCACCTCGCCTGGTCTACAGAAGGTCGTGGGTTCGATCCTGACCCTGACGCGTGCTGCTGTGTATTTGGAGTTTCAGTGTCTCTCTCTCTCATCATTATCACGGTGGCTCGGAGATATTAACTACCTCGCCTGGTCTACAGGAGGTCGTGGGTTCGATCCTGACCCTGACGTGTGCTGCTGTGTATTTGGAGTTTTAGTGTCTCTCTCTCTCATCATCATCACGGTGGCGAGGAGATGTTAACTACCTCGCCAGGGTACGCAGGAGGTCGTGGGCTCGACCCTGACCCTGACGTGTGCTGCTGTGTATTTGGAGTTTCAGTGTCTCTCTCTCTCATCATCATCACGGTGGCTAGGAGATGTTAACCACCTCGCCTGGTCTACAGGAGGTCGTGGGTTCGATCCTGACCCTGACGTGTGCTGCTGTGTATTTGGAGTTTCAGTGTCTCTCTCTCTCATCATCATCACGGTGGCTAGGAGATGTTAACCACCTCGCCTGGTCTACAGGAGGTCGTGGGTTCGATCCTGACCCTGACGCGTGCTGCTGTGTATTTGAAGTTTCAGTGTCTCTCTCTCTCATCATTATCACGGTGGCTAGGAGTTGTTAACTACCTCGCCTGGGTACGCAGGAGGTCATGGGTTCAATCCCGACCCCGACGACGCCTGTTGCTGCTGTAAATTTTCTCTCTCCCCGTGATCGCGTGGATTCATCTCCGGGCCCTCCGCTTTTTCCGTCCACATTTGGAGTCAACATCGCCGCGCGTTTCATAATATTTTGCCCGATGTCAATTTCCGCGCGATAAGCCGCTCCGTTGAGCCATCGTTTGCGATGGCCGGGTCGCTTCTGCGAACGAGCTACATAGCTCAGTGGGGCCTTAAACGGCAAAAAAAAACATTGTTTATAGTTTGAGTTTAGTTTTGCTCGACAAGTCGTGATGCACGGAAGCGTGCTGGGGAGGGGGGGGAACCACGGACGAGCGGGGCAGGCAGCAGGAGCCGCGCAGCGAGCCGGCCTTGGCGCTGCCAGCGATTTCCCAAGCTCTGCAGTCCCCTCTGTATATTAAGATGCTTTCGGCCAATAGGAGCGAGGGCATTCATAGCGTGGTGTTAGGCTATCGGAGCGCTCGGGAGGAGATAATCTACGCGTGTGTTCGAGGGGGGGGGCAGCGTTCTATTCCAGTACCGATGGGACAGATGGATATTAGTCCACGCTGTTGTGTCAGCTAGCATTTGTGTATGGTTGATCATCGATAATTATCCGGCACTGCACGATTATCCGGGCTGCTTACAACGCTCCAAAGGCTGTTAACCAGTCGCCGGCGATCGCCGGCATGGGCGTGTGACACATCAATGTAGATACGCTTGATTTCAGTGACAAATATTGCATGGGGTACATTATATACTCCGTACAACTTAAACAATGACAATACTGCACGTATATACACATCACCCCATGATGCAGAGTCTTCGAGATTGGAGTGGTGAGTACGGTTCAGTGGATAGAGTCACTTGTTACAGCAGGCCATTTTTTTGCGTCCATTTGTATGTTCACCTATGTCAGTTTCTCACGGTAAACAAATGAAAAACACAAAAAACACGAACACACACCGAAAAACGTAACGTCGTGCAAGAAGGTGCAACATTAAGCTATTTTTAAAATGACAATCTAATTCACGTGATTATCCGGCGTTTTGCAAAGTCCCGCGCCCCCTTTGCCGGACAGCCGACGATGGGACCGCACGTTGTAAATGCTCCTTTAACAAAAAATCCTGGAGGGGGGGGGGGGGGAAGAGACGATCCAAGGATTCGAGTGGGGAGCAGCGACAGTGGCCCCAACAGACCGGGCCGCCCCCGTCCGGAAGACGCAGATGTCCCGGCGGATTGCCTGGCGATGGTCAACGGCGATCCGGCAACGGCGATCCGGCAGCGGCGATGCGGTCAGCGCCACGTGACCGACACGCGCGCACGGCGATTCTCAGGCTTGTCCAGACCACCGACTCAGCAGAGGGCCCCAAAGCGTGGCCTTATTATTATTATTGTTGTTGTTGTTAGACCCCCAACTTTGTTGAACGTGGAGGTCACATGTATGTTGGATTTCTTTCGTACCGTACGTAGCCAACCGTGTTAATTGGGGGGAAGGACAACAAACTATGGGTCTCTGCGTGAGTCTATGGGTCTCTGTGTGAGTCTTAGGGTCTCTGTGTGAGTCTACGGGTCTCTGTGTGAGTCTACGGGTCTCTGTGTGAGTCTGTGGGTCTCTGTGTGAGCCTACGGGTCTCTGTGTGAGTCTATGTTTCTCTGTGTGAGTCTACGGGTCTCTGTGTGAGTCTACGGGTTTCTGTGTGAGTCTATGGGTCTCTGTGTGAGTCTACGGGTCTCTGTGTGAGTCTTAGGGTCTCTGTGTGAGTCTTAGGGCCTCTGTGTGAGTCTACGGGTCTCTGTGTGAGTCTACGGGTCTCTGTGTGAGTCTACGTGTCTCTGTGTGAGTCTATGTTTCTCTGTGTGAGTCTACGGGTCTCTGTGTGAGTATATGGGTCTCTGTGTGAGTATATGGGTCTCTGTGTGAGTCTATGGGTTTCTGTGTGTGAGTCTTAGGGCCTCTGTGTGAGTCTATGGGCCTCTGTGCGAGTCTACGGGTCTCTGTGTGAGTATATGGGTCTCTGTGTGAGTATATGGGTCTCTGTGTGAGTCTATGGGTCTCTGTGTGAGTCTATGGGTCTCTGTGTGAGTCTACGGGTCTCTGTGTGAGTCTATGTACGTCTGTTGAACTTCTTCAACAGCCTACCGTACCAATCGGAGGTGCAGGGATCTAGGCATGATGGCTAGGGGGGGGGGGGGGGCTGTGTGAAGCGGCTGGTGGGGGGGGGGCTGCACAGTGATGGGTTCTAATCCTTCCTCGTGTGGCTCGCGGCGTCGACGCAAAGCAACGGCGGGTCACTTCGCACCGCGGCGAAGCGCGCGGTCGTGTCGTGCCGAGTTCGCATCACCGGTTGACTGGGTCGGGAATCGAACTTGTCGGCAGGGTGTTCGCCGGCCAAGTGACAGACCCCCCCCCGCCGGCACGACCCCCTCCCCCCGCCCCCCGCAGCGGCCGCCTGGCGCTGACCTCGTTTTGTTCGTCGTTATTTTTCTTGTTGCACACAAAATTAATGAACGTTTTGAATGGCGCCCGCGCGCCAAAAAAAATTCCTCCGGCTCGGTGAACCGTGGTGGTGGTGGTGGCGGCGGTGGTGGCGGCGGTGAAAGTGGTGGTGGTGGTGGGTGAAAGTGGTTGGGAGGAATGTGAGTGTGGGTGGGTGAGTGTGGGTGAGTGGTGAGTGTGGGTGAGTGGTGAGTGGGGGTGAGTGGTGGTGGTGGTGGCGGTGGTGGTGAGTGAAAGTGGTTGGGAGGAATGTGAGTATGGGTGGGTGAGTGGGGGTGAGTGGTGAGTGTGGGTGAGTGTGAGTGAGTGTGGGTGAGTGAGTGTGGTTGAGTGAGTGGTGAGTGGGTGAGTGTGGGTGAGTGAGGGTGAGTAGTGAGTGTGGGTGAGTGAGTGTTGTTGAGTGAGTGGGGAGTGTGGGTGAGTGAGTGTGGGTGAGTGTGGATGAGTGAGTGAGTGCGTGGTGAGTGGGGATGAGTGGTGAGTGGGGGTGGTTGGTGAGTGGGGGTCGGTGAGTGTGAGTGAGTGAGGGGTGAGTGAGTGTGGGTGAGTGTGGATGAGTGAGTGAGTGCGTGGTGAGTGGGGATGAGTGGTGAGTGGGGGTGGTTGGTGAGTGGGGGTGGGTGAGTGTGAGTGAGTGAGGGGTGAGTGGGGGTGAGTGAGTGTGGGTGAGTGAGTGTGAATGAGTGAGGGCGTGGTGAGTGGGGGTGAGTGAGTGTGGGTGAGTGAGTGCGTGGTGAGTGGGGGTGAGTGAGGGTGGGTGAGTGAGTTTAGGTGAGTGGGTGAGTGAGGGGTGAGTGAGGGTGAGTGAGTGGTGAGTGAGTGTGGGTGAGTGGGTTTGGGTGAGTGGGGTAGAGTGCCAGCTGTCCACTCACAGCACTTGCCCCAACAGTCTGTTAAGGTTATACGGGGGAGCTTTGTCTTTGTTAGATGATGCGACCCCAAGTTTTGGATGAATACTCAGGCTTAAGACGCGACATTTCTGATCATCCGAAACTAATTCTTGTGACACTATTGCTGCACTTTTATCGATGATGTCGATGGTGATGATGATGATGGTGAATTAAGCACGCACAAATACAAAGATCCCCCGTACAGCCTTACCAGACTGTTAGGGCAAGTGCTGTTAGTGAGCACCTATGACTGTACACCAGGGGTTGTGGGTGACCAGCATCACACCCAGCCGCCTTTGTCTCCCCAGTGGCGATGTTTACTGCGCACCGCGCCAGGTACCCATTTGAGTTTGAGCCGACCTCGGGGAAGGTTCAGGACCGGTTCAGAGAATCGTCACTTGGTGGTCGTGAGCAGGAGTCGAACTCGGGACACCCGTGTCTTAGTGCAGCGGAGCGCGAATCACTCCATTGCCACTCCACTCCGCTCGAACGCACACACACACAGGTACACACATACACACACAGGTACACACACACACACAAGCACACAGACAGGCACACACACACACAGGTACACACACACACGCACACACACACACAGGTACACACACACACACAGGTACACAGGCACACACACACAGGTACACGCACACACGCACATACACAGGCACACGCACACACACGCGCACACGCGCACACACACACATGCACACACGCACACACACACACGCACACACGCACTTGCACACACACGCGCACACGCACACACACTTGCAGACACTCACACACACACGCACATACACACACGCACATACACACGCACACACACGCACACACACACAGGCACAGGCACACACCGCCAGTGATAACAGCCTCCTTTGTGTTGACCAGTGAGCTCAGGGCAAGGCTCCCCTCGTGCCCAAACGCCCCCCCTCCTCCTGGCCCCCCACCCCACTCACCCACTCTCGCTCTCCGTGTGTGTGACAGAGTGAGCCGTGTAACCCCCCCCCCCCCCACTAAACAAACAGGCCCGCCCTGCCGAGGTGATGTATTGTGAGCGAGTAACAATGCAAGGGGGGGGGGGACCCTGTGTGGATGTCCCGATTTGACGGGTGACTCTCTCACTCAGAGCCCCCCCCCCAGCCCCCCCTTGCTCACACAACCACTCGCTCACCAACTCACCAAACCACTCGCTCAACAACTCACCCACCCACTCGCTCACCAACTCACCCAACCACTCGCTCACCCACCCACTCACCCACTCAAACACTCACTCACCCACCCACTCACGCACCCACCCACTCACTTACCCACCACCCACTCACGCACCCACCCACCCACTCACGCACCCACTCACCCACCCACTCACCCACCCACTCACTCACCCACCCACCCACCCACTAACCCACTCACGCACCCACCCACCCATTCACTCACCCACCCACTCCCCCACACACTCACTCACCCATCCACCCACTCACGCACTCACTCACCCACCGACTCACTCACCCACCCACTCACTCACCCACCCACTAACACACTCACTCACCCACTCACTCACACACTCACCCACCCACTCACCCACTCACTCACTCACTCACCCACTCACCCACACTCACCCACCCACTCACACACTCACTCACCCACCCACCCACCCATTCACTCACCCACTCACTCACTCACACAACAGGGTTGCCACTCTTATGGGAATCTGCGTTCAGGCGGCATGAATGTATGAGATCCACTCCCGGTGTTGCGGTGTTCAACTCTATGGCAGTGAGAAAGGTGGAGACTCTTTTATGGCGCTGTTTTTTGTGTTGTCGTGATTTCGTTCGATATATATATTTTTGGGTGAGATCGCGTAAATATAAATGTGTCGTTAAATCCGCCACCACCCGACACAGCCACTTAGTAAAGGTTGACACGCCCTTCCCAACCCCCCCTTCCCACCCCCCCCCCCCCCCCCCCGCTGGCAGAACGTGGAGTTGGTGGGTCGCGTGAAGCAGCTGGAGTCCTGCGAGTGCCGCCGGCCGGCGTGCGAGTGGCAGGGGCGCGCCCGCGCCCACGACGAGCGCTGGGAGGCCGACGCGTGCCACTCCTGCTCGTGCCGCGCCGGCTCCGTGGAGTGCGTGCCGCGCGCCGACCGCCCCGAGTGCGCCGGTAAGAACCCGGCGGCAGAGGTCGCAAACGGGTTTTGATTCCTTACCCGTACCCGGCCGAACCAGGGTCGCAAATGGGTACCCGTACCCGTACCCTACCCGATACCCGGCTACCTGTACCCGGCCGGGTATCGGGTAGGGTACGGGTACGGGTACCCGATTGCGACCTCTGGGATGAAGCCATGTTGCAGGCGCGGGTGGGTTGATTCTAGGAACTTGAATTGTGAGAAGAGACAAGACGTTGGGAAATGAGTGACAAACGGTTACTCACCAGTGACTCACGGCCTACCCGTACCCGGCCGCACCAGGGTCGCAAACGGGGACCCGTACCCGTACCCGGCCGGGTACAGGTAGCCGGGTATCGGGTAGGGTATGGGTATCAGGTACCCGGTTGCGACCTCTGCCCGGCGGGCTGGCTGGCACGGACCGACGGACGCAAGCCGGCCGGGCAAAATGGCCTGCCGCCACCCGGCGAACCGGCGTGTGTGTGTGCAAGTGTCTGCGTGCGGGTTGGGGGTGTTTAGCTACCTCGCCTGGTTTACAGGAGGTCGTGGGTTCGATCCTGACCCTGACGATGCCTCTCGTAATATTTGGAGTTTGCGTGTCTCTCTCCCCGTGGTTGCGTGGATTCTTCTCCGGGTCCTCCGGTTTTCCCGACATTTCTACGTGATGATGATAAGCGACATCTTTGAGTACTCATTTAAACGAGTACCGCCGCTTGCGAAAGCCAACAGTGGGCTGTCCTCTGGAATAGACTCGCCCCCTCCACGTGAATGTGGAACTTCCACCACCGACTCTGCAGGGCTGCAAGCAGGAGATGAGCGCCAATGCCTCTGCGCACGTGGGCCGCAGTCGGTCACTCTGACTTTCAGACGATGGGAAAGTTTCGACGTTGTTGATAATAATAATGATGGTGATGATGGCGGTGGTGACAGCATGAACACGATCATGCTGATGGGGTTATGGTTATATGGTGATTGATGCTTCGCGTATGCTCAGTTTGACGGGTAAGTATAGACGTCGACGACCGATGACGACGACAACAACAGCTTTCATTACGAACCGAGTGCGACGAGGCGGCTGAAGCCATCGCCCGCGCCGGCCCGGTTTGACCTCTTGTTCTCACGTGGACGGGCCGTGAGCTCAGCGCCCGCGGGACCGCCGGGACCCGGAACGGAACACGCGTTCACACGCGGCACACGCTCGTTCGCTCGCAAGATGGAGTTCAACATACACACACACGCGGCACTCGCTCGCTCGCAAGCTAGAAGTTCAACATACACACACATGCGGCACTCGCTCACTCGCTCGCTCACTCACTCGCTAGAAGGAGTTCAACATACACACACACGCGGCACTCGCTCGCTTGCAAGAAGGAGTTCAACATACACACACACGTCGTGAGCGATACGCGCGGTCACGCGCACGCAGTCCTCACCGCACGGTGACCTCACCCCCCGCCAAGCGGAGCTCGTCGGACGCGTTACCCCGGGGGCCCTCTTAATTGGCGTGAGTGGTGCCGCTAATGATCAGCGTGGGGTTCTTAAGGGGACGACGAGCCTGAGAATTGGGGACCCTGAGAATGGGGGGAGACGGGGAGGTTGGGGAGGTGGGGGAAGAACGGGGGGTGGGGATAAGGAGGAGGGGGCACAAAAGGCAGAGAATGCCAAAAGGCGAACGGTACAAGGGCAATGCAAATATGAAAACATCACAAGCACAGGTTGAGGGGTTGTGTATATAATGCGGCCTTGCAATAATAGGAGCGTGTCTACTTGGTGTTTGAACATCTTCACACCTCCTGAATCATTGCCGGAAAGGGGAAATCATATTTTTGTTTTCATCAATTTTTGATGCCGGAAAAAATCTAATTGGTCCCACAGATAGACTCGCTGATGATCGCTGCGAGCACTTTGGCTAATTGTGCATCACTGGAAGCCCAGCAGTAGCGTCACCGGGTATCATTTTTGCAAAACGAAATTATAAAACTATTGTTTTTTTTCGGTAAAGTCACGTAGGTGAAACATTTAATTAAAATTAATTAAAGTAATAATAGAAATAAAAAAATAATAAAAATCACGACGTTTCGGAGGCAACACAAGTCTCCGTCGTCAGGTGGGACCGTCACAGCTAGATTTGCTGTATCAAGTGAGGGAGGGATTCCAAATGCAAGTTCTTAAATACAAGTTAAGGGAGAGGAGGGGGGGGGATCTTATTTTATTTCTATTATTACTTTTATTAATTTTAATTAAATGTTTTACCTACGTGACTTTACCGAAAAAAAAAACTAAGAGTATGAATCCTTGCAGTCACGAAATCTTCAAATCTAGAATTATAAAACTATTTTTTATTTCCCACGGCAACGCGACCTGGCTTTCACAAATGATCGCTCAACCACGTGGCTTGTCATCATCATCACGTAGAGCTTTCTGGCAGCAGCCAAATATCTCTTAAACGCGTGACGTTGATTCTAAATGTGAAGGGAAAAACTGGAGGACCCGGTGAAAAAAATCCACGCGACCACAGAGAGAGAGAGAGACACGCAAACTCCAAATATTACAAGATGCATCGTCAGGATCGGGATCTAACCCACGACCTCCTGTAGACCAGGTGAGGTAGTTAACATCTCCTAGTCACTGGTGGACCCGGAGAAGAATCCACGCAACCACGGGGGAAGAGAGAGACACGCAAACTCCAAATATTACAAGATGCATCGTCAGGATCGGGAACGAACCCACGACCTCCTGTAGATCAGGCAAGGTAGTTAACATCTCCTAGTCACTGGTGGACCCAGAGAAGAATCCACGCAACCACGGGGAAAGAGAGAGACACGCAAACTCCAAATATTACAAGATGCATCGTCAGGATCGGGATCGAACTCACGACCTCCTGTATACCAGGCGAGGTAGTTAACATCTTCTAGCCACCGGTGGGAGGGCTAGACCTTCCGCGTCCATCCCTCCCTGCCTCCTACCGACGCTGGGAGCTGTGTGCGGAGACTTCGTGCCGGCGATGGATGTGTTCTGGTGCGTGCGGGTGGGGGGTGGTGGTGGTGGGGGGGGGGTGGTGGGGGGGGGGATGGTGGGGGGGGGCAGCGCTTCGCTTAGAACACCACCACCACGTGGTGTAAATATTTACCCTTCTCGCCACGAGTGGTGGCACGGCAGCCCCTGGGGGTCTCGGGCCGTGGCGGCGGCGGCTGCCGCTGGCGGCGCCAAGAAGATTTTCCAAAAATCTTCGCTCTCCAAAAAATGCGACGACAAAGACAGAGACAAAGAAGGCCCGTGTAGCCTCCAAGAGACCGGCGGGGCAAGTGCTGTGAACGCGCAGCACCCATTCAAGGCCGTCACGGCACCGTGGTGACCTTGTGGTGATGTTGTTCGCATGGCACCAGATACGCATTTATGGCCGAGCCGACCTAGGGCGGCCGTGGACCGGGAATCGAACTCGGGCAGCTGCCCCCCTCACGCCGCTCGCGTGCACCCGCTCAGCTGTTAGCGCACCGCACCGCAATCGGGGCGTCGTCATCATCCAGCAGTGGATTGCCGGTGGCTGCTCGTGGTGGTGGTGGTGGTGACGAAGAAATGTGGATGTTTGACCTGAGCCCAACATTCCCGAGGTGGGGGGGGCGGGGGGCCCATGAAACGAGCCCCCCCCCCCCGCCGCCGCCACCCCAACCACGACATTTGTTTGTGAGGCCGTCAACTCGCTGAGCTGTCCGCGGGACTCGTACGGCGTCAACACCGCTCGCTCCACCTCGATCCGGAGCGGCTTTTCTTTGCTTGTTTTGATTCGCTTTGACTTCATCCTTCCACGCTTTCCACCCTCCACCCCCCACACACACACAACGCTTCGCAGTCGTCTCCGTTGTTCACGAATTGCGGCTTCGTCGTCATCGTCAGCCATGGTCAATCCACTGCTGGATGATGATGGTGTACCCAAGCCTCCACCACCATCATCATCATCAGCCGTGGTCCATCCACTGCTAAATGATGAAGGCCTCCGTCCCCCCCAAAGCCACCGCCGTCTCTGACGATCCATCCAGCGCCTGCCGTGCACACCAGGAGCCGCTTTCATCATCGCTCCATCTCCTGGGTGGACGTTTCCCTTTCGGACGCTGCGGTTTATCCCCGAGGCCGCCGCTCCGTTGTCGTCCCTCACCACTTCTCGTCGAGACCCCGTCTCCCGCCCCGTCTGCTGCCACCGCCCTGGGCCAACGCCACATTACCGGCGCTCGCCCCAAAGCGGCCATCCTTCCCCTCTCTACGGCCCACTCCTGGTGGGCCCCTCTGGCCCCTGGTGGGGCCCTGGTGGGCCCCTTCGGCCCCTCCGGCCCCTCCGGCCCCTGGTGGGGCCCCAGTGGGGCCCCGGTGGGCCCCCCGTCGTTGCGGTCGCACCGTAAGCGTGAGTGAGACGGCAAGAGAACGGGGACCTCGGGAGCTGCGGGCGACTCGAGTTCCTCGCAAGAGCCGCGTCGTCACAGCGTCGATGGCGTCACCTGCAGCGGCTCCAGCGGAGCGCCTGGGTCGGGACGCGCGGCCACCCCTGGGGTGTCCACGTGCGCAGGGTGGTCACGTGCGCAGGGTGTCCACGTGCGCAGGGTGTCCACGTGTGCAGGGTGGTCACGTGTGCAGGGTGTCCACGTGTGCAGGGTGGTCACGTGTGCAGGGTGTCCACGTGTGCAGGGTGTCCACGTGCGCAGGGTGTCCACGTGCGCAGGGTGTCCACGTGCGCAGGGTGTCCACGTGCGCAGGGTGTCCACGTGCGCAGGGTGTCCACGTGCGCAGGGTGGTCACGTGCGCAGGGTGTCCACGTGCGCAGGGTGTCCACGTGCGCAGGGTGTCCACGTGCGCAGGGTGGTCACGTGCTCAGGGTGTCCACGTGCGCAGGGTGTCCACGTGCGCAGGGTGTCCACGTGCGCAGGGTGTCCACGTGCGCAGGGTGTCCACGTGTGCAGGGTGTCCACGTGCGCAGGGTGTCCACGTGCGCAGGGTGTCCACGTGCGCAGGGTGTCCACGTGCGCAGGGTGGTCACGTGCGCAGGGTGGTCACGTGTGCAGGGTGTCCACGTGCGCAGGGTGTCCACGTGCGCAGGGTGTCCACGTGCGCAGGGTGTCCACGTGCGCAGGGTGTCCACGTGCTCAGGGTGGTCACGTGCGCGGGGTGGTCACGTGTGCGGGGTGTCCGCGTGCGCAGGGTGGTCACGTGTGCAGGGTGTCCACGTGCGCAGGGTGTCCACGTGCGCAGGGTGTCCATGTGTGCAGGGTGGTCACGTGTGCAGGGTGTCCACGTGTGCAGGGTGTCCACGTGTGCAGGGTGTCCATGTGTGCAGGGTGTCCATGTGTGCAGGGTGGTCACGTGTGCAGGGTGGTCACGTGTGCAGGGTGGTCACGTGTGCAGGGTGTCCACGTGTGCGGGGTGGTCACGTGTGCGGGGTGTCCACGTGCGCGGGGTGGTCACGTGTGCGGGGTGTCCACGTGTGCGGGGTGTCCACGTGTGCGGGGTGGTCACGTGTGCGGGGTGCGATGTACCGTGGCCAGGGGTAGCGAGTGAGGCAGGAGTGTTGTGTGTGGCGTGACTGCCGGCAGGTCCCAACTCGATGTTCAGCTGTCGATTCATTACGATGGCCTCACTTGTGCATCCTCTCTGGTTTCGTACACCACTCTATCTGTTTAATTCTCCCTAACTTGATTTTGTAATTGTGCTGAAAGTATAAACGACAAAATGCACTTGAAACTTAACTAGATGAAATCTAAATCGACTGGACAAGGCTCAGGGTTTGTTGTACGACTTGTACGTTACACACGTTTCTATTTGGGGTTAGGGATCGATGTGGTGTTAGGGATCGATGTGGAGTTAGGGATCGATGTTGGGGGTTGTTTGGGATCGTTTTGGGGTTTTTAACCCGGTAAGATCCCACTGAGAACAGCTCTCACTTGCAAGGCAGAGTCGGGATAGAGAGTTCAACGGCGACAGCCAAAGTTGCGCCACAGTGCCAACGGCGGAACAACGCGGTGCAGACTCAAGGTGACACCGCTGACGCTCGCTGACAGGGGGCTCTTAACTAAGCCACGGCAATCCGTCAACGTCAGAGCCCCCCCGCCGCCCCCCGCCCAAACGATCATCAGGCCAGCGCCCTTCTTCACCCACCGGTGGCTCTGAGCCAGCGTTGAACATTCCACATTCTCATGGCAGGAGCCAGCCATGTCCCGCATGAAAATTCCAAACCAATTCAAACCCCAATTTTCCGCTCACTGCCCGTGAATTTTCTTATTTTTTTTATTGAACATTTTTTTTTCCCGTCCAACATTGCGCTCCGTCTAACTATCGCTCTCTTGTCTGTCTCTGCCTCATCCCCTTGGACCCCTCCCCCCCACCGTGACCCCTTGACCCTCCCCTACCCCCCCCCCAGAGGGGTGCCTCTCCTCCCCATGCTTTAACGGGGGCTTGTGCCGGGCCGAGGGGCCAGGCGGCTTTACCTGTGAGTGCCCGGCGCCGTTCTTCGGGAAGGCGTGTCAGCTGGCCTCTATACAGGTAACGAGACCTCTCTTTCCCACCTGCCACCCCCTCTGTGACCCCTGACCTTCCTCCCCACCTCCCCTCCCCCCCCCTGACCTTTCCCGCCCCCTCTCTGCCATCACACTTGCCTCTTAACGCTTCCTTTTGGCTGGGCGCTATCGTTGACCGGTTTTCCAATTCGCTTGCTGGCTGGTTTGTTGGTCTGAAGTAGATTCTGCTCATGAATTAATTGCGTGTTATAATGCACCCGATAGTATCCTCAGTTGCACCTGGCTATTGGAGAGCACGCAAACGAGGTTGACCCAGGACCTGTTTTAGAGCCACTCGGCCACTACATTTCTCCTCCGTATAACAGAGACCCACCCACAGTGTGGCCACTTCAACTGGGATGGATTATTCCGTGTATTTGATGATAAATATTTCCCCTGCTCATCATCAGCGCCGCGTCCCAAATGCCGCCATCCCTAAACGAATTCGTTAAAAGTTCGCCGTTCCGTTTATTCAATCCAGCCTTTTAGAATTTACAGATGCTTTCGCTTAAGTAAACAGCCGCTAATTCAGCCAAAAAGCAAATTGGATTTCACGGTATTCAGAATGTAAATACCGCATTCTCTGGATTGGAAAGCGCAGGGACACATTTGGCCTTGCAATACGGGGGGTTGGGGAAGGAAGTGCGACTTTTCATCCAGAGAATATGGTATTTGTCCTCATTTCAAGCTGACTGACTGCATGCTTTATATACGACAACCGTCATTGTCATCATCAGCCATGGTCTATCCACTGCTGGCTGAAGCCCTCACTTTGCTGTCGCAATCCGACACGGGTCCTGCGATGATTCCGCACGTGAACCAATCTCGTTGCTCCATCTCCGTGCCCTCTTCCACTTTGGCTGCCGGTCCGTCACTCGTCCTGTCCCATTGGCCGTGGCACCTTCTCATGTCAGGCAATGACCAAGTCCCACTCAAGTCCCACTCAAATCCCACTCAAGTACCACTAAAATCTTACTCAAATCCCACTCAAATCCCACTCAAGTACCACTAAAATCCCACTCAAGTTCCACTCAAGTCCCACTCAAATCCCACTCAAATCCCACTCAAGTATCACTCAAAGTGCACTCAAATCCCACTCAAATACCACTCAAATACCACTCAAATACCACTCAAATCCCACTCAAATCCCACTCAAAGCCCACTCAAATCTAACTCAAATCCCACTCAAATCCCATTCAAATTCCACTCAAATCCCATTCAAATCCCACTCAAATACACTAAAATCCCAATAAAATCCCAATAAAATCCCTCTCAAATCCCACTCAAATCCCACTCAAATTCCACTCAAGTCCCACTCGCTCTTCTTATCCGTCGTTGCAATGTCTCTGAGCGATGGGTGCCGTTCCCCGCTCTAGTCCATATCGTACAGAGCGCCTCCACTCTTGACGTAGCTGTCAGAGACCGTGACACAGAATGGAACGATTCAGGTGTGTGCAGCCGCAGGGGTTGAGGAACGAGTGACAGCAGCGATAGAGTGGTGCGTAGGGGCTCACGGAAGGGCTACATGGGGAGGGATGGGATTGGAGTGGAGGGGGCGAGGGGATAGCAACAGCGTGGGCAGCAGTTGGGGCCACAGCGCGCTGGGATTTGAGACCTCAAAACCTTACGCGACATCAGACGCAACTCAAAAGCGAGCTGGCCAGTGACAGGACGATAAATCTGAAAAGGTTTATCAATGGAGTGGAGGTGAGTTTCGAGGAGGAGAGGTCGATGGAAAATGAGATAGCGGGGACGGGAGTGAACACTACGGCTCGCCCCTTGCTCGATGCGAAACTCCCGCACTACTTTGTGGGCTTGGATTCACTCGGCATGCGGTGGCTTATGCAGTCGGACGTGGGACAGCATTGTGTAGTGTGTACCGTGTGTGTGTACAGTCTGTGTGTGTGTACCGTGTGTGTACCGTGTGTGTACCGTGTGTGTGTGTGTACCGTGTGTGTGTACCGTGTGTACCGTGTGTGTGTGTGTACCATGTGTGTGTGTGTACCGTGTGTGTGTGTACCGTGTGTGTGTGTACCCTGTGTATGTACCCTGTGTGTGTACCGTATGTGTGTGTACACTGTGTGTGTGTGTACCCTGTGTGTGAACCCTGTGTATGTACCCTGTGTATGTACCGTGTGTGTACTGTGTGTACTACTCGGCAGACAGCTGTTCTTTGGCGAGGGACAACATTGGGTTCAGGGTCAGGGTTCGCGATGGGGTTAAGGACAGGGACAGGTTTTGACGGTTCCTGACGGCTACCTCGTGCCGCGGGGCGTGGGCATTTTGCAGCGCGTGCCCATCTCCCTCTGTCTGCGATCCGCCAACCCCACCTCGCCGTCACGTTGACAAAGCCCCCAAACCCATGTCCCGGCGCGCTCCCCCCTACCCCCACCCCTCCCTCGACCTCCGCCGACCTCGCGACCTCTGATCCGCGCTAGGACTGCTACCTCCCGCCTTCCGAGGGCGCGGCCTGCCGGGAGGGGGCCGCGCCGGCCCCCCGCTCCTGGTACTTTGACGGCCGCTCGGCCCTCTGCCGGGAGTTCCCCTACGCCGGCTGCGGTGGCAACGCCAACCGGTTCGGCAGCGCCGCCGAGTGCCGCTCCCGCTGCGAGCTGGGCGCCTGCGTCTACCGCGTGCGTCGCGCCACGACGTCGCCGCCGCCGTCGCAGCCGCAGTCGTCGTCGTCGTCTTCGGAGGAATTTGGCAGCGACGGTTCAACCGCCTCGTTCCTGCCGCGGAGACACAAGTATAACAGCAGCAGCGGCGGTGGCGGCGGAGGTGGCGGTGTTGGCGTCTACAGGGAGATCCACGGTTTCCCGCGAGACTTGGGTTACGGCACTGGCGCCGGTGCTGGTGGTGGAGGCGGCGACCCCGGTGTCGAGTACGCCGGTGACGGTGGATTTGGTAACGGTGGATTTGACGGCGGTGTCGGCGACGACGGTAACAGCCTGGACGGGAACGAGCTGTGGCCACCACCCGGCCGCCGTCACCTGCGGCCCGGCATGAACGTTGCCGCGCCCGCCGGTGCTGCCGGCGCCGCTCTCTATGGCCGGCGCCGGCACCAGAGGGCTCACCGCGGCGGCGCCGGTGCAGAGGGAGCGCCGGGCGGTGGGGGCGCAGGCTGCTCATCGGCCGGCGGCTACGAATACCGGTGCGAGACGCTCACCAGGGCTGACTGCCTCAGACTCGACGGGCTGGAGCTGAGCGACGATGGTGGAGGTTACGGAGGTGGTGGTGATGACGATGCTGGCGGTGGTGGCGATGGTGGCGAGCACGGTGGATCCCGTGGCCCGAGAGAAGGCGACGGTGGTGGTGCTCGTGGTGCTGGTGGAGGTGCTTTCGGTGGAGTTGGAGTCGGCGCAGGAGATCATGTATCTGCCGGCAGTGTGGGTGGTTTTGTTAATGAATTTGGTAGACCCGTAGTGGCTGGACCACCGATCGCAGCCGGAGGAGGCGGGCGTGCATTCGGCGGTGGTGCTGTCGGAACCACCGTGGCCAGATTGGCCCGGGCCAACGCCGGCAGCCGACCTACCAACGCCGCCGCTGCAGGCGGGGGAGGTATCCTGGCCGTCGGCATTCGCGAGGTCGTGGGCTTCTCGCCGGGACAGACGTGCGGCCGCGGCGGCGCCGGCGGACTCTTCCCACCACCCTGCGGCTGCGCCGGCGGCGCCAGCGCAGCCGGTGGCTCTGGTGCCGCCCGATCACGGCGAGCGGCGGGCGACGGTGGCGACTGCACGGCGTGCGGCTGCGGCACGGACGGCCGGCCCGTGTGCAGCTGCCGGAACCCGGTTCGGCGCAAGGAGATCCACGACCTGACGGAGGAGGAGCGCCGGCGATACCGGGAGGCCGTGTGGCAGCTCGTCGATGCAGGTGCGGGAAATTGTTGACCTCGCACGCTCGCACGCTCGCTCGTTCGCTCGCTCGTTCGGGCGGTGACGCGGCTGGGAGGTAGCGCGCACTTGCCGCACCGGTGTTCGTAGCCGTCGGCCGACGGGCAGCCGGTGCCCCCTCCACCTGGCACTCTCTCCGCGAACCGCTGTATGGGGGATCTTCGCATCCGAGTCGCGTTCGAACCGCTTTACGAAATTGCGCACGTTACAAGTTTTTGTCAGCGATAATATTGATCGCATGATTAATTATTGTACGGGGACGGTGGGTATCCGTGCTGTGTTCTGGCGAGGAGCGTTTCGCCACCGCGGCCGGCCGCGGCAATCCGCGGCGCTAACCTCGTCCCCTCTCCACCCCCACCCCCCCAACCCCCCGGTAGGCACGTGGTCCGAGCTGGCGCACACCTTCTCCGCTCACGCCCCGCGGGGCCGCCGCTCGCGCCCCTCCTCGGCGCTGCCGTGGCTGCGCGCGTTCCTGCGGCACGCCGAGGCGCTGCTGCAGCGCGCCGCCGGCTCCTGCGCCCTCGCCGTGCCGTACCACGAGTGGCCCGTCGACGCCGGCGACGTTGACTCGTCCGTCGCGTGGGACCCCGACCTGTTCGGCGGCGACGGCGCCGACGCCGGCGACGGCTGCGTGCGGCCGAACCCCTTCGAGAGGCCCGGCGCCGCCTGGTCCCCCTGCCTGCGCCGGCGCTTCGACATCTCCATCTCCCTGCCGGACGCCGTGGACGTCCACCTGGCGCTGCTGTCGCCCGACTTGGCCGCGCTGACCGAGCGCCTGCTCGCCATGTCGGCGCTGTTCCGGCTGCGCGTGGGCGGGCACGCGGCGACGCCGCTGGCGCCGTACGACCCGCTCTTCCTGCCCCACCTGGCCTACGTGGACCGCCTCTGGGCGCAGTGGCAGGAGCAGAACCCCGGCGCGGGGCCTCCCCGGGAGACGCCGCCCACCGAGACGGTGCCGTTCGGCCCGGCGCCCGACGACGGCCGCCGCTGCGTGTCGTACGTGCCGCTCACGCTGGGCACCCCCTGCAACGTGACGGCGGCCGGGCCGGCGGCGCTGCGCCGGCCGAGGCCACCGAGGGGTCGCGAGGGTCGCGCCTCGAGGGCGGCCGCCGCCGCCGACGGCCGGGGTCGCGCGCCGCCCGACGCGCGCTCCAACGACGCCGGAGAGTTCTTGGAGGGTTTCGTGGAGGTCGCCAAATACGGCGCGAAGTTGGGAACCCGCAGCACCACCACCACCGCCGCCGGCGGTGGCTTCCTTCCTCCGCCTCCGGGCGTCGAGTGGAACCAGTTCACCCGGAGCCAGCTCGGCCAGAACGGATTCGAGCCGGAGCGGCCCGACGAGAGCCGGTTCAATCGACGGCCGTCGTTGCCCCGCAACGCCTTTGATCCGGAGTCGCCGGAGCCGGCCCGGTTCGACCACGATCCGTTGGACCGCGGTACGTCCGGCCGCACCGGCGGCGGCGGCAGCGTCCGCCTCTTCGACCGCGACGGCTTCGACTCGGAGGGCTTCGACCGCCTGGGCTACGGCCGCTACGGCTTCGACCGCTCCGGCGTGACGCCGTTCGGCATGCGGAGCGACGGCACGTTCGCCCGCACTGCCGACCGCGTCGCCGCCGCCGCAGCGGGCCTCTTCGACCCCTCCGGCCACAACCGGCACGGCTACAGCGCGTTCGGCCTGGACCGCGCCGGCTTCGACGTCTTCGGCTTCGATCGCGACGGCTACGACAAGGACCGCTGCAACTACTTTTTCGCCGGGCCCCACTACCTGCGCTTCTACTTCTTCGCGACGCAGCAGCTGGCGGCGGCGGCCGGAGGGGAGGCGGCGCTCGCCGGCATACGCCGGATCTGCCCGCCCGTGTCGGAGGTGCCGGCCTGGTGGCTGGAGGCGGAGGGCGTCGGGGGGCGGCCGTCGCCGGGAGGCGCCGGCGGGCGGCTCCGCGAGCACGGCCAGGCCCCGCGGAGCTCGTCGGTGACGCACGAGGGACTCTGGCTGCCGGTGACGCCGGACGCCAGGTGAGGAGGATGAGGGAGGAGAGAGTTTGAATTTCGATGGTTGCAATTTGCCTGCGGTCGGGGTTGCTCGTGGTCGAGAGGTCGTGGAGGTCAACACACCTCCGGTGATCACGGTTGGCTACGTACGGTGCGAAAGAAGTTCAGGGAGTCGATCGTTTAAGCCCACCCCGACAACAACAAAACATCGTGATGTTGATAGTTCCCGATGCGATTGATTTGGCGAAATTCCACCTCTGAGAATTGAATGTCGGTCTTACCCGTCGTGTGTGACGAACTTTACGCTCATCTGGTAGAGCGAGGGGGAACGTGACGCTACTATTGTGCGTGGTGGACCAGGGCATCACTGGAAGGGAGGGATCTCAGAGGGAGCTCTTTGATATCCGCTTCTGCGGGCCATTCGCATCATCTGTTCATCTCATCACGAGTAAATTATAAGTTCAAGTTGATTTTGTTTAGAGATAGACCATTTTGCCAGAGTGAACCGAGTCACCAAAATGTTACACCGATGTAGCAACTCACAGCAACCGGTTGAATGGACGCCCAAAAGACAAAGATTCCCCGTATAGCCTCTAACAGACTGTTGGGGCAAGTGCTATTTGCGAGGACCTACGACCCCACGCACAGACAGGTGCGCGTAACACCATCGCCCACACCGCATTGCTGCCCTGTACGTACGTATGTTGAACTTCTTTCGCACCGTACGTAGCCCACCGCGCTAATCGGAGGTGCGGGGGAAGGACAACAAACTATGGGTCTCTGTGTGAGTCTATGGGTCTCTGTGTGAGTCTATGGATCTCTGTTTGAGTCTGTGGGTCTCTGTGTGAGTCTATGAGTCTCTATGATAGTCTATGGGCCTCTGTGTGTCTGTGGGTCTCGGCACGAGTCTACGGGTCTCTGTGTGAGTCTATGGGTCTCTGTGTGAGTCTATGGGTCTCTGTGTGAGTCTGTGGGTCTCTGCGCGAGTCTTTGGGCCTCTGCGCGAGTCTATGGGTCTCTGTGTGAGTCTGAGTCTCTGCGTGAGTCTATGAGTCTCTATGATAGTCTATGGGCCTCTGTGTGAGTCTATAGGCCTCTGCACGAGTCTGTGGGCCTCTGCGCGAGTCTATAGGTCTTCGCGCGAGTTTGTGGGTCTCTGTGTGAGTCTATGAGTCTCTATGATAGTCTATGGGCCTCTGTGTGAATCTATGGGTCTCTGTGTGAGTCTGTGGGTCTCTGCGCGAGTCTATGGGCCTCTGCGCGAGTTTATGGGTCTCTGCGCGAGTCTATGGGTCTCTGCGTGAGTCTATGGGTCTCTGTGCGAGTCTATGGGTCTCTGCGCGAGTCTGTGGGCCTCTGCGCGAGTCTACGTATGCACGTTGAACGTCTTTCGCACGACCCTCCGTCGCCAGCCGCGCTAATCGTGAGGCTGCCGCGCGGCGCCGCAGGTTCTGCTTCGAGCTGCACTGGTTCTCGGGCTGCCCGCTGGGCTCCCGGCCCGTGACCTGCGGCCAGGACCTCTGCCTGGGCGCCGCCTGCTCCGGCTTCCCCCACGCCGAGTGCCGCATGCGCAACTGCGGCTCGTGCTACACCGAGTGGCTGGAGCCGCAGACGGGGGCCCTGCTCATGTGCCTCGGTCAGTGTGCTGCGCGTGTGTGTGTTACGTGTGTGTGTGTGTTAGTTGTGTGTGTGTGTTACCTGTGTGTGTTACGTGTGTGTGTGTGTCACGTGTGTGTGTGTGTTAGTTGTGTGTGTGTGTGTTACCTGTGTGTGTTATGTGTGTGTTACATGTGTGTGTGTATGTTAGTTGCGTGCGTGTGTTACATGTGTGTGTGTTACATGTGTGTGTGTTACATGTGTGTGTGTATGTTAGTTGCGTGTGTGTGTTACATGTGTGTGTGTTACATGTGTGTGTGTGTTTGTTAGTTGTGTGTGTGTTACATGTGTGTGTGTGTGTATGTTGGTTGTGTGTGTGTTACATGTGTGTGTGTATGTTAGTTGCGTGTCTGTGTTACATGTGTGTGTGTATGTTAGTTGCGTGTGTGTGTTACATGTGTGTGTGTGCGTTACCTGTGTCTGTGTTACCTGTGTGTGCAGTGTATATATGTTGAACTTATTTTAAACCATAGATAGAACATCGTGCTCATCAGAGAAGAGCATGTGTCGTCTGTGTGTGTGATGTGTTTGTACTCATCCAGTGTGTTCTAGATCAGTGAACCCGCCAGGCCATTCTTGTGTGTTGTTGTTGTTGTTATTTTTATTATTGTTACGGATCTAGTTGTTCTTTGGTCATAGTCGTTGTCGTCATCGTTTGTCATTTTGGTTGTTGTCATCGTTTTTTGTTGGGTGGCATCGTTGTGTTATTGTTGATATCTGTTGTCATAATCATTTTGTTTTTGTTTATTGCTATGGTTGTTGTTGTTGTTTCCGTTGCTCCGCAGGCTGCATCGACGAGCGGGGAATGTTCCGCGCAGAGGGCAGCTCCTGGGTCATGACCTGTGACCTCTGCTCGTGTCAGGGAGGCGCAGTCTCCTGCATTAGCGGCTCCTGCGAGCCCTGACCCGACCTCTGACCTCTGACCTATCGCCCCCCCACCCCCTGCCCCCCTCCCCCATCATGATCATGCCGGTAAAAGATGTCAAACTTTGACCGATCCCATCAGGCCGGTAAGGGTGAGCCTGTGTATGTGCGGGTTTGTATACCTGTGCGTGCGTGTGCGTGCGTTACTCTCTCGCCCTAACACTTTGGTGTGTGTGTGTTGACATCCTGCCGGTGAGCCTCTGCCAATTTACTTGGCGTCAAAGTGCACCTAGCCTGGCACACACGCGCGGTGGTAGCATCACTGCAACTCGGTGGTGAAAGGAGGATGGTGCGTGCGTGCCATGTGTGTGTCATCGTTAATTTAAACGTGCCCCCTTGTGACTCTGAATGCTTGGTCTGTGAACGTTATTCATTTTAGCCAACTCTTTCACGCACATATTTTATCCGTGATTGACGAGTTAAAAAATGACTACGCATATTCCGATTGGTCTAAACTTGAATGTACCCCCTTTCGATTGGTCAAAACCTTACTGTGTCTATTCTGATTGGTCCATGTTTGGCATAGCCCTCTTATGATTGGTCCATACAAGGCATGTCCTTTCCTGAGTCAAAACCTACCCCACGTTCTGTTTAATTGGCCAATGCTTGACCTGGTCTTTGATTGGTCGGAAAATATATTCCACGTCTCGTCTGATTGGTCAATATTAGAATTTTCATTTTTATCATCACAATGTATCCCAGGTCTATTCTTATTGGTCCAAACTTGACTTGTGTCTTTTGATTGGTGCTAATTATTATTTGTCCACTGGCTTGACCTCCGCGGGAAGGTCAGCAGGTCGGCTGAAGTGAACATTCTCGCAATAATGTGAAGATCTTGCAATGCGGTTGTGATATTTGTATTCTTTTATTTAAATACTCTGAGTAGTGCCAGTCAACAAGTGCCAGTAATCTTGCGACAAGCAAGCAAAACAAAATGACCAGGCATTATCACGACCCATCTAAAATCATGACTATTATTATCACTATTATTAATATTTATACTACATAGCGTACACTTTTGATGTAGAAGGAAGTTTCAATACTGCAGACTCCAATGAATATGCGTGCAGATGTTGTAGGAAAGTTTAATGAACGGTGGCCAAATGAAGATAGGTTCACCACGGTTGCTTTGTTCCCTTATCAATAACTTTGATCGTAAGAGAGAGGCACTTTGCCGTTGGGAAGGGTGGTCAATATTTGGCATTAACTCCGGTGGCACCGATCGTAGTAAAGTCACTTCAATTGTGCTTGGCGTGTACGCTAATGACACACGTAACTATTGCGTTTTCCCCGTGCCAGCAATTGTGTATGGCGCTGTGCGTGCGTGCGTATGTATGTGCGCACGTATGGAGCGGTGGCGCCGCGGTTAGCGTACTGCGCCGCGAACCCTGTTCGGCCTCGATTTCGATTCCCGGCCACGTAAAAAAAATCAGTGGGGATTATTCGAACCAGTTGTGGGTCTCTCCTAGATTGACTCAACCTTAAATGAGTATCTGGTGCCGAGTGTCAGTGTCAGCACCGGGGAGACAAAGGCAGCCGGGCGTGGTGCTGGCCACAGCGACCTCCTTGTGTGTCGAGTCAGCCGCAATAGGTGCAGACTCAATAGGCACTCGCCCCAACAGTCTTCGTGTGCCACATGGGGAACTCTTCGTATCTGTGTGTGCGACGTTTGTCTGTACTCACGGTCGCTTTCATTTCAATGCCGTTTCAACCGGCGGCAAATCCATCATCTTATTTTCCCGTCGTTTGTTAACCGCCTAGTTTTTAAGCTGACGCGTTTTTAAGCCGACGCTTAAAAAGTAAAAAAAAAATCTCACGCAACCTACGGTATTATATAGGATTTGCTTGAACAAAAACAGCACCGGTTAGTGGAACACCGACCAAGTTTTTCCACCGCAATGTCGTCAGATCACGGACTAAATGTGGGAAGTCGATGGTCACGACCCAGTCACCAATGACTGCACAGAAAAAAAAAACCATCCCAATTAATATATTTGGTTATCGACTTATTATATGATGACATGCCCAGCCCTGAGAATTAAAATATATAAAAACAATGAATATTGGTTTGTCACGCGTCGAACGTGATTGCTCGCAGTGGCAGGGTGAGTAGGAAAGTTCCAGCACCCCATACAACGTGAACCAGATGTCATTTGAAGTGATCTCAGGAGTAGTTCTGTGTTGTCCACTTCCGTGTGCCGTTCTGTAACAAGGGGGGGGGGGGTTGCGCTGCTTTGTGAAAGATGCAAATGGAATGTTCTTCTTGTGACGTGCCGATGACGTCGACAGCACATCCGGGGATAGAAATTTGGAGGACATTTTTCGTTTTTGTAATCGCGTTTAGTGACTGTAATCTGATGACCTGTCAAGAGCCTCGGCATTTTATGGGATTACCAGCACCTGTATTTCGCATTCTGACTACAATAGCACATTTCCTGTAAAGCTCGACTTAACAACACTGGACCATGTCTAGGCCTTGGGCCTGGTATTGTAGAAGGCCTCAAATGGCCGTCGGTCTAAAATGGTTTCCCTTTCGGTGCCAATTTGTTCGAACTCTATTTATTGTTATTATCGTTATTTCGTATTCGAAAAATGTTGCGGCGTTTGGTAACGGCGGAAATTATAGTGCAGTATTTTTTTTCTAAGTCTAGGTTGTAAGTTATAACGGACGGTCAAATGAAGTCCGTCGAGCGGTGAAAGCCACCATCAAGTCTCGCCTGTGTTACTATCGGTTTTTAAAAAAACAAACCAACAAGAAAACCCTGAGCGGTGTGCGTGGTTGTGTTTCGTGCGATTCTGTCGGATTTGTTACGAGGGAGCGTGGAGGACGCCGTCGCCGCTTTGTTTCTTTTGTACAACGACGACGATCCACGTCCCCCCATCCCCCCTCCGATAAAGTTTGTGACTTTGGACACAGCAACAACAAAACAACTTTACGTTTTTATTTTGTCGTCTCATTCCTAAGGCACCTTCGCGCAAACACATACAGACACACGCGCATACATACACACAACAAAGACAAAGATCCCCTGCGTAGCCTTAACAGACTGTTGGGGCAAGTGCTGTTAGCGAGTAGCGCCTATGAAGGCCGGCATGGCACACGAGGTGGGTGGGTGGCCAGCAACACGCCCGGCCGCCTTTGTCTCCCCAGTGGCGATGGTTTCACGCACTGCATCAGGTCCTCATTTGAGGCTGAGTCGACCTAGAGGAGGCCCAGGGCCAATTCGTCACCGGTGGTGGTGGCCGTCGTCGTTATTGTCGCCCGACTTGCTGTTGCTGGTCGACAGAATTTTCCCGTCCGGGATCTCTCCGCACGCGCGGAGTCCAAAACTTAACAAGAACCCAGCCCAGAGTGCGACGGGAAATCCTTCGTCACACACGGGGAGACCTCCACGCAGACGAGCGTCGTCGTCAACATCCTCGCCGCACCGCCGTCCCCCCGAGACCCAAGTCGCGTTCCGACAGCAACAGCACCACCGCCACCACCGCCGCCGCCGCCGCCGACCCCGCCACTCAGCCACGACGCCTGCGGCTCGCGTTGCCGCGGGCTGGTGATTGCACTTTGAGGCCGTCGCGGCACATGTGAGTGTTGGGAAGGGCTCGCTGCCGACAGGAGGTCACGGGAGAGAGACGACCTCCCTCCCCGGGGTGCCACGGGTCGACTGGAGAGTCTCTCACCCTCCGTCGTCGCCCCGGGGATCCGGGGTGCCTCACGTCTTTTGCGCGACCCGCCGGACCCCGCACCCTCTGCATCGAAATCGAAGCGATCGGCATCGCGACGCGAGGATTTCCGGCGGGGTGCCGTCATTTACGAGCGAAGCGAAGCGGACGCAGAGGATCGTGGGGTCGGTGGGTGGGGGGGTGAGAGGTACGGGGGGGGGGGTTGTCAGGGGAACTCTCCTTCGGTGAGCCAGGCCAGGCACAGCGGTGCGTGCCCAGGTAAGTATTTAGAGCTTTTATTTATATATTTTTCCCATATATACTTTTTGCAGCGATTGTGTCCCCCCCCACCCCCACCGTACGAGAGAAAGAAAGAGACATTTTTTTTCGGGGGAAGTCAAAATGCAGCGTCCGCCCGCCCGCGCGGCGGGATCGGTGCGGTCCGATCGGAAAAGGTGGCGAGCGTCGCCGTGGTGATTGGAGGGCGCGCTCGCTTCGCGGCCCGCGGGGTGGTGCCGTGCGTGCCGACCACCGCACTGACCGCTCCCCCACCCCCCCACCCCCCCACCCCCCACCACCCCCCCCCCGTCCCTCTTCAATATTTGGACGCCGCTTGATACACATTGGCACTGCGAAGGACAGAGCGAGCGAGGAAAGTGGAAAGACACGTCGAGACGTGCACTTGACACCTACGGGCTGTAGCTGCCCCGTGGTCGGTGATGGCGTCGATGATGGCACGCGCGCACACGGCCCAGTGGCTCGTTGCGAGTGCACGCGGGGGCCTCTTGCAGGAACCGAGGTGACTGAGCGCCGCGCACAAAGTTCGTAACTCGACGTCAGCTCCAAAAATATTCCCTCCCCTCCCCCCCCAACGCCGATTGGTCCTGCCGGGATTGTAGCAGTGACCGACGGATGGATGTCGCATGGGGCTGTGAACACACGGTTCAGTAACGAAAGTTGTGGGCCGCCGTCTGGCCCCGCAGGCCGCGTTCGTTCTCCAGCGCCGATGCCGTTACAGGCTGCGCGCTGTGAGTGGAGTTTATGCTCTGTGTGTGTGTGTGTGTGATGATGATGAGCAGGAGGTGTGCGTGGGGAGCGGTGGTGCAGCGGTTAGCGCTACGCTGCGCTACGAACCCGGCAACCCGAGTTCGATTCCCGCTCACGGCCACGACCAGTGACGATTATATCTGAACCGGTCCTAGGCCTCCCCTAGGTCGACTCAGCCTCGAATTAGTACCTGGTGTGATGTGTAAGCATCGCCACTAGGGAGACAAAAGCGGCCGGGTGTGGTGCTGGCCACCCACCCCCTCGTGTGCCGTGCCGGCCTTCATAGGTGCTCGCTAACAGCACTTGCCCCGACAGTCTGTTAATCCAAAGCGCGGGATCTTTGTCTTTGTATGGGTAGTTGGAGGAGGCTCGTGAAAGATGCTACTGGGATCTTCGTCTTGTGTGTTGATGAGCAGGAGGCGTGCGCGTGTGTCTCCGTGTGAAGGCTGCAGCTACGACGGGAAGATCTACAAGAACCAGGAGACGTTTCACATCAACGCCTGCACGTCCTGCGTGTGCGTGGTGAGCGCCTCTCTGCGTCCGCCACGCGTCGTGAACACGCCGGCCCGCTCACTCGGTCGCCCGTGCAGACCCCTTCCCAGCGAGTCACTCTCACTCAATGCCTCACCGACTCGCCCACCAACTCGCCCACCTCGTCATTCACCCACCGCGTTACTCACCCACTCACCAACTCGATCATTCACCACCTTGACCATCTCACCCACCTCGTCACTCATCCACCTCGTTACTCACCCACTCACCAACTCGATCAATCACTACCATTACCCTATGACCCACCTCGTCACTCACCCACTCACCCATTCACCAACTCAATCAATCACCACCTTTGCCATCTCTCCCACCTCGTTACGCGCTCGCCCACCCACCCACTCAATCTCCGCTATTGAATTTTCACAAAGCTCGCCTGCCTTGGACATCGCCTTCCCTCCCCCCAGCTCCCGACGCCTACACGCACACACGGACACGTGCACGGATGTCCGTGTGTCCGTGTGTGTCAGTGTGTGTGTGTGGGGAGCGGTGGTGGAGCGGGTTAGCGCTACGAACCCGGCGAACCCTGCGATTCCCGCTCACGGCCAACACCGGTGACGAACCGGTCCTGGTAAGAAAAATTCCACTGGGGAGACAAAGGCGGCCGGGCGTGGTGCTGGTCACCCACCCCCTCGTGTGCCGTGCCGACCTTCATAGGTGCTCGCTAACAGCACTTGCCCCTACATTCTGTTCAGGCTACACGGGGAATCTTTGTCTTTGTTCGCATGCGATGGCGCAGAATTTGAAATGCCGTGGCTACGAACCCGGCGACACGAGTTCGATTCCCGCTCACGGCCCGCACCAGCGGCGGACATTTCAACCTGGTCCCGTGCCCCCCCTAGGTCAACTCAGCATTAAATTAGCAGCTGGTGCGGCATCGTGAACATCGCTACCGCCGCCGGTGGGGGGGAGGGGGGGAGACAAAGGTGGCCGGGCGTGGTGCCGGACGCACCGTACCACGTGGTGCGCCGTGCCGGCCCTTAGATGGATGCTCGCAAGGCAGAAGCAGAACTTGCTCCAGGAATCCCGCGTGGGCTACAGCGATGCGGGGATGGGGGGAGGGTGACCTCTGTGTGTGCGCGTCCTCTCCTCCCCTCGCTCCCCCCCCCCCCCCCCACTAGAATGGAGACGTCAGCTGCAAGGAGGAGGAGTGTGCTCGAGCCAAGTGCCGCAACTCCGTCAAGAAGCCCGGAGCCTGCTGCCCCACGTGTCCCAAGGGTGGGTGGTGCAATCGGTGGCGGTGGTAGTGGTGGCGGTGGTGGCACACAGACAGACACAAGCAGAGAGACAACACAGAGACACACAGAGAGAGACACACAACATAGACACATGGTCTTCACACTGACGATGTCTTATTGGCAAAGTGCTCGCCCCCCCCCCCCCCCGCTATGAAAATTAGTGAAGAACGCCGCTCGCGAGAGATGTAGAGACAAGATATATAGTTGTAGTGTATGTGTGTGGTCTTAACGTGCACATAGCCTGGCACAAGCGCCGTGGTTGATGTCACCGCCACTTAGTGGCGAACGTGTGTGCAGATCGACGTCTGGTGTCCTGTTCAGCACTCGGTAATGCAAAGGCCCTCCCTGAAACTAAACACCGCATGTGCATTCTAGATTTGAAGCTTTCGTGACTGCAAGGAATCATATTCTTAGGTTTTTTCGGTAAAGTCACGTAAGTGAAATTTTTTTATTAATAAAATAAATATAAAATATTTTCTTTTATTAATTTAAAATTTTCACCTACGTGACTTTACCGAAAAATCTAAGAATACCGCATGTGCAGCTGGACATGATCAAGAGTTGAACCTCCACAGGTCCAACTCAAAGGCCCCCCACCCCCCCACCACCACCACCACCAACCCACTCATCACTGCCAGAGCCCAAAGCACAGCGATGGCCATTCATTCGTTTGTTCAGCTGCCAGACTCCCTGTGACTGGCCTTCTTTTCTCTTCTCCTCCTCCCACCCACCCACCCACAACAAAGATCCCTCGTGTAGCCTGTGACAGACTGTTGGGGCAAGTGCTGTTAGGGAACACCTATGAAGGCCGGCACTGTGGCACACGAGGGGGTGGGTGGCCAGCACCACGCCCGGCTGGCTGCCTTTGTCTCAGTGTGCTCATTTGAGGCTGAGTCGACCTAGGGGAGGCCCCATGACCGGTTCAGATAATCGTAACCGGTGTTGGCTGCGAGCGGGAATCGAACTCGGGTCGCCAGGTTCGTTGCGCAGCGTGGCGCTAACCGCTGCACCACCGCTCCCCACACACGCACACACGCGCACACACAGAGACACGCACACACTCACACACACACCTCCACCCCGAGCTCAAAGGCCACATTGTTACATCTCCATCAGTGTTCACTTGTGCTCCAATTTTTACGCTTTTCAGCTCCGGTTGAAAGCGTTCGTGCATTAGCTCTGCACGTCTCCGTTTGGAGAGACCTGGGCAATCGTACGCCAACTCGTCTAGGCATGATCTAATGTAATTAAAGGATTCACGTAAACTAAACTATGAAACTAAACACACTTGTATTTCACCAGGTAAGGCCCACTGAGCTGCGTAGCTCTTTTGCAGAAGAGACCTGCCCACAAACGGGAACTCAACGAAGTGGCTTTATCATCATCACGTGGAAATGCACAGCAGCCAAATGCTCTAAATGCGTGAAGTTGATTCTAAATGTGGGGGGAGGGGGGGGGATGCCGGAAGACCCGGAGACAAATCCACACGAACACGGGAAGAGACACGCACACAACCTCCAAGTATACAGCAGCAGCAGGCGTCAGGGTCGGGATCGAACCCACGGCCTCCTGTAGACCTGGCGATGGAGTTAACATCTCATAGCCACCGTGGCGCCCCTGCCGCTGTGTTATTAGGGATTTACTCTATAGACGACCCTATATGCCCTACAGACAACCCTATATACCCTACAGACAACCCTATATACCCTACAGACAATCCTATATACCCTACGGACGAAAAAACCAAACCGACCGCGCGAGAATATCAGCCGGGCCCCGTGCACCCGACGCGTCCCGGTTGACGAACGCCACCGCGAACAACGCCGGGTCGGCGCTCGATCTGGCGCGTCACGCGCCGCAGCGCCAAAAATCACCCGGGGCGGGGGCCGCTCGGGCGTTTTGTCCCCGACAGCCGCACGAGCCGCGAGCGGCCCCCCGCCGCGGCCGCTGGGCCCCCTGGGCCCCCTGGGCCACAGCTCTCGCCGCCCGTCGCGCCCCCAAACGACAGCGGTGCCGCTCTCGTTGACGGCCGAGTGGCGTTTTGGGGGGGTGCCCCCCGCGCTCCTCGGCAAGCGGCGGGGGGGGGGGGTGATGATGCGTTTGCGAAGAAAATACAAATTCCTCCCGAAGGCTCAGAGGCCCCCTCTGCCTCAACTCGCCCCCCCTCCCCCCCCACAGCTGAGCGGAGACTCAGTGGAGACCGCATTTTTGGCCGTGTTGACTTTGGCGGGTAAGAGGGGGGGGTCGATTTATGTTCATCCTGAACCTTTGACCCCCCCCCCCTCCTCCTTCCTCCTCGTCCCACCGAGGTCGCGGGCACCCCGCAACGCGATTCCCCTTTTTGTGACGGCGGTAATAACACTGGTCAACACACTTTTTCTGGCATGAAGTATTCCAACGATGTTAAGGTAATTTTGGGGTGCCGATTACAAAATATGGCATCAGTTTTTGTCTATCACAGCGGGTTTTTGAGATATCAAATATTGCATTTTCAATAAAAACTGCAGAAGAAAAATATTAAATAGATGTGGATATCTACATGAAATTATATTATAAACACACTATCCTAAAAATACAGCGCCATATTTTAACACTAAAGCAGTCACTGACTCGCAACAACTTGCAATCATAAGTGACAGAGTTAATTTCGGGTAAAATCAATGAAAATGGGGTATGCCGATAGCATAAGAATGAGATGTGTTAGAGCAGATTTGGAATCAGCACCCTGAAATTAGTCTAAAACAGCTGCAAAAGTCCAGGCCAGAAAAAAACTTTTTTTTTGTTGTTGACCATTGTAATTTAATCGTCCGAGCCGTTTAAATTATTCTCGTGCCGGAGGGGGGTAGGGGGGGGGGCAACGTAGCGGCGTGCGGAGGCTGTGGCCGGTGGTGGAGACGCGTCGGGAAGTTCGCGCGCGACAGACGACCGGTAGCGGCACGAGCGAGAAAGTCGCACGAACACAACCTGCGTGGCCTCGCTCGCTTGCCACCAGAGGTCGCAAACGGGTTTTGATTCCTTACCCGTACCCGGCCGCACCAGGGTCGCAAATGGGTACCCGTACCCGGCCGGGTATCGGGTACCCGTTCCCTACCGGTACTCGTACCCTACCCGAAATGAGTGACAAACGGTTACTCACCAGCAGAGGTGTGGACTCGAGTCATGTGACTTGGACTCGAGTCAGACTCGAGTCATGAATTTGATGACTTCAGACTCGACTTGGACTTGCATAACAATGACTTTGTCCCACCTCTGCTCACCAGTGACTCACGGCCTACCCGTACCCGTACCCGGCAACACCAGGGTCGCAAACGGCTACCCGTACCCGGCCGGGTATCGGTTAGGGTACGGGTATCGGGTACCCGGTTGCGACCTCTGCTTTCCACTCCACTGGAGCAAAAGCCCCTGCCCCCCCCCCCAACTCTAGAGGATATTTGAGCCTCCCCTCCCCCTCCTCCTCTTCCTCTTCCTCCTCCACTCCTTCCACCTTTGGCAGAGACGTCTTGGACGCAGGGTGGCTTGCCCACTTTACCCAACCGCACCCGGTCTGCCGGCGTGACCACATTCAACGCGGCCGCTTGGAGTCTCGGCGAGAGGCCGGAGGATTTAAGAAACTTTCCTCCGAGCTGGGAGATTTTTTTTTACAATTTCTATTTTACTTTAAGCAGGTAAAGCCCACTGAGCCATATCGCTCGTGTCAGACTAGGGGCTAAAGCCTGTTCGTATTTTTTTGATACGGGCAAAAAGAAAAGGTCCCACAGATCTTTTTCCAAAGCGACCTGGCCACAATCGAACTGTGCTTGTCAAGTGGCAATGGAGAGCACGGAAGTCCACCCCATCGTGTGCCGATTATCTGAACCGGTCATGGGCCTCCCCCTAGGTCTACTCAGCCTCAAATTAGCTGGTGCAGGTGCGTAAAACCATCGCCACTGGGAAGAGAAAGGCCGTGCCGTGCCGGCCTTCATAGGTGCTGCTCGCTAACAGCACTTTGCCCCGACAGCCTGCTAAGGCTACACGGGGGATCTGTGTCTTTGTCTGGCTTAAAAACCGAGGCGGGCGTTCTCTTTGTGAGCTGCGTCTGCCTGTGGCCCGTGTCACTCTCTCGTCTTTATCTCGAGACTCGGCCACACAATCAGCCACCCCCCTACCACCCACCCACCCGCCCCCTCATTCCCCCACGACCACCATTCAATATTGAAGGTAAATAATCAGGAAAGGGCCCGGGTTTATTTGCGTAGGTTACAGGTCGCGCCAAAGGCCGCACTGAGGTCGCCCGTCTCTCAGGGGCTAGACAAAGGCCGTCTGCTGATGACGACTTTTAAAAGTTTGCGTCCAAATCTCGCCTGGGATGGCACACACCCTCACCCCCCCCCCCCCCCCCGTGTTCGACTGTCGTCTCCTGGCGACTGTCATCGAACGAGCTGTGTGTGTGTGTGGTCGTGTCACGCACGCGGTCAGAAACTAAACTATTATCCATACTTTTCGATTTAAAGCTTTCGTGACTGCAGGGATTCATCTTCTTGGTTATTTCGGTAAAGTCACGTAGAAGGGAAGTAATAAAATAATAAAAATGAAACATAATAACATAATTCTCACGACGTTTCGGCCACAACGCAAGCAGCCGTCCTCAGGTGAGGACCAGGTCTGTCTGTCGACAGACCTGGTTTTCACCCTTCTACGTGACTTTACCGAAAGAACCAAGAATATATTATCCATACTCTTTGGTTCTTTCGGTAAAGTCACGTGGGTAGAAATAAAATCAAACAAATCACGACGTTTTGATCGCAACACTTTACCGAAAGATCCAAAGAGTATGGATTCCTGCAGTCACGAAAGCCTCTTTTATTAATTTAAAATTTGTACCTACGTGACTTTACCGAAAAAACCTAAGAATATGAATCCCCCATATAGCTTGAACAGACTGTTGGGGCAAGTGCTGATAGCGAGCACCTATGAAGGCCGGCACGGCACACGAGGTTGTGGGTTGCCAGCAACGCCCAGCCGCCTTTGTCTCCCCAGTGGCGATGTTTACACACCGAACCAGGTACTCGTTTGAGGCTGAGTCGACCTAGGGGAGCCCCGTGACCGGGTTCAGATATTTGCCACTGTTATTGGCAGTGAGTGGGAATCGAACTCGGGTCGACAGAGTATGTAGTGCGCTCCCCCACTGATCCACCCCATCACCCACCCACCCGCTCGCTCACTCACCTCTTTGCCAACTCACCGAATCACTCACGCCAGCCACACCACACTCTCCACCCACACCACCCACGCCACCCACACCACGCTCGCCACCCACACCACCCACCCCACCCACACCACACTATCCACCCACACCACCCACACCACACTTTCCATCCAAACCACCCACACCACACTCACCACCCACACCATGCTCTCCACCCACACCACCCACATCACACTCTCCACCCACACCACCCACACCACACACGCCACACTCTCCACCCACACCACGCTCTTCACCCACACCACCCACATCACATTCTCCACCCACACGACCCACACGACCCACACCACACTCTCCACCCACACCACGCTCTTCACCCACACCACCTACATCACACTCTCCGCCCACACCACCCACGCCACCCACACCACGCTCGCCACCCACTCCACATTCTCCACCCACACCACCCACACCACACTCGACACCCACCCCACGCTCTCCACCCACACCACCCACCCCACCCACTCCACCCACACCACGTTCACCACCCACACCACCCACACCACACACGCCAGACGCAACACCCAACTCATTTACCTATGTCCCTATGTGTCTGTGTGTGTCTGTGTTCTCTCTGTGTGTCTCTGTACACATGTGCCTGTGTGTCCGTGTGTCTCTGTACCCACGTGTCCGTGCGTCGTCCGTGTGTGACGCAGACTGCGAGGGTGGCCATGCGCACGCGGTCACGTGGGCTCCCGACGCCTGCACCACGTGCCGTTGCACGGTCAGTCCCATGGCCGCCAGCCACGCGGTCACCGAGTGCGAGGACGACCTTCCTCTCCTCGCCCACCATCGCACCACACCAACCAAGGGCTGGATAATTACGACGACGATGATGATGTGATAACGACGATGATGATGATGTGATAACGACGACGATGATGATGATGATGTGATAACGACGACGATGATGATGTGATAACGATGACGATGATGATGTGATAACGACAACGATGATGGTGTGATGATGATGTGATAACGATTATGTGAGTTTTCACGAGCATGGGATCAGTGCGGGATGAAGCAAGTGCAGGGCCTGTAGCACATGTTATAAAGGGGCTCTAAATAAAAAACACGTAAATATTAAAACACACATTTTTTTCTACTTGCACACTAAAGTAATTGCATTTTTTTATTTGCTATACAGCCAGGTAATACGACAAATCACTAACCTTAAACACCCGGTCGTTCGTAAAAGTTGAAGGCGGTATAGTACTATAGTAATAGAGCAAGTGCAGAATCACTGAACCGGAATTGATAACTTGAAAGCATTTAGCGCGGGGCCCTTGAAAGTGCGGGGCCCATAGCATGTGTAGCTACTACATATGTAGATACTACACATGTAGCTACTACATGTGTAGCTACTACATGTGTAGCTACTACATATGTAGCTACTACACGTGTAGTAGCTACTACACGTGTAGCTACTACACGTGTAGTAGATACTACACATGTAGCTACTACATGTGTAGCTACTTTTGCTACGAGGATAATCCGGCACTGCATGGGATGGACAAATTCTGTAACCATTGCAGGACGTCCATCACTTTGTTTGGGCCCTTCCTGTTGAAATAAATAACATCTCTCTAAAAAAACAATCGAAGGTTGAGTGTACGACAATGACGGGGATGATGTTGGTGATGATGGCGATGATATTGATGATGTCTCTGTAAGAATAGGATTTGATGGTGCTGGTGACGATGGCGTTGAAGATGTCTCCGTGAGGATGGGGTTTGATGGTGATGATGGCGATGATGATGTTGATGTCTCTGTAAGGATGGGGTTTGATGACGATGATGATGATGGCGATGATGATGTTGATGTCTCTGTAAGGATGGGGTTTGATGAGGATAATGATGGTGATGATGATGGCGATGCTAATGACGTTGATGATGTTGGTGTCTCTGTGAGGATGGGGTTGTTGAGTGCCAGGCGACCGTGTGTGCTGAGCTCAGCTGCCCCGTCACTCAGCACTTGCCTGGGCAGTGCTGCCCCTCCTGCCGGCCTGGTGACACTCGCACCGCCCCACACCGCACCACCCACACCGCACCACATTCACCACACCACACTCACCACATCACTCACACCACACCACACCACACCGCACCACACTCACCACACCACACCGCACCACACTCACCGCACCACACCGCACCACACTCACCACATCACTCACACCACACAACCACACAACCACACTCACCACACGCACCGCACCACATTCACCACACCACACTCACAACACCACACTCACCACACCACACTCACCACACCACTCACACCACACCGAACCACACTCACCACACGCACCACACCACACTCACCGCACCACACGCACCACACGCACCGTACTCACCACACCACTCACACCACACAGAACCACACTCACCACACGCACCGCACCACACTCACCGCACCACACGCAACACAAGCGCCGCACTGCCCACACGGCACCACACTCACTGCATCGCACGCGCAACGCACACACACTACATGCACCACACCACCCACATCGCATCACCCACATCGCATCACCCACATCGCACCACGTTAACCGCACCACCCGCACCACGCCGCACCACACGCACCGCACTATATTCACCATTCCACACTCACCGCACGAATATCACTGCCTTGTGATGATGACGATGACAGTGATGACGACGATGACAGTGATGATGATGACGATGGCAGTGATGATGATGATGGCAGTGATGATGATGACGATGGCAGTGATGATGATGATGGCAGTGATGATGATGGCAGTGATAATGATGATGGCAGTGATGATGATGACCATGGCAGTGATGATGATGACGATGGCAGTGATGATGATGACGATGGCAGTGATGATGATGATGACGATGGCAGTGATGATGATGATGATGACGATGGCACTGATGATGATGACCATGGCAGTGATGATGATGATGGCAGTGATGATGATGACGATGGCAGTGATGATGATGACGATGGCAGTGATGATGATGGCAGTGATGACGATGGCAGTGATAATGATGATGGCAGTGATGATGATGATGACGATGGCAGCGATGATGATGACCATGGCAGTGATGATGATGACGATGGCAGTGATGATGATGACCATGGCAGTGATGATGATGACGATGGCAGTGATGATGATGATGGCAGTGATGATGATGACGATGGCAGTGATGATGATGATGATGACAATGTTCTGCAGGCTGCGAGTATGAAGGGCAGCATTACAAGGAAGGGCAGTTCTTCACCGCAAACAGCAACCCCTGTCTGAATTGCTCTTGCCTGGTACGTATGTGCTGCGTTTATGTGTGCGTGTCTGTGTTGCGTGTATGTGTGCGTGTGTGTGTGCGTGTGTGTGTGCGTGTGTGTGTGTGCGTGTATGCGTGTGCGCATGCGCGTGTATGTGCGCGTGCGTGTGTGCGTGTATGTGCGCGTGTATGTATGCGTGTGTGTGCGCGTGTATGTGCGCGTGTATGTGTGCGTGTGTGTGCGTGTGTCTGCACGTGTATGTGTGCGTGTATGTGTGCGTGTGTGTGTGCGTGTGTACGTGTGTATGTGTGCGTGTATGTATGGCGACGATGATGTGGGGAGCGGCGGTGCAGCGGTTAGCACCGTGCTATGAACCCGGCGACCCGGGTTCGATTCCCGCTCGTGGCCAGCACCGGTGACATTCAGCGTCCCATCAGTAGCAATCAGCTTTGCTTGCACCAATGCTGATGACCTGCCCAGGTGTTTATAGGCGTGGACTAGGTTTTGACATTAAGCGTCTAATCAGCAGCTGGACCCATATCTATCAGACAGCGTGCGTGCCTCTAAACACCTGGCCGTTCACCAGCATTGGTTCAGGCAAGGCTGCCTCTGCTGCTGATGAGAGACTGAATGTCGAAACCCAGTCCAGAGTTTAGCTTATTTAATAAATGCAAATAAGTGTCGATTTGTTTAAGTCAATATATTATACTGGTAGGAACCTCCTGGTTACACCAGCCCACAGGGGAGCATTGTGTCCGTCGTGCAGGGAGGGGCTGGGTGGGGAGGGGCTGGGTGGGGAGGGACTAGGTATGGAGAGTGGGGAGGGGCTTGGTGGGGAGGGGAGGGTGGGGCTGGGTGGGAGGGGTGGGGTGGGACTGGGTGGGGAGGGGCTGGTCACCCCGTGGTGCCCTTATAAAACTCAACGTTTAGCCTACTCACGCCAGCTTGTGCCCGCTCTCACAGTCGGGCATATTTGCAGAATACACCACGCCGCCGTTGACCCTGGCCATTGACCGAGCAACCCAACGTTCCTACCAGCTGCTGCTGCTGCTGATGATGATGCTGATGATGATAATGATGATTCTGAGTGTTCGCGTGTGCAGGATAGCCTGATCCGCTGTTCGCCCGTGCACTGCCGGCCACTCGCGTGCCGACACCCCATGCAAAGACCCGGGCAGTGCTGCCCAGAGTGTCGCGGTGAGCGCCTGACGCTAAACTAAAGCTGTACACTATTATTTATTCTGTTTAACACCTCGGCTTTCGCGATCAATGTTATCCACGATAGAGGTTTTTGGGTTCACGTGGTCTGAGCCAAAAACTTCTATTGTGGAAACTTCTAGATTTGAAGCTTTCGTGACTGCAAGGATTCATACTCTTTGGTTGTTTCGGTAAAGTCACGGAGGTATAAAATAAATCACGAAACCACCAGTGGAACTGCTGATTATATTTTTTCTGCCTGAGGATGACCGCTTGTGTTGCGATCGAAACGTCGTGATTTATTTTATTTTTCTACCTACGTGACTTTACCAAAAGAACCAAAGAGTATGGATTCCTGCAGTCACGAAAGCTTCAAATCAAGATCATATTATGGATGTTTTTATTCAGTTATCAGTTTTCATTTATTTGGTATAACCCTGTGAGCCGTGCGGATCTTGACTCGGGTGCAACCGCAACATAACAAAAACATGAACAAGAAACATCTTGAAGTGACTACACGCAAAAGAAAAATCCTGGAAAAAACAGCAAAGTCTTCCAGAAAAAGCACCGCGTTTCAACGCTGTGTGCAAAAATCCCAGTGGGATGCAAGTCAAACAAATAACAACCATAAGACAATTTAGATTAAAGTTATCAGGCTAACTCTGTACTACAACAAACATGGCTAAACTAAAACGTTTTCAAAATCACCAAAATAAAGCTATAAAAACAATGTAACAGCGATCATAGGAACTGTGATTCCAATTTAACAATAAACGATATACACATAACATGTACAACCAAACTTTGCAGCCATAGCTGGCAGCATGAGTCACTCCATAACAGCAGGAGTATCAGTAGCAGAATGAAAAAATTTCAATACACCTTTATTGATCAGCACACTATAATAAAAACTCAAGATCATACTTTGCAGCGGTCATCCGGAGCGATACATTTTATTTCAGTCTATTCTGAATAGCAGTGGCAGCTAGGGGTGTACAACTCCTCTAGAGCAGTTTTGAGTGAATATCTCACAGGTAGTGATTCAAGTTGCAGTTTATTGGCGATAGCATTCCAGACCCTGGGGGCATCAATAGCAAAGGCCCTTCCTCCAGTATTTGTACCGCAATAAGGAATGTGAAGCTGGTAAATGAGCGAAGACCTTAGGTCACATTTGTTCCTCGAAACAGTGAGGATATCCAGCAGGTAGTCTGCAGATTTTTTCGTAAGTACAATCAGGTAGGCCCCACTGAGCTATGCAGATCTTTTTCAGACATGACCTGGCCATACACTATGAGACCTCCTTTACCAGTAGCAAAATATAGTAATAAGTTTTTACCCTTTTATCTGGTACAAAAAACTGACACCTTTATAAAAGGGATCATGTTTGCAATAACCACAACACAAGCAGTCAAAATGCAAACAAAAAGAAACAACTCTTTTGTTGTTTATAAATGTGGAGGGGAAAAAACGGAGAAAAATCGACGCAACCGTGGGGAGAGAGTGAGAGAGACACGCAAACTCCAAATATACAGCAGCAACAGGCGTCAGGGTCGGGATTGAACCCACGACCTCCTGTACATCAGGCGAGGTAGTCAACATCTCATAGCCACCGCGGTGATGATTATGAGACAGAGACATGTAAACTCCAAATATACAGCCAAAACGAAGTGGTACCCGTACCCTACCCGATACCCGGCTACCCGTACCCAGCAGGGTATCGGGTCGGGTACGGGTATCGGGTACCCGATTGCGACCTCTGGGATGAAGCCATGTTGCAGGCGCGGGTGGGTTGATTCTAGGAACTTGAATTGTGAGAAGAGACAAGACGTTGGGAAATGAGTGACAAACGGTTACTCACCGGTGACTCACGGCCTACCCGTACCCGTAACCCGGCCGCACCAGGGTCGCAAACGGGTAGTCGGGTATCGGGTACGAGTACGGGTATCGGGTACGGGTATCGGGTACCCGGTTGCGACCTCTGGGCTGGCGGCTCCGCGGGGCAGGGACGGTGATGTGGCTGCCTTGTCACCCGCGTGACTGCTGCTGCAGGATGCCTAATCAACGGGCAGGCGCTGGAGAACGGAGAGACGGTCAACCCCGGTGGTGGCTGTCAGAAATGCACCTGCCTGGTAAAACACACAACACACACTTTGTCTCTCTCTCTCGGGTCGATGATTTTATCAACATCATCATCATCATCATCGTCATCTTCGTCGTCACGATCTACAGGAACCTCTTTGCGCCATGTTGGCGATGTTAACTACCTCACCTGGTATACAGGAGGTCGTGGGTTTGATCCCGACCCTGATGCCTGTTGCATACTAGGGAGTTTGTGTCGCTCTCTCATTGTCATCATGGTGGCTAGGAGATGTTAACTATCTCGCCTGGTATACAGGAGGTCGTGGGATCGATCCCGTGGATTTTTCTCTGGGTCCTCCTCTGGTTTCTCCCTCCATATTTAGAATCGACGTCACCACCACGCGTTTGGAGTGTTTGGCTGCGATACATTTCCCGCGACGTTCGCACACAAATGACGTCACGGAATCTCTTGCGACGTCCATCTTCCCGTCGATGCGGCCTGCAGCATTAACCAGGGAGGCCGCTGGGCTCAGAACCGCGGCAAACGCACCACCACCAGCTCACCTCCCACGTGACAGTCCGCCGAGCGGGCTGTGGCTTGCACGCCGCCCCGAGTTGGACTCTCAATCGGGAAGTCGGTGCAGCCAATCATCTTCGTGGGCAGGAAGTCGAGTCAAGGAGCAGTTGTACCACTTTGTGGGATGGGGCCACGAAATCAGCTGGCGTGCAGCTTTGGGGAGGCCTCATCCAGCAGCGGATCGACCATGGCTGATGATGACCCTTGAACCAGACTCTTACCCCTCCTCCCTTCTCTCTGACCTCTGCCCTTTTTTTCCCCCTCCCCCCCCCAATCTCCAACTCCCTCCACCCCCCGGCCTGACCTCTGACCTGGCCGCAAGGGCGGCGAGCTGGGATGTGACCGGGGCCCGCCGGTGTGCGAGCTGCCCTCCTGCCCCCACCCCGGCCGCCCGGAAGGGCAGTGCTGCCCCTCGTGCGACGGTAAGACAAGCGGGACGCAAGGCGAGCGGCTAAGGGAGCGGTCCCCGCTATATCTCCCTCGCGTCACTGCCGGCGGAGAAGACTCCGCTCGAAGGAGCTCTGAGAGAAACCCACTTCTGGCCAGGCAGCCTGGGAGGAGGACCCACATTTTACCCCACCACCACCACCGCCACCACCGCCACCGCACGGGGCGTTGGTGGTGGAGGGAGAGGTTCAAGAGACTCGCCCCTCGTCGTTTTAACTGGCACCCTCTGCCGGGAGATGGAGTCGAACCGTTGGCCTCTGACCTCCGGGCCGCGACTCCACCGGCGCTGACCGTTCCACCGCGGCGGCAGCATCCACGGTGTTATCGCCATGAGTGGTGATGAAGCTGGTGGCACCGCGGTGGCTAGGAGATGTTAACTCCCTCGCCTGCTATGCAGGAGGTCGTGGGTTCGATCCCGACCCTGACGCCTGCCGCTGTATATTTTGAGTTTGTGTCTCTCTCTCATCATCATCGTGGTGGTGGCTAGGAGATGTTAACTACCTCGCCAGATACGCAGGAGGTCGTGGGTTCGATCCCGACCCTGACGCCTGCCGTTGTATATTCGGAGTTTGCGTGTCTCTCTCCGTGAGGTCGTCTGGATTTTCCTCCGGGTCCTCCGGTTTTCCCCGCCACATTTAGAGCCATGCGTTTAGAGTATTTGGCTGCTATGTGTGTACGTTGAACTTCTTTCGCACCGTACGTAGCCAACCGTGCTAATCAGAGGTGCGGGTAAATTCCCACATGACAAGCCACTTGGTTGAGCTATCATTTGTGTTGGGCAGGTCGCTTCAGAAAAAGAGCGATGTGGCTCAGTCGGGCCTTACCTGCTAAAATAAACTTTATATTCTTTGGGTCTTTTGGTAAAGCCACGTAGATGAGTGAGTAGGTGAGTGGGTGAGTGCGTGGGTGAGTGAGTGGGTGGATGAGTGAGTAGGTGAGTGGGTGAGTGAGTGGGTGAGTGAGTGGGTGGATGAGTGAGTAGGTGAGTGGGTGAGTGAGTGGGTGAGTGAGTAGGTAAGTGGGTGAGTGGGTGAGACCGTGAGTAGGTGAGTGGGTGACTGCGTGGGTGAGTGAGTGAGTGAGTAGGTGAGTGAGTGGATGAGTAGATGAGTGGGTGAGTGAGTGGGTGAGTGAGTGAGTGGGTGAGTGAGTGGGTGAGTGAGTGGGTGAGTGAGTGGGTGGGTGAGTGGGTGAGTGGATGAGTGGATGAGTGAGTAGGTGAGTGGGTGAGTAGGTGAGTGAGTGGGAGAGTGGATGAGTGAGTAGGTGAGTGGGTGAGTGAGTGGGTGAGTGAGTGAGTGGGTGAGTAGGTGAGTGAGTGGGTGAGCGAGCGGGTGAGTGGGTGAGTGAGTGAGTGGGTGGGTGAGTAGGTGAGCGAGCGGGTGAGTGAGCGGGTGAGTTCGTGGGTGAGCGGGTGAGGCGCGTGCCGACTCTGCGCGTGCGTGCGTGTCGTGGCGGTGGGCAGGCTGTGAGTTTGAGGGGCAGGCGTTCCGCAGTGGAGAGACGCGACCCTCGCCCCTCGCTGGGCCCTGCATCCAGTGCACCTGCACGGTGGGTGCTGCTTGCACACAACCACAACAACCACAACAACAACCACAACAACTGCCACAACAACAACCACAACAACAACAATTACAACAACCACACACACAACTACCACAACAACCACCACAACCACACACACAACTACCACAACAACAATTACAACAACCACAACAACCACAACAACTACCACAACAACAACCACAACAACTGCTACAACAACCACAACAACTGCCACAACAACAATTACAACAACCACACCCACACAATTTCCACAACAACCACAACCACACACACAACTACCACAACAACACCACTGGGGAGACAAAGGCGGCCGGGCGTGGTGCTGGCCACCCACCCCCTCGTGTGCCGTACCGGCCTTCATAGGTGCCCGCTAACAGCACTTGCCCCAACAGTCTGTTGAGGCTACACGGGGATCTTTGTCTGTTGTGTGTGCCGGGGCGTGGTGCAGAGCGGCACGGTTCACTGCGTGGAGGAGGTCTGCCCCCCGCTGCCCTGCACGGAGCCCCACGTGGAGCCGGGACGCTGCTGCCCCATGTGTAGAGGTGAGAGGTGGGGGGGGGGACACGGGGGTGGGGTCAGGGGGGGTCAGTCTTCATCATTCCGAGGTTCCCGCCCGTCACGAGAGCTCGACTGAACGACGCAGCGACGCGGCGTGGGCTGGAGGCGGTCACCGTGCGGGAGGTTTTCTGGACACGCCGCCGGCGGGCACGGCGCTCACCTGGTGCCGCGCTCTCACGGGCCCCTCGGTCGCGTCGCTCGGTGGGATCGGCGACCGGCAAGTCGATTCCGGTAACGGTTTACCGCTGCGCCGGTGATCGTTCGTCAAGCCCCGGCAGTTTTCAAATCCGCGCACGGCCCGGCTCGGCTAAAGTCACGACGGGGCCTCCGTCGTCGTCGCCGCCATCGTCGGCGGCGGCGGCCGTTGGGTTTGGTTAATCCGACCGCGGCATTAACCAGGGTGGCCTGGTTCGGAGGTGCTACTTGCTAACAGCGCCTGCCCCAAAAAGTCTGTTCACGGCTACGCGGGGGATCTTTGTGCGTGTGTGCGTGTGTGGGTCTGTGCACGTGTGACTGCGCGCGCGTGTGTGCGTGCGTGCGGCCATTCCGTGTGCGTATGTTTGTTGATGCACGTGTGTTTTGTGTGTGTGTGCGTGTGTGTATGCATCTCAGCTGACACAAAACATCGCCACCTTCTCCTCCTCCTCGTGTTGAAGACTTCCCTGATGGGATTAGCCGTGTGCCCATCTGTCCGTGTGTCCATTTGTTCTGGATTCACAGTCTTGGGAATTGGCACGTGCGTGTGTGTGTGCGCGTGTGCTTGTGTGCGTGTGTGTGTCGGGTGGCAGCAGGGATTGATTTGTAACCGAGAGCCGGTCACGGTGACGCTGCGCTGAGCTTTACCACAGTGTTGATAATAAAGTCACCCACACACTCGCCCACTCACTCACTCAACCACCCAATCACCCACCCACTCATTCACCCACTCGACCACCCACCCACTCACTCACTCAGCCACCCAATCACCCACTCGCCCACCCACCCACTCACTCACCCACCCATTCACTCACCCACCCACTCACTCACCCACCCACCCACTCACTCACTCACCCACTCACCCACCCACCCACCCACCCACTCACCCACCCACCCACCCACCCACCCACCCACCCACTCACCCACCCACCCACCCACTCACCCACTCACCCACCCACCCACCCACCCACTCACCCACCCACCCACCCACTCACCCACCCACCCACCCACCCACTCACCCACCCACTCACCCACCCACCCACCCACTCACCCACTCACCCACCCACTCACCCACCCACCCACTCACCCTCCCACTCACCCACCCACCCACTCACCCACCCACTCACCTATCCTCTCGCCCACCAACCCACCGACGCACTCGCCCACCGGCTAATTTATTAGTTCACTCATTCACTTGCCAAGTGAGTAACCCACTCACCCACCCACTCACTCACTCACTCACCCAATCACTCACCCACCCACTCACTCACTCCATCACCCAATCACTCACCCAATCACTCACCCACTCACTCACCAAATCACTCCATCACCCAATCACTCACCCACTGACTCACTCACCCACTCACCCAATCACTCACCCACCCACTCACTCACTCACTCACCAAATCACTTCATCACCCAATCACTCACCCACTCACCCAATCACTCACCCACCCACTCACTCAATCACTCCATCACCCAATCATTCACCCACCCACTCACTCACACACTCACCCAATCACTCACCCACCCACTCACTCACTCACCCAATCACTCACCCACCCACTCACTCACTCATCCAATCACTCACCCACCTACTCACTCACCAAATCACTCCATCACCCACTCACTCACCCAACCACCCACTCACCCAACCATCCACTCACTCACCCACCCGCCCACTCGCCCACCCACCCACCAAGGGTCGCCACCTGTCTGACAATTGGCGTCTGGGTGTGCCGGGTGGCAGCAGGGATTGACTCGTAGCCAGACCTGGTACCGGCGCGGCCCACACTGGGAAGACAAAGGCGGCCGGGCGCGGTGCCGACCGCCGTGCCGGCCTTCGTACGTGCAACTCGCGAACAGCTCTTGCCCCGGCGGTCCGCGAATTCCGTCCGGGGGTGGCGGTGACCTTTGTGTTTGTTGCGGCAGGCTGTGTGGTGGACGGGAAGGAGGTCGCGGAGGGCTCGCGCGTGGAGGGGCTGCACGAGACTTGCCCGACCTGCCGGTGCCTCGACGGGCAGCTCCTGTGCCACGGGGCGCTGTGCCTCCCCACGCTGTGCCAGCATCCGGCCCGCATTGCCGGTACGCCAGAGGTCGCAAACGGGTTTTGATTCCTTAACCGTACCCGGCCGCACCAGGGTCGCAATCGGGTATCCGTACCCTACCTGATACCCGGCTACCCGTACCCGGCCGGGTATCGGGTAGGGTACCTGATTGCGACCTCTGTGATGAAGCCATGTTGCAGGCGCGGGTGGGTTGATTCTAAGAACTTGAATTGTGAGAAGAGACAAGACGTTGGGAAATGAGTGACAAACGGTTACTCACCAGTGACTCACGGTCTACCCGTACCCGTACCCGGCCGCACCAGGGTCGCAAACGGGTACCCGTACCCGGCTGGGTACGGGTAGCCGGGTATCGGGTAGGGTACGGGTATCGGGTACCCGGTTGCGACCTCTGCGGTACGCCCCGTGCCAGGCTGGGTGACTCTGGCTTGTAGGGGCGGGGGGGGCGGAGGGGTCTGCGCGGGTGTGCGCGTACATTGCATGCCTGCGCGTGTGCGGGGAGTGGTGGGTGTAGCGGTTAGCGCAACGCTGCGCCACGAACCCGGCCACCCGAGTTCGATTCTTGCTCACAGCCAACACCGGTGACAACACCGGTGGGCTTCCCCTAGGTCGACTCAGCATCAAATGAGTTCCTGGTGCGGTGTCTACTCAACATCGTCACTGGGAAGGCAAAGGCGGCCGGGCGTGGTGCTGGCCACCCACCCCCTCGTGCGCCGTGCCGGCCTTCATAGGTGCTTGCCCCAGCGGTCTGTTAAAGGCTATATGGGGGATCTTTGTGTGTTGTGTGCAGAGGATTGCTGCGCCGTCTGTGATCGCTGCAGCTACAGAGACCGCGTGTTCAGCAATGGCCAGGCCTTCACTGACCCCAGCGACCCGTGCCTCAACTGCCTCTGCCAGGTGTGTGTGTCATTGGCAAGTTCAGTGATCTTGAGCTGAGTGGATTTTCTTCCGATGACCGGTACCAGCGGTGTCACGATCGGCCTCTGTGGAGGAGGAGGCTCGTGAAGGACGCTACTGGGCTAGTCGGAGGCAGTCACCCTCCAGCAACAACAACGGAGGGCGGAGGAGCGACGCTCACAACAACGAGCGGAGCAGCCGGGCTGGAGAGAACGCAGCCGGTCGGCACGTCTGCCAGTCACATCGATCCGTCAGCCGGTGGCACCTGGGTCTGTCCCGTGACCTCCTCCTGCACCTAGCCTGGCACAGCAGTCAACCCACGGCACCGGTCAACCCATAACAGCTGTCTGGGCCTGTCTCTGGAAGCCTCGTGTTTCTGCGCACGAGCACGCTCTTGCCACAACGGTGGCGCAGCATGTCGGTTTGCCGTCCCATTTCGGCGAGTGACCGCTCCCTCTCCTCTCCGCAGGACGGCACCGTGACCTGCGACCCCGCCGTGTGCCCTCCGACCCCGTGCAGCCACCCGGAGAAGAAGGACGGCCATTGTTGCCCGCGATGCCCCGGTGAGACGGAGAGAGACACCTGTACCCGGGGCTCTAACCTAGGCTGCTGCCAGAGACGCTGGCCCATTGTGTCTGACACGGCCATTATGTAACCCACCAACTCGCGCAGCCCCGGAGTGATTTCCCGTTTTACTCCTCCACGTTCAGAATGGACGTCCGTTGCTGCTGTGAACTTCCACACGGCGGTGAGTGTCAACGGAGCTGGTTGCGCCGTGGTGGCTAGGAGATGTTAACTCCCTCGCCTGGCGTGCGGGAGGTCGAATATTCGATCCTGACCCTGACGCCTGTTGCTGTATATTTAGAGTTTGTGATGTCTCTCTCTCTCAACATTATCGCCGCGGTGGCTAAGAGATGTTAACTCCCTCGCCTGGTCTACAGGAGGTCGTGGGTTCGATCCCGACCCTGACGCCTGCTGCTGTATGTTTGGAGTTTGTGATGTCTCTCATCATCATCATCACGGTGGCTAGGAGATGTTAACTACCTCGCCTGGTACACAGGAGGCCGTGGGTTCGATCACAACCTTGACGCCTGCTACTGTTTATTTGGAGTTTGTGATGTCTCTTATCATCATCATCACAGTGGCTAGGAGATGTTAACTACCTCGCCTGGTACACAGGAGGCCGTGGGTTCGATCACAACCTTGACACCTGCTGCTGTTTATTTGGAGTTTGTGATGTCTCTCATCATCATCGTCACAGTGGCTAGGAGATGTTAACTACCTCGCCTGGTCTACAGGAGGTCATGGTTTCGATCACAACCCTGACGCCTGCTGCCGCTGTATATTTGGAGTTTGTGTCTCTTTCTCTCATCATCATCACCGCGGTGGCTAAGAGATGTTAACTCTCTCGCCTGGTCGACAGGAGGTCATGGGTTCGATCCCGCCCCTGACGCCTGCTGCTGTATATTTCGAGTTTGTGGTGTCTCTATCTCCCCGTGTTCGCGTGGAGTTTTCTCCGGGTTTTCCGGTCTTTCCCTCCACATTTAGAATCGGCGTGCACTCGGAGTATTCGGCTTCGATAAACCTCCGCGCGACGATAAGCCCCACGGCGTCGAGCCATCGTTTGCGATGTCCAGGTCGCTCCTGAAAAAGAGCGACGTAGCTCAGTTGTGGCCTCACTTGGTGAAGAAGAGAAAATTTACAGACGCAGGGAGGCACAGAGGGTAGCTTCGCGGCGCGGGGAAGAAACAGGGGAGGCTTTGAGTCGACGCCGGGACCTCAGCGACGCAGGCCGGGCAGCGCTGCCCCCACGTGCCCGCACCTGTGGGCAGCGCTGCCCCCACGTGCCCGCACCTGGGGGCAGCGCTGCCCCCACGTGCCCGCACCTGGGGGCAGCGCGTGGCACGCCACGGAGCCCGTCGCACGGAGCCCTTGTCGCCGTTCCCACTCGCCCGCCCGCCCGCCCGCCCGCTCCCACCAGACTGCACGTTCGAGGACCGCGTGTGGCGCGAGGGGGAGCGCTTCCCGAACCCCGCGGGGAGCTGCCAGGACTGCGTGTGCCACGATGGGCGCGTGGAGTGCCGGGAGCGGGCCTGCCCTCAGCCCGCCTGCCCCCACAGCACGCCGGGCGCCTGCTGCGCCAGCAACTGCAACGGTGAGAACGCTTCACCCGCCTGATGCACCGCTCCGGCCAAACGGTGAACAACGTATCTGGCGATTGCTCAAGCTGCTGCTGCTGATGATGCTGCTGCTGCTGATGATGATGATGATGCTGCTGATGATGATGATGATGCTGCTGATGATGATGCTTCTGCTGCTGCTGATGATGCTGCTGATGATGAGGATGCTTCTGCTGCTGATGATTCTGCTGATGATGATGATGCTGCTGCTGCTGATGATGATGATGATGCTACAGATGATTCTGCTGCTGCTGATGATGATGCTTCTGCTGCTGATGATTCTGCTGCTGATGATTCTGCTGATGATGATGCTGCTGCTGCTGCTGATGATGATGCTGCTGCTGATGATTCTGCTGCTGCTGATGATGATGATAATGATGCTGCTGCTGATGATGCGTTGGCAGCAGTGCACAAGCAACAACAACACCTTCGTCAACAACAACAGCGTGTGTTGTTGTCGTCGTGTGTGTTGCCTCGGAAGGAAAACATAGAGTAGGTGACGTTTCAGGCAACGGACCTTCATAGCACGTCCTCGGCCTTCCCTCGGATTGACCCGGCAAGCCGAGTTCGATTCCTGCTCACGGCCAACACCGGTGACGATTATCTGAACCGGTCCTGGGCCTCCCCTGGGTTGACTAAGCCTCAAATGAGTACCTGGTGCAGTGTGTAGTAAACATCGCCACTGGGGAGACAAAGGCGGCCGGGCGTGGTTGCTGGCCACCCAGCCCCTCGTGCGCCGTGCCGGCCTTCATAGGTGCTGCTCGCTAACGGAACTTGCCCCGACCGGTCTGTTAAAGGCTACACGGGGGGCCTTTGTCTCTGTGTGTGTGTGTACAGGCTGCAGCTATGCCGGGAAGGACTATCCCAACGGGATGGAGTTCCCACACTCCTCTGACGACTGTCGCGTCTGCCACTGCATCGTACGGGAGCAGCGCCCGCGTCGCTCGAGGCCGGGCTGACGATGATGGCGATGACGATTATAATGATGATGACCGTGATGGCCATGATTATGATGACGATGATGATGATGATAACCATGATTACCACGACGACGACGACGATGACGATGATGATGATTACCATGATTACCACGATTATGACGATGATGATGATGACGACGACGAAGATGATGATTACCATGATTACCACGATGATGACGACGACGACGGTAAAGATGATGACGATGATGATGAGAATGATGATGACTATGATGATGATGACGATAATGATGCCGACGATGACAATGATGATGATGACGACGACGCTAATGATGCCGACGATGACAATGATGATGACGATGATGATGAGAATGGCTATGATGATGATGATGGTGACGATGACTATGATGATGACGACGACGACGGTAAAGATGATGACGATGATGATGAGAATGACGATGACTGATGACGACGACGACGGTAAAGATGATGACGATGATCCTCCCTCGTTGTGTATTTAACCCAGAACGGCAAGGTGCAGTGTCCGAAGAAGCGCTGCCCCGTGCTGGGCTGCCCCGATCCACTGCTGCCCCCAGGAGCCTGCTGCCCCACGTGTCCAGGTGCAGCGCGTTGTATGTGCGTGTACGCGTTGTGTGTACGTGTTGCGCGTTGTGTGTGCGTGTGCGCGTTGTGTGTGCGCGTGCGCGTTGTGTGTGCGCGTACGCGTTGTGTGTGCGCGTGCGCGTTGTGTGTGCGTGTGCGCGTTGTGTGTGCGTGTGCGCGTTGTGTGTGCGTGTGCGCGTTGTGTGCGCGCGTGCGCGTTGTGTGCGCGTGTGCGCGTTGTGTGTGCGTGTGTTCTCCACAGGTGAGCGGTGGTGCAGCGGTTAGCGCTACATTGCGCTCCGAACCCGGCTACCCGAATTCAATTCCCGCTCACGGCCAACACCTGTGACGATTGTCTGAACCGGTCATGGGCCTCCCCTAGGTCGACTCAGCCTCTAATTAGTACCTGGTGCGGTGTGTAAAAACATTGCCACGGGGGAGACAAAGGCGGCCGGGCGTGGTACTGGCGACCCACCCCGTCGTGTGCCGTGCCGGCCTTCATAGGTGCTCGCTAACAGCACTTGCCCCAACAGCTTGTCTAGGCTACACAGGGGATCTTTGTCTTTGGTGCTTATTCATTAACCTCTACCCCCAACCCCACTCCCAACCCTGCCTCTAACCCGTGACCCTCCCCTCTAACCCTTGACCCTGCCCTCTAACCAGTGACCTTGCCCTCTAACCTTTGACCCTGCCCTCTAACCCACGACCTGCCCTCTAACCCTCACAGAGCACTCACCTGGTTTAAACAAAACCAAATTGAACCCCGACCTCTGAGAGAAAGTGCGACGTTCCCCCCACCCCTTCCTGCCCAGGGAACTCTGTAACCCGTGTGATCGTGCCCCCTAACCCATGCCCCCCCCCACCGCCCCCCCCCCCCACAGAGCCCCCCGCGGGCTGCGTGTACCTGGGCGTGCGCTACGACCACGCGCAGCGGTTCTACGACCCGAGCGAGCGGTGCCGCGCGTGCGTGTGCGCCAACGGCACGGTGACGTGCATGCGGCGGCCCTGCCCGCCCGTGCCGTGCTCGCACCCGCGGGCTCACGCCTGCTGCCCCTCCTGCGACGGTGAGGGGCCACGAGGGGGGGGGGAGGGGGGGAGGGGCGGGGGGGGGGTGAGAGAGGGTGAGAGGGAGAAAGCGAAAGGGAGAAACGCGTGCGGGTGAATCGTCTCGTGAGGACCTCCGTGTCACGCTTTGCGTCTGGCTGGCGCGGTCCGGCAAACGGGCACCCACCCGTGCCGCGAGGGCCCCCTCCCCCCCACGCTGGCACGGCTCGGATGTGCCAGTGGAAAAAAGAGGCGGTTGTTGGTCCCTGTTCACTGCCACACGACCCGCCGCGTCGCTACCCAGCTCCGCAGCAGCAGCAGCAGCCCCCCCTCACCGTCTCCTCCTACCCCCCCCCGCCGCCCGGCACAGGCTGCCTCCTGCACGGCGTGGAGCTGGTGGAGGGGGAGCGGCGGCAGCAGCCCGGCGAGCCGTGCCGCGAGTGCGTGTGCGCGGCGGGCTCCGTGACGTGCCACGCGCTGCGCTGCCCCGCGGACGCTTGCCCTGCACCCGGCGCGCGGGCACTGCTGCCCGTCCTGCGACGGTGAGGTCCCGGCGTCGGCCCACGGCCTCCCCTTTGCTGCCCCGCGCCTCCTCGTGCCGGGAAGCTGCCCTCTGTGCCTCCCTGCGTCCGTGTCTTGCTGTCTGTCTGTACCTCAGAGGTGGCAAACGGGTTTTGATTCCTTACCCGTACCCGTACCCGGCCGGGTACGGGTACCCGTTCCCTACCCGTACCCTACCCGAAATGAGTGACAAACGGTGACTCACCAGTGACTCACGGCCTACCCGTACCCGGCCGCACCAGGGTCGCAAACGGGTACCCGTACCCAGCTGGGTACGGGTAGCCGGGTATCGGGTACCCGGTTGCGACCTCTGCTGTACCTCCACGGTTTAACTTGCACCCTCTCCTGCCCCCTCGCTGCACCCCACGTAGGCTGTGGCTACCTGGACTCGGAGTACCTCAACGGGCAGGAGTTTGAGGAGCCGGGCTCGCCGTGCCGCGTGTGCGTCTGCTCCGACGGCGCCGTCACGTGCCGCGTGCGCCCGTGCCCCCACCCCGCGCGCTGCACGCACCCAGCGGTGCCGCGCGGCACGTGCTGCCCGGTGTGTGACGGTACGTGCGTGTGACGGTACGTGCGTGTGTGTGTGCGTGTGTGCGTGTGTGTACGTGTGTGTGTACGTGTGTGTGTACGTGTGTACGTGTGTGTGTACGTGTGTGTGTGTGTACGTGTGTGTACGTGCGTGTGTGTGTACGGGTACGTGTGTGTGTGTACGTAGTGGGGAGCGATGTGTAGCGGTTAGCACGCTGCGCTATGAACCCGGCGATCCGGGTTCGATTCCCGACCCCCCCCCCCATCTCTCGCCTCTTCCCCTCCCCCAGGCTGCGTGGTGGACGGGGTGACGCACAAGAACGGAGTTTCATTCCCCGACCCCACGGACGACGCCTGTTCTCGCTGCACGTGTTCGGTACGGGGGGTTGGGGGGGGTGAGGGGGGCTCGTGGGGGGTTGAAGGGGGAGAGTGGGAGTGATCGTCTCACCGTGAACAGGGGGCTCGATCCCTTGCTTACATGTGTGTGTGTGTATGTGTGTGCGTGTATCCGTGTGTGTATGTGTGTGCGTGTGTGTGTGTGCGTGTGTATGTATGTGTGTGCGTGTGTGTGTGTATCCGTGTGTGTGTGTGTGTGTATGTATGTGTGCGTGTGTGTGTGCGTGCAAGCAGGATGGCTCTGTGGTGTGTGCGCGTGCGCCCTGTCCAGCCGTTGCCTGCAGCCACGCCACGGTGGGGGCCTGCGAGTGTCCCGTGTGTGATGGTAAGAGACGCACCCCACCGCCCATCGTCACCCATCGTCACCCATCACCACCCATCGTCACCCGTCGTCATCCATCACCACCCATCGTCACCCATCATCGCCCATCACCACCCATCGTCACCCATCACCACCCATCGTCACCCATCATCGCCCATCGTCACCCATCGTCACCCATCGTCATCCATCACCACCCATCGTCACCCATCATCGCCCATCGTCACCCATCGTCACCCATCGTCACCCATCACCACCCATCGTCACCCATCATCGCCCATCGTCACCCATCGTCACCCATCGTCATCCATCACCACCCATCGTCACCCATCGTCACCCATCGTCATCCATCACCGCCCATCGTCACCCATCGTCATCCATCACCACCCATCGTCACCCATCGTCATCATTCACCACCCATCACCACCCATCACCACCCATCGTCACCCATCGTCATCCATCACCGCCCATCGTCACCCATCGTCATCCATCACCACCCATCGTCACCCGTCGTCATCCATCACCACCCATCGTCACCCGTCGTCATTATTCACCACCCATCACCACCCATCATCATCCATCACCACCCATCACCACCCATCGTCATCCATCACCACCCATCGTCACCCATCGTCATCCATCACCACCCATCACCACCCATCACCACCCATCACCACCCATCACCACCCATCATCACCCATCACCACCCATCACCACCCATCAACCACCCATTACCGCCCATCGTCACCCATCGTCATCATCGCCCATCACCACCCATCACCGTCCATCACCCATCACCGCCCATCACCCATCATTGCCCATCACCGCCCTTCACCGCCCATTACTGCCCATCACCCATCATTGCCCATCACCCATCACCGCTCTTCACCGCCCTTCACCGCCCATCACCGCCCATCACCACTCGCGAACAGCACTTGCCCCAACAGTCTGTCAAGGCTATCCTAGGGGGTCTTTGCGAGTCCTCACGTCTCGGCGCGTCTCTCCCAGGCTGCCGGTTCCAGGGCAGAGACTACGCGGGCGGAGACGCTTTCCCTGCTCCAAAGGCGCAGTGTCAGGACTGCACCTGCAAGGTATGACGCCTGTACAAAGCCAAAGACAAAGGTACCCCCGCCCGCCACCGTGTAGGCTCAACATTGACAGCGAGCGGGAATCGTCGTCGCACTTCTCGACGTGGTCCACCAACCCCACGCCTCCCAAAGCGACCGGGTCGCCACTCCGGGGTGGGGGTGGGGGCCCTCTTTGGGTGACGTGGGTAGCGGTCTATTTCTCTCAACACGCACTCTTAGTTTTATTTCGTGAGGCCCGCTGAGCCGTGCGGCTCTTGTCTGGAAGAGACCTGGACATTTACAGCAGCGGTCAGTTGCTCTGAACGCGTGACGATGCTAAATAAACTATCAGCCGTTTTACTTCATGTGATCCGCTCTGCCCCCCTTGCTCCCCCCTCTGCCCCCCACTACTTCCCCCCACTTCCCCCTGCTTCTCCCCACCTACTCCCCCCCCACTCTCCCCGCCTCCCCCCCGCTCCCTCCCGCTCCCTCCCCCCCGTCCCGTAGCGAGGCTCCGTGCGCTGCTCCCCCCGCGTGTGTCCCTCCGCCCCCCCCGCCGGCGGGGAGCCCTGCCCCCACCCGGGGCTCGACGCGTGCGGCTGCGCCGAGTGTGGCGGCTGCCGGTTTGGGGGGCGTACGTGCGCTGACGGGGAGGCGTTCCCCCACCCCAGCGAGCCCTGCTCCACCTGCCTGTGTCAGGTGCGCACGCACACACACACACACACGCACACACACACACACACGCACGCACACGCATGCACACACACGCACGCGCACACGCGTGCACACGCGTGCACACGCACACACGCACACGCGTGCACACGCACACACACACGCGCACACACGCACACACACGTACACACGCATGCACACACACACGTACAACAACAACAACAACCGCCATTCGCCACTAAGTGGCGGTGACGTCACCACGATGCTTGTGCCAGGCCAAGTGCACCTTGAGGCCACGTGAAGTGTCGAACGCCCGCTGGCAGGAGGTCACGGGGCAGACCCAGGTGCCACGGGTCGACTGACCGAGATGACCGAGATGACTGGCTGATGCACGCACACATGCACGCACACACACACGCGCATGCACACGCACGCACACATACGCATGCACACACGCTGCATTTTAGCCACCCGGCGCTCCGCTCGTTGTTGTGAGCGTCGCTCCTTTGCCCTCATTTGTTGTTGGAGGGCGCCTCCAACTGGCCAGTAGCATCCTTTACAAGCCTACTCCAACTACCCATACAAAGACAAAGATCCCCCGTATAGACTTAACAGACTGTTGGGGCAAGTGCTGTTAGCGAGCACCTATGAAGGCCAGCACGGCATTCGAGGGGGTGGGTGGCCAACACCACGCCCGGCCGCCTTTGTCTCCCTAGTGGCAATGTGTACGCACCGCACCAGGTACTAATTTGAGGCCGAGTCAACCTAGGGGAGGCCCAGGATCGGTTCAGATAATTGTCACCGGTTTTGGCCATGAACGGGAATCGAACTTTGGTGGCCGGGTTCGTAGCGTAGCACGCTAAACAACACACTACTGCTCCCCACACTGCCCATACACACACGCACCCACATACCCAACACCCATACACTCGCCCACATACCCAACACCCACACACTCGCCCACATACTCAACTATCCATACGCATGGTAGTGTAGCGGTTAACGCTACGCTGCGCTACAAACCCGGAGACCCGAGTTCCATTCCCGCTCACGGACACCAACGCCGGTGACGATTATCTGAACCGGTCCTGGACCTCCTCCCCTAGGTCGACGCGGCCTCAAGTGAGTACCTGGTGCGTGGTGTGTAAAATCATCACCACTGGGGAGACAAAGGCGGCCGGGCGTGGTGCTGGCTACCCACCCACACCCTCGTGTGCCATGCCGGCCTTCATGGGTACTGCTACTCGCTAACAGCACTTGCCCCAACGATCTCTTAAGGCTACACGGGGAATCTTAGTCTTTGTATGTCTTTGTATGTGTCGTGAGTCACTTCAGAGACGCTAATAGTAGGAGTTTATTCTACACGAGCCCACTCCCAGAACCGGCAGCCCGGAGCCCTCGCTCCCCGCTGCTTTTATTCTCCTCGGCGTGAATTGGCTCCACCCCTGACCACGCCCTGGCCATGGCCTGGCCACGCCCCTGGCCCCGCCTCCCTTCTCGAACCCTCCAGAGGATTCCAGGAGCCTCCCCACGAGGTCTACCGTGACCCTTGCCCCGGTTCCTCCGCCCTGCCGACACACACACATACACACACACCGCGTGTATGTGTGTGTGCCGGTACACACACACACACACAACGCGTGTATGTGTGTGTGCCGGCACATACACACACAACGCGTGTATGTGTGTGTGCCGGCACACACACACACACCGTGTGTATGTGTGTGTGTGCCGGCACACACACACACACACCGCGTGTATGCTCAGCGGCGTGTGCGCTAAGTGCCCACCTGCAGTTGCTGCTGCTGGCCAACAGTCGGCGCTGTGTCACTGCATACGTGCGGATGGGTGCTACTCGCTCGCAGCACTCGCCCCAACAGCCCGTTAAACGCTACACGGGGGGGGGGGCGACCTTTGTCTTTGTGTGCGCGCGAGCAGTCGGGACGTGTGACGTGCGAGCCGCCCGCGTGCCCCCCGCTCAGCTGCGCCGACCCGGAGCCCCCCGTGCCCCCCGCGTGTTGCCCCGTGTGCTCGGGGGGGTGCCGCGTCGAGGGGGGAGGGCCGCGCGTCCCCCACGGACGCCGCTACGACGACCCCCGCCGGCCGTGCCACTCCTGCACCTGCAGGGTGACAAATGCCGCCGTCTTGTCACGCACACCCCCGTGTCTCTTTCTCTCCTCGTGTGTCTCTCTCCCCGTGTGTCTCTCCCTGTGTCTCTCTCCCTGCGTGTCTCTCTCTCTCTCTGTGTCTCTCTCCCTGTGCCTCTCCCTGTGTCTCTCGCTCTGCGTGTCTCTCTCTGTGTGTCTCTCTCCCTGCGTGTCTCTCTCTCTCTCTGTGTCTCTCTCCCTGCGTGTCTCTCTCCCTGTGTGTCTCTCTCCCTGCGTGTCTCTCCCTGCGTGTCTCTCTCCCTGTGTGTCTCTCTCCCTGTGTCTCTCTCCCTGCGTGTCTCTCTCCCTGCGTGTCTCTCTCCCTGTGTCTCTCTCCCTGCGTGTCTCTCTCCCTGTGTGTCTCTCTCCCTGTGTGTCTCTCTCCCTGCGTGTCTCTCTCCCTGTGTCTCTCCCTGTGTCTCTCTACCTGCGTGTCCCTCTCTCTCTGTGTCTCTCTCCCTGTGTGTCTCTCTCCACGTGTCTCTCTCCCTGCGTGTCTCTCTCCCTGCGTGTCTCTCCCTGCGTGTCTCTCTCCCTGCGTGTCTCCCTGCATGCGTGTCCCCCTCTCAACATCACGATATCCCACCGTGTCTCCCTGTCTCTCAGAAAACCACGTCTATGCAGAACGGGGAGCTGCCATTATCCCAAACCACTGTCGCCGTGTCCCCGTGTGTCCCACGCGTGTCCCACGCGTGTCCCCGTGTGTCCCACGCGTGTCCCACACGTGTCCCCGTGTGTCCCACGCGTGTCCCTATGTATCTCCACGTGTGTCCCCGCGTGTCCCCGCGTGTCTCCGCGTGTCCCCGCGTGTCTCCGCGTGTGCCCGTGTGTCCCAAGCGTGTCCCCCGCGTGTCCCCGTGTGTCCCACGCGTGTCCCTATGTATCTCCACTTGTATCATCCCCGTATGTCCCTGTGTGTCCCCGCGTGTCTCTGCGTATGTCCCTGTGTGTCTCCGCGTGTCCCCGCGTGTCTCCGCGTGCGTCATCCCCCGCCGCCGTCTCGCCGCCGGCGCCCGCAGAACGGCGACCTCTCCTGCTCCCCGCGCCGCTGCCCCCGCCCGCGCTGCTCCCACCCGCTGCCCGCGCGGCCCCCGGCCTCCTGCTGCCCCTCGTGCGCCGGCGGCTGCCTCCACGAAGAGGGCGTCGAGCTGGCCGAGGGGCAGGCGGCGCCGCGGTCGGAGCTCGCGCCCTGCCAGCGCTGCGTGTGCCTGGCGGGCAGCGTGCTGTGCACGCCCCTCGCCTGCCCCCGCGAGGGCGCCGCCTGCCTCCGGCCCCGCGTGCCCGAGGGGCAGTGCTGCCCCGTGTGCGAAGGTGCACGCGCACGCATCCACACACGCCCACACACACACCCACACACGCCCGCACACACCCGCACGCACTCGTACGCACCCACACGCACTCGCACACACCCGCACGGCCGCACACATCCACACACACCCACACGACCGCACACATACGCACGCACTCGCTCACACCCGCACAAACACGCGCACACGTACGCACACACTCGCACACACCCACACACACCCACATGACCGCACACATACGCACGCACACACTCGCTCACGCCTGCACACACTCGCTCACACCTGCACAAACACGCGCACACATACGCACACACTCGCACACACCCACACACCCACACACACCGGCACACACCCACACGCCCGCACGAACTCGCAAACACCCACAAAACTAGCGCACACATACGCACCCCCGCACACTCGCACGCACCCGCACACACACACCTGCACACACGCGCACACACACACTCGCACAGACGCGCACACACACACAAAGACACACTCGCACACACACCCGCACACAAAGACACACACGCGCACGCGCGCACACACACACGCGCACACGCACACACACACGCACACACACGCGCACACACACACGCACACACACGCGCACACGCACACACACACGCACACACACACGCACACACACGCGCACACACACACACCTGCCGTGTGCCTCCTTGTCTCTCTGCGTCTGCGTCTCGTTGTGTGTGCCGAGGGGAGCGGCAGTGTAGCGGTTCGCTCGCTGCGCCACGCACCCAGCCACCCAAGTTCGATTCCCGCTCACCACCACCAACAACAATATTTAAACCGGACCTGGGCCTCCCTTAAGTCAACGTAGCCTTCAATAAATGAGTACCAGGTATGGTGTATAGACATCAGTACTGGGGAGACACAGGTGGTGTTGCCCACCCCACCCCCGTTGCGTGCCGTACTGGCACTTGCCCAGACGCTCTGTTCGAGGCAGAGGTCGCCATCGGGTACCCGATACCCGTACCCTACCCAATACCCGGCTACCCGTACCCAGCCAGGTACGGGTACGGGTACCCGTTTGCGACCCTGGTGCGGCCGGGTACGGGTAGGCCGTGAGTCACTGGTGAGTCACCGTTTGTCACTCATTTCTCAACGTCTTGTCTCTTCTCACAATTCAAGTTCCTAGAATCAACCCACCCGCGCCTGTAACATGGCTTCATCCCAGAGGTCGCAATCGGGTATCCATACCCTACCCGATACCCGGCAGGGTACGGGTAGCCGGGTATCGGGTAGGGTGCGGGTACCCGATTGCGACCCTGGTGCGGCCGGGTACGGGTTCGGGTAAGGAATCAAAACCCGTTTGCGACCTCTGGTTCGAGGCTGATACGGGTGATCTTTATCTGTGTGTGTCTGTGCCCAGGCTGCATGCACATGGGCGTGGAGCTGAGCGAAGGTGACATCTGGACCGACCCTCGTTCCCCGTGCGAACTCTGCGTCTGTAAGGTGAGTGGCCGGGAGGGAAGGACATTGACACCGTGCGATCAAAACCAGAGGTCGATCTCCCGGCACCCCGCACCCAGTATACGTCTCACTAAAAACTAAAAAGCACACATCCATCGATGCTTTATTTTTAGCAGGTAAGGCCCCACTGAGTGGAATAGCTCCTTTTGAGGAGTGACCTGGCTATCACGAATGATAACTCAACTACGAAGTGGCTCATCACCGCGTGGATATTTATAGCAGCCCAATACTCTGAACCCATGTTCATTGTAAATGTGGAGGGAAGAATAGGCAGCACCCGGAGAAAAAATCCACGCGACCACGGGGAGAGAGAGACACGCAAACTCCAATTATACAGCAGCAAGCGACAGGGACGGGATAGAACCCACGACCTCCTGTACACCGGGCGAGGGAGTTAACATCTCCTAGCCACCGCGATGATGATGATGAGAGAGAGACACGCAAACTCCAAATATACAGCAGGCGTCTGGGTCGGGATCGAACCCACGACCTCCTGCACACCGGGCGAGGGAGTTAACATCTCCTAGCCACCGTGTGCGCCCCGTGGCTGTTACTCTCGCTGCGTCTCGCTGCGGCCGTGGCTGTGGCTAAGTCATGGGCCATCTGCTGCAGTCTACCAGAAAGGTTGTCCACGTCCCGGCGTGCCACCACGATGTGGCCGTGTCAAGCGGCTGGTCTCGTGCCAGCGAGCCAGAAGTTAGTCAGTGACAAATGAATAGCGTTGGTGTCGATGGTGATGTTGAACATGGTGATGGCGACGTTGATGGTGGTGACGGCGATGATGGTGATAATGTTGAGGATGGTGATGGCGACGTTGATGGTGGTGATGATGTTGAGGATGGTAGTGGCGACGTTGATGGTGGTGACGGCGATGATGGTGATGGTGATGATGTTGAGGATGGTGATGGCGACGTTGATGGTGGTGACGGCGATGATGGTGATAATGTTGAGGATGGTGATGGCGACGTTGATGGTGGTGATGGTGATGATGTTAAGCATGGTGATGGCGACGTTGATGGTGATGATGGTGATGGTGATAATGTTGAGGATAGTGGTGGCGACGTTGACGGTGGTGACGGCGATGCTGACGACGATGCTGATGTTGGTGGTGTGCAGGCTGGGCACGTGCTGTGCGAGCAGGGGGAGTGCAGCGGCTGTCTGCACGAAGGCCGCTTGCTCGCGGACAGAGAAACCCTCCAGCCAGACGCCTGCACCACCTGCACCTGCCAGGCACTCGCACAGACACACACACACAGACACACACACAGACACACACACAGACACACAGATACACACACACAGACACAGACACACACACAGACACACACACAGACACACACACACAGACACACACAGACACACACACACAAACACACACGCACAGACACACACACACACATAGAAACACACAGACACACACAGAGACACACACACAGACACACACACACACAGAGACACACACACACACAGACACACACACAGACACACACACAGACACACACACACAGACACACACAGAAACACACACACACAGACACACACAGACACACACACACAGAGACACACACACACACAGACACACACACAGACACACACACACAGACAAAAAAAAGACAAAGATCCCCCATATAGCCTTAACAGACTGTAGGGGCAAGTGCTGTTAGCAAGCACCTATAAAGGCTGGCACGGCACACGAGGGGGTGGGTGGCCAACACCACGCCTGGCTGCCTTTGTCTCCCTAGTGGCGATGTTTACACATCGCACCAGGTACTCATTTTAGGCTGAGTCGACCTAGGGGAAGCCCAGGACCGGTTCAAGTCTAATTTGCCACTGTTGTTGCTAGTGAGTAGGTATCGAACTCAGGTCCGCCCGGTTTGTAGCGCAGTGCGCTGACCACTAATATTACCACTCCCCACACACACACACGTAAATCCACACACACACCCACACACGTAAATCCACACACGCACACGTAAATTCACACACACACACGTAAATCCACACACACACAAACACACATGCCCGCTTAGCAATACAACAACAGCCGCCAATTGCCCCTAAGTGGCAGTGACGTCACCAGGGCACTTATGCCAGGCTAGGTGCACTCTTAGGCCACGTGAAGTGTGGAAGGCTCGCTGTTGGCAGGAGGTCACGGGACAGACCCAGCAGGTGCCGTGGGTTGACTGCTGTGCCAGGCTAGGTGCAGGAGGAGGTCACGGGACAGACCCAGCAGGTGCCATGGGTTGACTGCTGTGCCAGGCTAGGTGCAGGAGGAGGTCACGGGACAGACCCAGCAGGTGCCATGGGTTGACTGCTGTGCCAGGCTAGGTGCAGGAGGAGGTCACGGGACAGACCCAGCAAGTGCCATGGGTTGACTGCTGTGCCAGGCTAGGTGCAGGAGGAGGTCACGGGACAGACCCAGCAGGTGCCATGGGTTGACTGCTGTGCTAGGCTAGGTGCAGGAGGAGGTCACGGGACAGATTCAGCAAGTGCCATGGGTTGACTGCTGTGCCAGGCTAGGTGCAGGAGGCGGTCACGGGACAGACCCAGCAGGTGCCATGGGTTGACTGAGTTGGCTGGCAGATGCACCACCCCCTGCACTGCCCACTGTGCCAACTCGCTGCGTTGTCGTTGACTGCGTTTGATTCAACATTCCGGGGCCTCGCGTAGGTTGACTACCTCGTGCGTCGTGTAAACATTGTCACGAGGGAGACAAAGGCGGCCGGGCATTAAAACTATGAGATGTGCAGCTCTTTTTCAGAAGCCACAAATGATAGCCCAACGAAGTGGCTTATCGCGTGGAAATGTTGATTCTAAATGTGGAGGGGGAAACCAGAGGTCCCGGAGAAAAATCCACGCGACCACAGGGAGAACATGCAAACTCCAAATATACAACAGGTGTCATGGTCGGGATTGAACCCCTGACCTCCTGTATACCAGGCGAGGCAGTTAACATTTCCTAGCCACCCTCATGACGATGAGAGACGCAAACTCCAACTATACAGCAGGCGTCATTGTTGGGATTGAACCCATGGCCTCCTGTACACCAGGCGAGGTAGTTAACATCTCCTAGGCACCATGATGATGATGAGAGAGACACGCAAACTCCAAATATACAGCAGCAGGGGTCAGGATCGAACCCACATCCTTCTGTAAACCAGGCGAGGTAGTTAACATCTCCTAGCCACCGTGATGATGATGATGAGAGAGACACGCCACACTGATAGTAGCAACCCACCCCCTCGTGCGCCGTGCCAGCCTTCGTAGGTGCTGCTCACTAACAACACTTGCCCTGACAGTCTGTTGGAGGCTACACAGGACATCTTTATCTTGTGTGTGTGTGTGTACAGGCAGGGAGTGTGCACTGCACAGCCAATCCGTGTCCTCCTCTTCGCTGCGTCCATCAGTTCACGGTCCCGGGGGAATGCTGCCCACAGTGCCAAGGTGCGTCCACTCACTCACTGCCCAGCTGCTCGCTCGCTCACTCACCACCAGTCGCTCGCCAGCTCACCTCCTGGTTCACTCGCTCACTCAGCCACGCATCCGTGCACCCGCTCAGACCGCTCGCCCTCTTGCTCAACGGTTCACGCACTCGCTCGCTAACCAGAGGTCGCAACCGGGTACCCGATACCCGTACCCTACCCGGGTACCCGGCCGGGTACGGATAGCCGGGTATCGGGTAGGGTACGGGTATCGGGTACCCGGTTGCGACCTCTGCCGCTTGCCAACAGCGCTCGCCGCGACGGCGGCCCCCCGCTGAAGGCCTCACCGGGGTGGTTGGGGGACACCTTTGCCTGTGTGTGTGCAGGCTGCGTGTACGAGGGGCGGGTGCACGAGGAGGGCTCCGCGTGGGTGCCCGCGGCGCGGCCGTGCCTCGCCTGCGCCTGCCACTCCGGCGTCGTCACCTGCTCCGCGCCGCTCTGCCTCGCCGTGTCGCCCTGCGCGCCGCCGACCTCCGACCCCGGCGACGGGCGGTGCTGCCCGCGGTGCTCAGGTGGGCACGCGCGCAGATACACACACGCAGATACACACACGCAGATACACGCACGCACGCAGATACACGCACACAGATACACGCGCGCAGATACACACACGCAGATACACACACGCAGATACACGCACGCATGCAGATACACGCACGCAGATGCACGCACGCAGATGCACGCACGCAGATACACGCACACACGTACACACGCAGATACACGCACGCAGATACACGCACACACGCAGATACACGCACACACGCAGATACACGCACACACACAGATACACGCACACACGCAGATACACGCACGCAGATACACGCACACACGCAGATACACGCACACATGCAGATATACGCACACACGCAGATACACGCACGCAGATACACGCACACACGCAGATACACGCACACACGCAGATACATGCACGCAGATACACGCACACAGATACACGCACACATGCAGATACATGCACGCAGATACACGCACACAGATACACGCACACAGATACACGCACGCAGATACACGCACGCACGCAGATACACGCACGCACGCAGATACACGTACACACGCAGATACACGCACACACGCAGATACACGCACGCAGATACAGGCACACACGCAGATACACGCACACACGCAGATACACGCACACAGATACACGCACACAGATACATGCACGCAGATACACGCACGCACGCAGATACACGTACACACGCAGATACACGCACACACGCAGATACACGTACACACGCAGATACAGGCACGCGGACGCAGCTGTATTGCACACACGCGTATGTCAATACGGGCCGACGTGCGTACACACACACTGACGCAGGTCTCTCACGTGCGCTGCGTGCGTGCACACTGTGTATGGGTGCCCTGTGTGTGTGTACACTGCGTGTGTGTGTGTACACTGCGTGTGTGTGTACACTGTGTGTGTTCACTGTGTGTGTATACACTGTGTGTGTGTACACTGTGTGTGCAGGCTGTGTACACTGTGTGTGTGTACACTGTGTGTGTACACTGTGTGTGTGCGTTCACTGTGTGTGTGTGTGTGTACACTGCATGTGTGTGTTCACTGTGTGTGTACACTGTGTGTGTACACTGTGTGTGTGTGTTCACTGTGTGTGTACACTGCATGTGTGTGTGTACACTGCATGTGTGTGTGTGTACACTGCATGTGTGTGTGTGTACACTGCATGTGTGCGTGTGTACACTGCGTGCGTGTGTGTGTACACTGTGTGTGTGTGTACACTGTGTGTGTGTGTGTGTGCAGGCTGTGTACACGGCGGTGTCACCCACAAGCCAGGACACTCGTTCCAGCCGTCACATGACCCCTGTGAGATCTGCTTCTGCGAGGTAGCGTGGACACTGTGTGTGTGTACACTGTGTGTGTGTACACTGTGTGTGTGTGTACACTGTGTGTGTGTGTACACTGTGTGTGTGCGCTGCGTGTGTGTGTGTACACTGTGTGTGTGTGTACACTGTGTGTGTGCGCTGCGTGTGTGTACACTGTGTGTGTACATTGTGTGTGTGTGTACACTGTGTGTGTGTACACGTGTGTGTGTACACTCTGTGTGTGTACACTGTGTGTGTGTACACTGTGTGTGTGTACACGTGTGTGTGTGCGCTGTGTGTGTGTGTGTGTACACTGTGTGTGTACACGTGTGTGTGTGTGTACACTGTGTGTGTGCGCTGTGTGTGTGTGTGTACACTGTGTGTGTACACTGTGTGTGTACTGTGTGTGTACACACTGTGTGTGTACACTGTGTGTGTGTACACTGTGTGTGTGTACACGTTGTGTGTGTGTGTGCGCTGTGTGTGTGTACACGTTGTGTGTGTGTACACGTCTGTGTGTGTGTACACTGTGTGTGTGTACACTGTGTGTGTGTGTACTCTGTGTGTGTGTACACGTGTGTGTGTGTACACTCTGTGTGTACACTGTGTGTGTGTACACGTGTGTGTGTACACTCTGTGTGTGCGCAGGAGCTGTCGAGCGGCGAGCACGTGCTGCACTGTGAGCGCAGGATGTGCCCGAGCCTCGTCGACTGCCCCCACGCCAGCGTGCAGCCTCCCCCCCCGGGCAGCTGCTGCCCCACCTGCACAGGTTGTGTGTGCGTGCGTGCGTAGGTACGTACGTGCATACGTACATGAGTGTGTGCGTACGTGCGTACGTGCGTGCGTACGTGGGGAGCGGTAGTGCAACGGTCAGCGCGCCGCGCTACGAACCCGGCGACCCGAGTTCGATTCCCGCTCACGGCCCATCGTCGCTGGGGTAACATCTGAACCGGTTTTGGGCCCTCCCCCTAGGTCGACTCAGCCTCAAATGAGCACCTGGTGCAGTGTGCAGGCGTCGCCGCTGGCAAGACAAAGGTGGACGGACGGTTGGTGTGGTGACGGCAACATCACCACCCCATCATGTGCCAACAGTCCGTTAAGGCTACACGGGGGACCTTTATCTGTTGTGCGTGATGCCCTGCGCTACGAACCCGGCGACCCGAGTTCGATTCCCGCTCACGGCCAACACCGGCGACGATTAATTTGAACCGGTCCTGGGCCTCCTCCCCTAAGTCGACTCAGCCTCAAATGCGTTACCTGGCGTGGTGCGTTAAATCATTGCCACCGGGGAGACGAAGGCGGCCGGCGTGGTGCTGGCCACCAAGCAGAGGTCGTAACCGGGTACCCGATACCCGTACCCGGCCGGGTACGGGTACAGCCGGGTACGGGTAGGGTACGGGTACGGCCGGGTACGGGTACCCGTTTGCGACCCTGGTGCGGCCGGGTACGGGTAAGGAATCAAAACCCGTTTGTGACCTCTGCCACCAAGCCCCCCTCGTGTGCCGTGCCGGCCTTCATAGGCGCCACTCGCTGAACAGCACTTGCCCCAACAGCGCGGTGAAGGCTATAATCGGGGGGGTGGATCTTTGTCTTTGGATGGCAGCGGCTCTGGGCAACTGCTCGTTGTCGGTGAGCGGGCGCCAGGTGTACGCCAGCGAGGACCCCTGCTACATGTGCGAGTGCCAGGTGGGTCTGACTGCCCGCACACGGCACACCACGTCCAGTATGACAGCTCCGCCGCTACGTGTGGACACTGTGTGTACACTGTGTGTGTGTGTAAATTGTGTGTGTGTGTGTACACTGTGTGTGTGTGTACACTGTGTGTGTGTGTACATTGTGTGTACACTGTGTGCATGCGTGTACATTGTGTGTTTACACACAGTGTACACACACACGCAGTGTAAACACACACACGCACAGTGATGCGGCCAGACCCGGCGATGCGGCCAGACCTGGTGCTGCCCTATGTGGGGTGTGCGTGGGTGCCTGCACTTGCCCCAACAGTCTGTGAAGGCTATACGGGTGGGGGGGATCTTTGTCTTTGCAGGAGATCACGTGGGTGTGCGTTCGTCAGCTGTGCCCCACCCTGAGCTGCCCCCTGGTGGAGCAGTTCACCCCGCCTGAATCGTGCTGCCCCATCTGCGAAGGTGTGCGTGGGGTGTGTGGGGGGTGTGGGGGGTGTAGGGAGTGTATGGTGTGTGTGGGGTGTATGGGGTGTGTGTGGGGTGTGCATGGGTGTGTGGGGGGTGTGCATGGGGTGTGTGGGGGGTGTGGGGTGTGTATGGGGTGTGTATGGGGTGTGTATGGGGTGTATGGGGTGTATTGGGTGTTATGGGGTGTGTGGTGTGTGGGGTGTGTGGAGTGTATGGGGTGTGGGGTTTTGGGTGTGTGGGGTGTGTGTGGGGTGTGTGGGGTGTGTGTGGGGTGTATATGGGGTGTGTATGGGGTGTGTATGGGGTGTGTATGGGGTGTGTATGGGGTGTATTGGGTGTTATGGGGTGTGTGGTGTGTGTGGTGTGTGGGGTGTGTGTGGGGTATGTGGGGTGTGTGTGGGGTGTGTGGGGTGTGTGTGGGGTGTGTGTGGGGTGTGTGTGGGGTGTATGGGGTCTATGGTGTGTGTGGGGTTCCACTCGCGAACAGCACTTGTCCCCAGCAGTCTGCGAAGGCTACACGGGGGATCTTTGTCTCTCGACGCAGATTGCGTGATCGAGGATCGACGCGTACCCGACGGAGGGACTTTCCTCGACGGAGCAAACAGCTGCATCACCTGCATCTGCTCGGTAGCCGCTCGCTCGCTCGCTCACTCACTCACCCCTCCGTTTCAAATATTTGATTATTTTCATTCATTGCGATATCAGAATCAGAATATTTATTTTTGCTGGGCAAACGTTGAATTGAGCTCAGCGACCAGAGTTCGATTTCCGCTCACGGCTACCAAAAGCAGTGACGATTATCCGAACCGGTCCTGGGTTTTCCCTAGATCGACTCAGCCTCAAATGAGTACCTGGTGCGGTGTAGTAAACATCGCCACTGGGGAGACACAGGCAGCCGGGCGTGGTGCTGGCCACCCAGCCTCTCGTGTACCGTGCCGACCTTCATAGGTGCTCGCTAACAGCATTTGCCTCAACTGTCTGTGTCTTTGTCTTTTGTGTTAGCTTGGACACGTAGAATGCACCATCGAAGAATGTGCCCCGGTGCATTGTGGGATGGGAATGGAGCTCGAAATTCTTCCTGGGGTGTGCTGCCCCGAATGCCGAGGTGAGCGTGGGAGTGGCTGAGTGAGTGAGTGGTGAGTGTTGAGTGGCTGAGTGAGTGAGTGGTGAGTGTTGAGTGGCTGAGTGGCTGAGTGAGTGGGTGAGTGAGTGGTGAGTGAGTGGGTGGGTGACTGAGTGGCTGAGTGAGTGGGTGAGTGAGTGGTGAGTGAGTGGGTGGGTGACTGAGTGGTGAGTTAGCGAGAAAAGCAGGCGATTGAGCGTGTGAGTGAATTTTCAATGGGTTAAGCGAGTTGAACTATGACCCCAACCGATAAAGCGAGCAGGTGAGCGAGGCAGTGAAAGAATGACGTCGTCGATGAGCGAGAGGGTAAATGAGCGATCTCACTCGCGAGCGGGTGAGTGAATGGGTGAGTTATCTCGCTGGCGAGCGTGCAGAGCGGCGCGTGCCGTGCGTGTACGCGGGCCGTGAGCTGGGCCCCGGGGCGCGCTGGGCCGTGGACGAGTGCACGCGCTGCACCTGCGTGGGAGGCAACGTGCACTGCAGCACGGAGCGCTGCGCCCCGCCGCACTGCCCCAACGTGAGTACCCCAACAGCAGCGCGCGCGGGGGCAGCCGCAGTACACACGCAGCACACACACACAGCACACACACCATACACACACAGTACACACATACACAGCACACACACCGTACACACACAGTACACACACAGTGCACACACACGCAGTACACACACACAGTACACACAGGACACACACAGGACACACACAGCACACACACAGCACACACACAAAACACACACACAGTACACACACACAGTACACATATACACAGCACACAAAGTGTACACACATACACACATACACAGTACACACACAGTACACAGGCAGTACACACAGTACAGACATACACAGTACACAGGCACTACACACAGTACACACATACACAGCACACACACAGCACACACACAGTACACACACACAGTACACACACACAGTACACATATACACAGCACACACACAGTACACACACAGTACACACATACACAGTACACACACAGTACACACATACACAGTACACACACAGTACACAGGCAGTACACACAGTACACACAAACACAGCACACACACAGTGGCACACGTGACCCCGACCGGTGCGACGGCGCAGGACGAGATCCCGACGCTGACGGGCGGCGCGTGCTGCCCCCGCTGCCTGCCCCGCCCGGCCACGTGCGTCGTGTTTGGCGACCCGCACTACCGCACCTTCGACGGCGCCACGGTGCACTTCCAGGGCTCCTGCAGCTACACGCTGGCGCAGGACTGCACCGCGCGTGACTTCACGTGAGCGCCGCGACGCGTTCAGGATCCGTCGTGAGCACCGCGACGCCTCGCTGCCGCGGCGCGAGCGGGTTGAGCGGGCGAGCGGGCGGGCGAGAGAGACAGCAGACGGTTGAGCAGGCGGGTGGGCAAGAGAGCGAGCGGGTGGGCGAGTGAGTGGGCGAGAGAGCAGGCTGGCAAGAGAGTGGGCGAGAGAACGGGTGGGTGGGCGAGTGGGCGAGAGAGCGGGCGGGCGAGAGAGACAGCGGATGGGTGAGAGAGACAGCGGACGGTTGAGCAGGCGGGTGGGCGAGAGAGTGAGCGAGAGAGTGGGCGGGTGAGAGAGTGGGCGAGAGAGCAAGTAGGCGAGAGAGACAGTGGACGCGTCGTGACGGAGCGACGCGCGTGTGCAACTCGCAGGATCCAGGTGACGAACGACAACCGCGGCCTGCAGGGCGTGTCGTGGACACGTGACGTGCTGGTGCGTGTCGGGGATGCACACGTGTGGCTGCTGCAGGACTGGGAGGTCAAGGTGAGAGCGCCTCCCTCCCTCCCTCCCTGCCGCTCACTCGCCCTTCTCCTCCTGTGTGTGTGTGTGACCCAGTATATGCATCTGTGTGTAGCTGTGTGTGTGCTACGAGTTTTGTTCCTGCTCACGACCACCGACACCACGGTGTTGTAGTGAACGTCGCCACTGGGGAGACAAAGGCGGCCGGGTGTGGTGCTGGCCACCCACCCTCTCGCGTGCCACGATGCCGGCCTTCGTAACAGCACTTGCCCCGACGCTCCGTTAAGGCTACACGGGGGACCTTCGCCTGTGCGTGCGTGCGTGCGCAGGTGAAAGGCGAGACCGTGACACTGCCGTACCTGAAGGAGCCGCACCTGTACGTGGAGAGGAAAGCGAATCACATCCTTCTCAACACCAACATCGGCCTCAAGGTGCGTCGCCACGCCGGTGAAGTTATGCCAAGAACACGGCCCCCCCCACCGGCCCCCCCAGCGGGCGGTGAGCTGAAGAGGGCACCGTGAGGAACCGGCCGTTGGTGAACAATCGTTGGCGTTTACGACAGACAGCGCCGTTTCGTTCAGCGCTCAGTTGGCCCGAGAAGCATGGACATTGACTCTAAATGTGGAGGGAAAAACCGGAGGACCCAGAGAAAAATCCACGCGACCACGGGGAGAGAGAAACACCACAAACTCCAAATATACAGCGGCAGGCGTCAGGGTCGGGATAGAACCCACGACCTCCTGCATACCAGGCGAGGTAGTCAACATCTCCTAGCCACCGTGATGATGATGATGAGAGAGAGACACGCAGACTCCAAATATACAGCAGCGATAGGATCTGGGTCGAACACACGACTTCCTGCACACCAGGCGAGATAGTTAACATCTCCTAGCCACCGTGATGATGATGATGAGAGAGACACGCAAACTCCAAATATACAGCAGGCGTCAGGGTCGGGATTGAACCCACGACCTCCTGTACACCAGGCGAGGTAGTCAACATCTCCTAGCCACCGTGATGATGATGATGAGAGAGACACGCAGACTCCAAATATACAGCGGCAGGCGTCAGGGTCGGGATCGAACCCACGACCTCCTGTGTACCAGGCGAGGTAGTCAACATTTCCTAGCCACCGCAACAACAACAACAACACCAACAACAATAATCCGTGTGTGGGGTGCCACACTGCCGCCGGCCGATGTCTCTCGCGGTTCGGCCCCCGTCACTTTCGCCGCGCTCCCGCACCCAGCCTGGCACGGTGGCCCGGTTGTTTTGTCTCCGCGCAGGTGCTGTGGAACGGCAAGAGCCACCTGGAGGTGAGCGTGCCCGGCTCCTACAAGGAGCGCACCTGCGGCCTGTGCGGGAACTTCAACGGCATCGCGCAGGACGACACGAGGCTGCCCAGCAACGCCATCGCGTCTTCGCACGCACACTTCGGCAACAGCTGGAAGGTGCGGAGGGGGGGCGGAGGGGGGGCGGAGGGAGGGGATGGAGGGGGGTTGAAGGGGGGGCGGAGGGGGGGGGCCTCTCTTGCGAGATTCGCGATGGCTGTGCTGGTGACCGAGACAGTGCCGGTGAGAGCCGTGGTGTTGGGTTCGTTCATAATGGCCACTTCCACCTCCCTCCCATTCCCCCCCCCCTTCTTCTCTACCCTCCCTCCCTCCCCCCTCCCTCCCCCTTCCCTCCCCCTCCCTCCCTCCCCCTCCCTCTTCTCTCCCCCTCCATCGCTCCCCCCTCCCCCCCCCTCCCTCCCCCTCCCTCCCCCTCCCCCACCCTCCCTCCCCCCTCCCCCCCTCCCTCCCCCCTCCCTCCCCCTCCCTCCCTCCCCCTCCCTCTTCCCTCCCCCTCCCTCTTCCCTCCCTCTTCCCTCCCCCTCCATCGCTCCCTCCCCCCTCCCCCCCCCTCCCTCCCCATCCCTCCCCCCTCCCTCCCCCTCCCTCCCCCCTCCCTCCCCCTCCCTCCCTCCCCCTCCCTCTTCCCTCCCTCCCCCACCCCCCCTAGGTCACCGACCCCAGCTCCCCGGCGCCGCCGTGCGAGGACGTGGACGACGTGGACCCGTGCCGCCGCGCCGGCTACCGTGCCCACCGCGAGGCCAACGCGCGCTGCCGGGCCCTGCGGGGGGCGGCGGGCGGCGCCTTCGCCCCGTGCCGCGCCGCCGTGCCCCCCGCCGCCTTCTACGCCGCCTGCGTCTACGACCTCTGCGCCTGCGCCGCCGGGCTGGGCGGCGGCGCCGGGCTCGGAGCGCCGCCGACGTCGCCCGAGACGTGCCTGTGCGACGTGCTGGAGGCGTATGCCGCTCGCTGCCACGCCGCCGGGGTCCACGTGCAGTGGCGCACCGCCACGCTGTGTGGTGGGTGCACACACACACACACCTCGCCAGCAACGCAGCCCCTACCCACTCCCTCCCTCCTCTCCCCTCCCCCCTCCCTCACCCTTCCCCCTCCTCCCTCCCTCGCCCTCCCCCCTCCTCCCACCTCCTCCCCCCTCCCTCCTCTCCCTCCTCCCCCCTCCCTCACCCTCCCCCCTCCTCCCTCCTTCTCCCCCCTCCCTCCTTCCTCCCCCTCCCTCTTCCCTCCTCTCCCCCTCTCTCCTCATCCCCCTCCCCTCCCTCGTCCCCCCTCCCTCCTCCTTCCCCCTCCCTCTTCCCCCCACCCTCCTCTTCCCCCCTCCCCCCACTTACCCTTCCCTCCCTCCTCCTCGTCCTCCAACAGCAGCTACTAACCCCCGCCCCCTCTCTCACCACGTGACGTAGCGTGTGTCTATCCTGTCTGCCCTCCGTGTGCGCGTCACCCCGTGTGTGTCCCGTCTCTCCCCGTGTGTTTCCCGTCTCTCCCCGTGCGCTCGCCAGCCGTGTCCTGCCCGACGGAGCGTGGCTACGTGTTTGACGAGTGCGGCCCGCGCTGCCCGCGCACCTGCTACAACCGCGACGTGCCGCTCGGCGTGGTGGAGGCCGCGTGCCTGCAGCCGTGCGTGCCGGGCTGCCAGTGCCCCGCCGGACTCGTCGAGCACCTGGGCGCCTGCGTGCGGCCCGAGGCTTGCCCCTCGGTGGTGTACGGCGACGACGCGGGGCCCGTCACTGCCGCCGCAGACGCCGCGTGATACGGTGGAGCATTCGCTCTACGCCCGTCGCGTCACGTCCTGTCCGTCCGTCCGTTCCATCCATCCCGTCTGTCCATCTGTCCCATCTGTCCCATCCCATTCCATCCATCCCGTCTGTCCGTCTGTCCCATCTGTCCCATCCCATTCCATCCATCCCGTCTGTCCATCTGTCCCATCTGTCCCATCCCATTTCATCCATCCCGTCCATCCGTCTTTCCCGTCCTGTCCCATCCGTCCTTCCCGTCTGCCTACAAATAACTCGAGGTGGTGGGGTTCTAGCCACGGGGCCCTCGACTGCGAAACCTGCCGCGTGCCGCCGAGCCCGCGAGATGCCAAGCGGCGCATCCCGTCGCGATCGCCCTCGTGCCGGGAGAACCACGAAGCCGACGCCGACGCCGCGCTCGCGGCTTGGATGCGCCGCGCGCTCCGCTCACCGCCCATGGTAACAAACAAAACGGAGCCACCCTGGACCCAATCCCCTTGCCAGCGCCGACCCCGACCCTCGCTGGTGCGTTCCACCCTTCGCCGTGACTCTCGACGCGAGCTCTGGCCGCCGTCCTGGGCCAGAGTCGAACTCGCGCGCCGTCTTGTTCACCGTTGTCAGGGAATGTGCTCCGAACGCCTCGAACCAAGCGCCAAACTGCACCCTCTGTCCCACAAGCCACACAAACTCTCATCCACGTTCACTCGCGCTATATAGCCCGTCCGTTTGTGCTTTCACTTTTGCCAGTCGCTATTTTAGACACGTCTATGTATTTTTACGACGACAAAATGTTTTATTGTTGCGTTCACATCATACCTCTGCATGTAATTGAACCTATATCCAAAGACAAAGATCCCCCGTGTAGCCTTAACAAACTCTTGGGGCAAGTGCTGTTAGCGAGCACCTATGAAGGCCGGCACGGCACACGAGGGGCTGGGTGGCCAGCACCACGCCCGGCCGCCTTTGTCTCCCCAAAGCGCTGATGTTTACACACCGCACCCAGGTGCTCATTTAAGGCTGAGTCGACCTCGGGGAGACTCAGGACCGGTTCAAATATCTGCACTGGCGATGAGCGGGAGTTGAACCCGGGTGGCCGGGTATGGAGCGTGGCGTTGACAACAACTCCCGCGCCCCACAATTGAACATGCACACAAACTTGTGTGTGTGTGTGTGTAATGGGTGCTAACATGAGGGTATTTTATATAAAAAAAAATATAATCGCATTTTTATACACACACAATTGTGTGACGTCTAGTTTTTAACAATATATTTTTTTTACAATTGCAAATGTATATATATTTTTGTTGTTTAATCAATTAAATGCATTTGCATACCACGTGTGTGCTGTTTGCGTGCTCCGGTCAGTGTTTTCCTTCACGAGTCATTAAATAATCGTGATGCCAACGCTGCACTGCCACACCAGGCATCCGCCCGCTGTGGCAGAGAGAGGTGACGGACTCGTGTGGACGTCACGGCGAATCCGGGGAGACTGCCCCGGGCCCCGCGCTTTGGGGGATGTAATACTTTTGGTTTGTGAAAAAAACAACAAGAATCGGCGTTTTTTACCCTTTCAGCCAATCAAACAGCAGGAGTGGCGTTAAGACGTTCAAACACCAAACAGAAACTTTTGGCAAGGAAGGAAGTCACAGCGTTAACCACCACAGGCTACTTGCGGTGACCATGCACACAGCCATGCCGTGATCACAGATGCGGCATCGTCTTCTGTTTGGCCTCGTCTCGCCAGCAGTGTCAGGCCAGAGAACGACGCCAAAAGACGAACGGTACCAGGACAATGCCACTCTCAGGGCATTTGTAGCTCGGGGTGAGCAGCTACACACATGGGACCTTTGATACCGGCAAAAATGTCCCAATTTGTAGCTTCCAGTTTAGTTTAAAGTCATCGTGGGGGGTGGGGGGCACGGTGGGGGTTGACTGGCCCCCCGCAACCCCCCCCCCCCCCATGGGCTGTGAACGTCCTCGTGTGCCACAGTGCCGGCAGCCTTCACAGGCACTGCTGCTGCTACTCGCTCACAGCACTTGCCCCAGCAGTCGGTTGAGGCTACACGGGGGATCTTTGTCTTTATTATTGTTGTGGTCGTTGTTCGGGCCACAGAGACACGTGGACGGGATGTTTACGAGCGAGCCGATGCAGAGCGCTCGGCTCGTCCAGAAATACGCGATGGACATCCTGAGGATGAGACTCGGTTGGGGCTAAGCAGCCCCGTTTCGTGGCCAACCGCGGGGGAAGGACAACGGATGGTGGGTCTCTGCGTGACCCAACATTGAGTCGCCACCTTTTGAGGTCGAGGAAGACAACAGCCACGTGGTAAGCCGGCGTCAAATTCTCCCCAAGCTTTACCTTCCTCGACATGTGACGGTGTCGTCGGCAGATGTGAATGAGTGTTTACATGTTGGAGGAAATCCCACGGGTGCGAGGGAGCAACGCTCTATCCCACGCACACGTGATCAAGTACGGTCCTACATTTGGTTTCAAAGTGCGTCCGTACCAGTGGGCTTCCTCCTACCCGACGGGAAGAACGTTCCAGACGGCCGCAGAAGCAGCGCGCTCTGAAAGCGCCGCGCGACGCGAGAGGCCAGGTTGAGTCTCGTTCGCTCGAGCGAGCGATGAGGCGAGTGAAGGAACGAGTCACGGAGAAGGAGGAGGAGTTGGAGGAGGAGGTGGTGGTGGTGGCGTTTGTTGTCTGGGACATTCTTGTCTTGTGCAACGTACGTACTATGTACGGTTGTTGAACTCCTTTCGCAAATTCTAGATTTGAAGCTTTCGTGACTGCAAGGATTCATACTCTTAGGTTTTTTTCGGTAAAGTCACGTAGGTAAAAAATAAAAATAAATAATAAAAATAATAAAAATAAATAATGTGATTTTTATAGAATAATAAATATTTTTCTATTATTATTTCTATTATTTGTATTATTTATTTTTTAGCTACGTGACTTTACCGAAAAAAACCTAAGAGTATGAATCCTTTCACAAACCTGTACGTGAACCACCCCGCGGGGGCGACTAACCATCGGTGGTGCAGGGACAGAGACTCACGGCGGGAGTTCAAAGGTTGCGGAATTTTCTCTTTATTGTAGCACTCACAATAAATAATAAATAGTGAACTTAAAACGTTGGCATGCTCGCACCGCGATTCCTGCCCAATTCCAACACGCAAAGCCTCGTGCTTGTCCGTGCTTTCCGGAAACACGAGTCTCTCGGATCAGGATTTATATATTAAGCATAAGGAACTACCACTAGGCTAGAAGGTGTGTCTATTGTCGCCCAATTTGTATTTTTACGCGAGAAAACCTGACCTTGAGACGACCTTCATGAAGCATTTCGGGGTCAAGTCAGTGAGTTTCAGTTCAAATCCCACTCGATCACATCATCACCATATCAGCATCATCATCATCATTATCATCCCTCCTGCAGTTGCCATGTCACATCAACTGAGGATAGACTGGGCCCTGCCAGAGCAATGTGGAACTTCCACCAATAGTTCCCGGAGGCACTTTCGCATGTATCATGTATGTATGTGGAACTTCTTTCGCACCGTACGTAACCAACCGTGCTAATCGGATGTGCGGTGAAAGAACAACAAACTATGGGTCTCTGTGTGAGTCTGTGGGTATCTGCGTGAGTCTATGGGTCTCTGTGTGAGTCTATGGGTCTCTGTGTGAGTATGTGGGTCTCTGTGTGAGTCTATGAGTCTCTGTGTGAGTCTATGAGTCTCTGTGTGAGTCTGTGGGTCTCTGTGTGAGTCTATGGGTATCTGTGTAAGTCTATGAGTCTCTGTGTGAGTCTATGGGTCTCTGTGTGAGTATATGGGTCTCTGTGTGAGTCTGTGGGTATCTGTGTGAGTCTGGGTCTCTGTGTGAGACTCTGTGGGTCTCTGTGTGAGTCTATGGGTCTCTGTGTGAGTCTGTGGGTCTCTGTGTGAGTCTATGGGTATCTGTGTAAGTCTATGAGTCTCTGTGTGAGTCTATGGGTCTCTGTGCGAGTCTATGGGTCTCTGTGCGAGTCTATGGGTCTCTGTGTGAGTCTATGGGTATCTGTGTAAGTCAATGAGTCTCTGTGTGAGTCTATGGGTCTCTGTGTGAGTCTGTGGTTCTCTGTGTGAGTCTATTTACCCTGTGTATGTTGAACTTCTTTCGCACCGCACGTAGCCACCCGCAGGTGCGGGAAAGTCGTTCACGGTAAGCGGCCGACGTGGGTAGCTACTAACTATTGACCCCGGACCTACACTCTACCGGGTTCAATGAAACCCGCACTGACCAGCGTGGTGAAGTATGGCCAATTATCTCTCGTAGCCTGCCAGCGCTGGGCTGAGGAGTCCAAAATCCCACAACGGAGCAGCAGAACGGGTGCTACGGGTACAACGTGGTGGCGCTGTGTGATGACATTTGGCTGCGTGAAAAAGAGGCGACGTTTCGAGAAAAGGTCCTTCTCCGTGCGCTGCGCGCGCTTGTTTACACGTGGCACCACCGTTGCGCAGGATGTTGGACTATCGCCGAAGAATGTTGTGAGTGACACGGGTGGTGGTGTGGTGGTGGTGGTGGGGTGTGAATTGAAACGTCTGGGGGCTACCACGTGGCCCCGCGTGGCGGGGGTGGTTGGGGCAGCTCGTCCGCCCCGAGGATGGTTTCTGCCGCGTGGTGCTTGGCCTGCGAGGGCCTCGCGTGTCGGAAGCTGTCGATGACTTCCTCCTCCTCCTCCTCGTCTCCATATTCCCTGGGAGAGAAACGCACGGGACGCCGCTTACACGCCGAGAGGGGTGGCGGAGATGTTGACTACCTCGCCTGATACACAGGAGGTCGAGGGTTCGATCCCGACCCCGACGACGCCTGCTGCTGTATGTTTGGAATTTGCGTCTCTCTCTCTCTCTCATCATCATCACGGTGGCTTGGAGATGTTGACTACCTCGCCTGGTACACAGGAGGTCGAGGGTTCGATCCCGACCCTGACGCCTGCTGCTGTATATTTGGAGTTTGCGTCTCTCTCTCTCATCATCACGGTGGCTGGGAGATGTTGACTACCTCGCCTGGTACACAGGAGGTCGAGGGTTCGATCCCGACCCTGACGCCTGCTGCTGTATGTTTGGAATTTGCGTCTCTCTCTCTCATCATCACGGTGGCTGGGAGATGTTGACTACCTCGCCTGGTACACAGGAGGTCGAGGGTTCTATCCCGACCCTGACGCCTGCTGCTGTATGTTTGGAATTTGCGTCTCTCTCTCTCTCTCATCATCACGGTGGCTGGGAGATGTTAACTACCTCGCCTAGTACACAGGAAGTCGTGGGTTCGATCCCGACCCCGCTGAATATTTGGAATTCGCGTGGTCCCCCCCCACTCATAATTAGAATCGTGAATTTAGAGCAGTAGTTCTTAACTTTTATTGCAGACTTTCACCCCCTTTGTTTACCAATCGTTAAACAATGTACAATGTCAATAACTTACTTTGTTTGTTGAAACAAAGTAAGTTGCAACTTACTTTTTACTTTGTTTGTTGATACCCCATCCACACCCACCCATCCACCCACCCACACCCACCCACCCACCCACATCCACCCACACCCACCCACACCTGACACCCACACCCACCCACCCATCCACATCCGCGCATCCACACCCACCCACACCCACCAACACACCCACCCACACTCACCCACCCAGCACACCCACCCACACCCACCACACCCACTCAGCTCCACTCACCCCGCTGTGCCCTGCTTGTCCAGCTCTCCCAGGGCTGGGTATGGCAGCTCGGGGTCTCCTCCTCCTCCTGCCGTGAGGCCCAGGGCCTCCTCCTCACCATCCTCCTCCATCTCTCTCCTGCGTGCAGCCACAAAGACAAAGATGCCCCGTGTAGCCTTGACGGACTTATTGGGCCAAGTGCTGTTCGCGAGCAGCAGCAGCAGCGCCTATGGAAATCTGCACGGCGCACTAGATGATGGGTGACCAGCACCGCGCCCGACCGCCTTTGTCTCTCCAGTGGCGATGTTCACGACACCCCGCACCAAACACGCACAAAGGCAAAGATCTCACGGGTAGCCCACGCAGGCTGTCGGGGCAAGTGTTGTCAGCGGGCACCGTGATACATCACAAGCGATCGTCTGTCTCTCACTATGCATTCGTGTTCATGGTGAGCCGTGAGCCGTGCGTGAGTGAGCCGTGAGTCGTGAGCCGTGAGCCTTGAGCCGTGCGTGAGTGAGCCGGGCGTGAGTAAGCCGTGAGTGAGTGA